TTGTTCAACTTCCTCACATAAGGGCTTGCATAGATATGTGTAAGTCCACAGGTCGGCTTAATATCTGGTGGAGGATTTACCACGCCTTCACTCATTCTATTCCCAGAGATCGTCAAACTGACGGCTTACGCATTGCCGGTAGTGGCAGATGTCTTCATGATAACGTGAGTTGAGTTAAATGTTGGCTCATTCTGTTCCACCAAAGCTACATTTTCTCCCCATATATAGTTGAGTTTAGCCTTCGGCCGTTATACTAGCTTGCAGCGCAACTTTACATATTCTTTAAATGTTCAATATTCCAGCATAAAGCCCGATAGTTCTATGTTTTGGGGCTGAACTAATGGTGGGTGCGTAAAGCCAGTAGGTGTTGAGACGTTATAGACACAACCATTAGACTAGCACGCCGAAAATTTGGCCTCTATAAAACCAATATTTTCCCCATCATTTACGAAGCAGTCCATGTATACGTCATCCATTTTAGTAAGAATGTTAGTTTAGTATGGGTTGACGCAAGTAACATAATACTTCTTGTCGACTATGATGTAGTGTCTGCTTTATTTGGTATGTTCAACCGCAGCCTACAAGTTAGTTAACCTATACTGCTACTCTATTTATTGGTCATTGAGAGTTGAATAATCCTGCAATCCTCATAATAACTTCATTATAACCTGTCGGGATGAGCAGGTTTACTGAATCGGTAACCCCAAGCGACTTCACTTCACAAGCTGGTCGCCGCAGTTCTATACAACGAAACCCGGTGAACTCCTGCTCCAACATTAACGCTCAGCCTCCCAACATACATCTCCAAATCACGTCAGATAAGGTAAATGTATATCCGGGGAGAATGTCCGTTGTCATAATCTCATGATATTTTGCCTGTCTAGCAGGGATAAGCCCAACGAACTAGGAGAAGACATAACAGGAAATTATCTCCTAAAGTTCCTTCTTTCCCCAGAGTAACGTATAATTGATAACCGGTGATTACTTATACTTACACACCCTAGTGTCGCATACCATGTATAGGATAGATCGCGTTGCAACGCGTCCTCTATCAATAAATACCGCGCACCCATGTATAAACTGATGACGAACTTCCTATTCTGCTGTATGTTATAGCCGCCCTTCTATGGAGGAGGCGGGGATGTTATAGGAGATTGTGAGTTACATGCATACTGCTGTTTCAGCGAACTCGGAGATCAGTAGCAATGGCACTTTCCATCGGAGATGCGATTGGAGGGCGTGCGGGAGTAAGGCGTAATATTGAATAACTCCGCGTGGTTTCCATTTGACCTACCAATCTAAGTAGGTAGTATATCATCTATCTGCTACCCTAATGTGGGTCGATGGACTCACAGCAACGACCGGGAAACTGGACTCTGTGTTAGGTAGCATAGCTTATATGGAACTGTCCTACCTGTTTTCGAACAATTCTTTTCCTGATTCCACGGAGACTACAGAGTAAGGTAACCAAGTTTACTTGCAGGACTAGCGAAGATCCAATGAAGATCGTTACGTAGGGTAACGTCAGTTACGACAACTTATACCTGAATTTAGTAGGTGTGCCGGCTTGGCTTGCTTGATTATTTTTTTTCCCTTTCGAATCACTAATCCAGCGGTAGGTAGCAAGCATGCCCTCCAATACGATATGCAACTATTGTCAGCTCCTGCTATGATGATCATCCCTAAGTTCATGATACTTCGTAGCTACTTAGGCTCTACCTAAGGCTGACGGGCGGGAAAGCAACACATAAATTCATGATGGTCAGCAAGAAACACCTCGGATCTTAACCCGTAAGAGGGTGGTCACCTACTCATTTCGGAATAGAGCTCCCGTGCGTGCAGCCGCCCGCGCTAACGCTGTCCTGCATTCCCGCTGTGGATAGGCAAGTAGGGCACAGCATACACACTCGATTTATGGGGAGTACAGTGCGGTCAGTTGAAACCGGGGTGTATCATATAATAAGCTGACTACCCCCTTCTTTCTCCAGGTGGGTGTGGGCGGACTGCATAGGGCGGACGTGTATGGGAAGGGTGAATCATCGGGGGAGGTTGGTCAGAGGTCTTAAGGGCGGTCGAACAACAACAGAAGCGGGATATAGATCTCACGGTTAGCAACCTTGTAAGCGGCATACGGGACGATATTCCGGCCTTCTAAGTGAGCCCTATAACTCTTCTCAGCATGCTTCGAATTCTCTGGGCTGACGATGCTTAGAAGTGATCTGAGTAATCGTATAGGTTGGGTTATGTTATGTGTTGTAGTTTTCCTTCTTTCGGGCTTATGGGGACTATAGGACATTATTTCTGGCTACCTACCTTAACTGACCTTACCTACATAACGGCAGGCATTCTTACGACGGTAATTAATGCCACCTGACTTCGTATCGACTATAACGCAGCATGGAAGGATCCTATTTTGCTGCAGAACCGGTTCTGTTACTACGGCCTGCTGCGCCTTATCGCATGCTGATAGGACATAGATGTGAACCTCGTATGGTGAAGTTCTAGACCGGTTGATCGTCGAGGCGGTTAAGGATGTGGAGAAGGCGGGATAATAATAATGAGTAAACACCTAATAAAAGCTATACCTAATTACCTAGGTATATAACGAGGTATATACGTATATTCCCTTATTATATTCGGTTTTATGGTTTTTTTTTCTTCTTTGACCCATTCTTCAGCATGACGGGTTCGGGCCGGAAGTCTTAACTACATTTCGACGTTGGATGCTACTTAGTCAGATTGCAACCGACAGTCTGGATCCAACTTGGACAAACCCCCCAGAACTTTAGCGACGAGGGTGAGAGCTCCCGAGCTTTCGTCTGATCTGCATTAGGAATAAGCACTAATGTATGCGTCCGACGCAGGCGTTTACTGCACCTCTATCCTGGACTAGGCCGGACCGGTTCGTCCCTTGTATGACCAATATGCTTCTTTATGTTTTGTGTGTGCCTATACTTCGATGAAAGAGTAAGGGTTCGTGGGTGGTTGGCGTTGGCTCTAAGTATTCCGCATTGCATATTGCGTAAGCTCGCTGCAAGGTTGGCAACATATGGCGTGTCGATTATTCCTAGTCTCTTGGGAACAACTACGGTAGCAAACCCTTTGTTTTTCTCCCCATTTTACTTTGCTTCTTTTTCTGGTTCAATTTCCGCCAGTAAGAAAGCCCCCGCTCGAATTCGTACCCGCATTCCCGCGTGTCAAGAGAAGAAACGTGTATGCACCAACACTGACCCCCAACGTTCTTGACGTATAAGGCTGATGGGACCGTGGGGGTGATATGCATGGGCTACATATATTTGTATCTGTACATCGATATATATGCCGCCCGGAGGACTAATGTACGCCCGATAAGGCATCGATGCCGCCACTCCGCCGACCTGCGGAGTGATCTCAAGGGTTTTCGGTGAACGCACATGATCTTCCTGGTTCCCGCCGGCGCCACTTCATCCAATGTATTGGGTTAATATTTCCCATTGCGGGAAGGAAGGGAGAGGACAACCAAGTCAATCTGGTATAGTCGCAGGCAGGCTGTCATGAAGTACAGCAGCCAAAAACGCCACATATTGCCAACCACCAACGACGGACAAGAGTTATGTCTCAGTACTGTGTAACGTGTCCATGATCAGTATCCAGGTCGTATTCTGGCGGCAGACTGCTTACTGAGAAACAGGTCTGGAAACTCGAAATTGACGCCCGATAACTCCCGTGGTAATTGCCTTCTTCAATAACCGGAGATCCCGGAATCATGACGGCGACGATGTTGGGATCGACGGTTAGTTCCGTCAACTCCCGTTAAGTTCATTACATTTCTCCAACTCTCGGCGTCATCTATGTGCACGTTTGCGGCCTAAACTTAGGCCTCAAATTTGTTGGCGTGATTGATGAGGCTCTTCCTACGAACAGAGACCGTGGCACCCCCCAAGAACTCTCCAACTAGTTACTCTTCCTTCTCGACTCGCTCGGCGGTAGGCTGCATCTTTGAAGCGTGGACTTCCTTGAATTTGCCGAATACTTATCTGTGATTCCTAGGAATGGGTAACGCAAAGACTTTGGTCAGTAAGCTAATCTATAGGTCTCGCTACTCTTTAGTGTTTATCTTGATATATAAGATTGATTTCCGTGCACCATATCAGGGGAGTCTCTGAGGATCCTCCGTGCTCTAGAGAGACCGACTAGATAGTCTACTTGATCTTAATCAGGGACCCCGAGATCCCACTAAAAGGGTGGATTTCCCTTCTAGCTTCGACGCTAGCCTCTTGCCAAGTATCAGAGAGGACAAAAAGACAAAATAAAACGTACAACATCAAGTATTCGCTGGTCGTCACCGACCCAACTACTGATTTGACGATATCAGGTTTATCTAAGGGGGAGCGGACGGGACCCCGAGTTTTCCAGATTCTATGGTCGTACGTGAAGGAACTATGTTAGTGTTGTCCTATATGCCTTGTGTTAGAGAGATGTCGAGAAACTAGGCGTTGAGCCCACCCCCAAACCCATCCGGCTGAGGTCTACTTGCTAAGTATAGAGATACGAGTATAGAGCGCCATATGGATTCTAGACTCAATCACATTCTCTGAAATGTTGTGGTTATGATTTTCCGCCATGATGGCTCTATACTCTATTAGTGAGAACTCGGTATAGTGATTCTAGGTTTCAAATTGCTTTGACTCAATCCGTATAGACAATTGGAAAGATCTCATGGGTAGACGGGTATCGTATGGCAGTAGACCTTCGCTAAAGCCCAAGATAACTATCCAGACCCATTGCTCCTAAAACCCGATGAATTGCATGTACCTGTGGAACTCTATAATATCCCACATCCATAGCTTAAGGGTTTGGGTTTTCGACGAGTAAATCGATAACGGCCGTGGTTCGGGAGCGTCGAAGACGCATTGAGACTGGTTTATTATGGCATAGTATGGAACGTTCCACGAAGCCTCATCGTTCTGTGACATCATCCGATGCAGGCGATATATGCTCTTAGGTTTCTGTCAAGAGCATCAGGATTGAGGCGCGATCTTCCCGCATAGAACGACATCTTCCCCAAGAGGCATCCAGCTTGTGTTCGTAAGCCGAGCCACGGCTCTCGGTTTGCCATCTGAACCGGTCTTTCGCGGCGGAGAGACATACACGCTTCCCTGACCGAGCCAAGTCGGAGCAACGGTTACAATGACCGAATCGATTAAATGTGCATTTTCTTCAGATAAAAACGAGTTTATCACACCGCCACCGCCCTCGATCATAATACTCCTCAACCCTTCGTCCCGCACGGCCGCTAATATGGTATGCCAATCGAAACGTTGACTCTCCGAATCCTTCTCAGATCCTTTGCCTTGGGGTCCGCCAAGGACGATAAACTTCCCACCGAGGCGTTCCAACAACTTCCTCCGTCTTTCTGGGGGATGCGGCACAGCCGTCACGATGTACGGAGCCAAACCCCTGCCTATCCGAGCCAATTGCAAGACCTTGCTCTCGGCAGTAAAATCCCAGCGTAACTTCGGGTCGATTATTATCGGCCGTGGCTGATGCGTTGTGAATGTGTTACGTCGCTCACTACCCGCAGCTTTTCCGGCGAGTCCTAGGAGCGCACCAACGCCAGCTGTGTCGGCAGCTGGGGAAGTTTCTAGGGTTGGGTACTCGGATGCGAGGCGGCAGTTTAGTCCGGGGTCATCGGCTAGGGCTGTTCCGACTCCCACACAGATGGCGTCATGACGGCTACGAAGGTGATGTGTCATGGCCTTGGATTGGGGTCCGGAAAGAACCGTCCTGATACCAGGGCCGAGCGACAGGGCCGAATCAAGTGAAGTAGCGAATGTCAATGTTACGAAGGGTAATTTTGGTGAAGATGATCCATCTTCGCCGTGGTCTGTAAATAATGGCGGAAGATGGTGCTCTAGCCGCTGTGCTTCAACCGACGGGAATACTAATGGTGTTTCAGCCATCGAAAAGAGGGGTTAACAAAAAGCAATATTTCCCTCGTTTTCTTATTCCGTGGTCGTAGAAATGGGTGATTTGAGTTGCTTTCACTTTTACCATGAGCTGACGACTAGGGCCTGTCTATTATAACATTTGAAAGTATCGATGAATTTAAGGAGAAGAATATAAAGTTGACGGCCACGCTAGCTGGTCTTGATATAGAAAGAAAGAATGAATGTGATATCCTCGGATGATGCACAATATGTTAAAGGACAAACTAGGTTAAGTGTCGGATTTGTGCAGGGGTCATTCAACCAATCAGCGTCGAGTCATAGTTAAACTATTTCCCCATTTGTGCATAGATCTATTCTATGAATCTTGTCATGCAGCAACAGGGAGACGTGATGGTACTTGGCTGCTCAATTCTTGACAGACCAACGATCAATTTCTCAAATTCATTTAATTCGTGACAGAATTATTGAAACCGATGCGGAAACTATTCTGAAATCAAACTAGTCTCCTTATCTCATATTTTAAAGGGTTGTAACACTTCTTAATGAAAACTTCTAGGGTAATTATCTTCAAGCCCAATCGTGGATTCTTATGCTCTTTAAATAGGTGAGATAGGTAAGCAACACCCACAAGTAATAGTAATCTCTCCTGGAAGATCAGTTACTGACTTGGGCTGCTAAAACGCTAGGAAGCAGTAAGCTAAACACCAAGTTCATGTCGCTCTCGTCAACATCGTATATAAACTATCCTGTTCGGAAGTAGTGCTTGGTGTAAATCGTAAAGCCGTGCGATTCGGCCGATGGACATTTGAATTAACCCATCCATCCAATTCAATCCAGGCGCAGCAATATGGACACACGCAGCACATACAAGCATAGCCACGTATATTCATATGTGACGGGGGGATAGGTACCATGATGAGCATCGAACTTGTTGGGGGTACGATAAAGTTATGTATTGGAATTTGCGACGTAGTTTGTTTGATCTGTGATTCCTATGACAATGGTTCATAGCGTAAGTTGAATTTGTTTGAATGAGGTAGGATCGCTATTTGTTCTTGCTCTTCTCGCAGCTTACCTACTTTTTCATTTATATAATTTCTATTTTAATCCTAACTTGTCTTACCTACATATTGCCGATATACCAAGCCTTCCTGCTGTTGGGATTAACCCATTCTCTCTTACAAACAAATACATAACGACAGTTATTACATTACCTACAAACGGTACAAGACATTACAATCCTCCGTTCCCCTTCGCCGCCAAGGCGTGACCACCGCACGAGTTCGTGCTCTCATTCAAACCATTCAAACTCACGCCGATCCACGCGTCCCTTGCGCTCCGCCACAACACGCACCTTGGCTTCTTTCAGCGCCAAATCTCGGCGCCGTTGAGAATAATCCACCCGATTCATCCGTGTATCTTTCTCTATTTGTACCACGACAAAGCCCGCGACTCTATTCACCTTTTTCCTTCTCATCTTCACCTACCTAACTACCTACAAATTCCATCATCAGCCTTTGGTAAAGCATACTGATTGCTTCACCAATATAAGAGTTGCTTTACCGATATAAAAGGCAACGAATAACAGCCTACCTTGCGAGCCCAAACCAAGAGCCTCGCCTTACGTCCATCGCGATCGTATCTCAACTCTCCAAAACCACAGCTTCCACCAAATTAAACCGAACAACCAAGATGGCCCAAAAATACGAAGAGCCGCCGGCATACCAAGGCCCCCCACAACCGCCTCAAGCCGCATACCAAACGAACCCGAACATGGGCTACCAACAACAGCCCGGTCCCCCCCTAGCGCAACAAGCGGGCTACTACCCGCCTCCGCAACAACAAGGCGGATACTACCCGCCGCAAGGCCAGTACCCTCCGCAGAGCAGTGATCGCGGTGGAAGCGGAGCTACCGGGTGTCTTGGGTTCTTGGTCGGTGCGTTGGCTTGTTGTTGTTGCTTGGATTGTTTGTTTTAAGGACGGATATCAAAGGATGACTGAAGATGCTTTCATAGGAGGGGATTTCGCAATGAAGTAAGGGCGATGCGACGGCGGCTTTGATATTTGATATTGGTATTAGGAAGGGAAGGGAAGGATGCATATCACCGAGGGTAACAACCCTTACTTCATATTCCGGAGCCTGGCGTTAACGGGTTTACGGGATCAATAGGTTCCTTTGTTGTATTTTATATGGCATTCTGCTGCTGCTTTTATTCACAGGCAGCCCGCGATGTTGATGAATCAATTCCATTGATATTTCTTCCTACTTCTACAATTCTCATTTATGCTCTCGTACAAATGCAATGACTACTCTGATATGCAACTTCTAATTTCTACGCCGCGACGCCATTCGCATGGCCGTTTGTCGCGATCCCGTTTCCATTTGATACTGGCGCGGAGCCGAGATACCCCTCTGCCAGTGTTCCGTATAGCTCTTCAAATAGCTCTTGAGCTTCTTTCACGCAATCATACGAGTAGATCATATGTTGAACCTCCGGACTAGCCCATTTATCCGGGATCGGGGTACCTCTCTTCTTCGCATTCGCGAATTGCCTGTCACGCTCCTCTTTCGCCTTACCCTCGCCAAGATGTAGTGTGCGCGCCGACGACGCCGCTAGCTCTACTAAGATGGAGGTACGCTCTTTACGTAGGAGCTCGTACACCTTCAACGCTTTCGACAAAGCCTCACGGTCGGCGCCACCGCCCGGGGCGCTGCTTACGACTTCCGCTAGCACAGCCGCATCTTCAATGGCCATCGCGGCACCTTGACTGAGATGCGGTAGGGTGGGGTGGCAAGCATCACCAACGAGTGCGACACCGCCGAGCACCCAGCTGGCGAGTGGGGCGTGCGAACGTAGACGCCACTCACAGACCTCACCCTCGGGCACCATGTTCAACATCTTCTCGACGATGGGGTGGAAGTCGGCATACACCTTTAGCATAGCCGGCTTACTTCCCTTCGTTGTGTATGTCGCATTAGTCGCGGCGGCGAAATTGACGTCGGGTTGGCATGTTGAGAGGTTGTAGATAGTCTTGTTGCTAATCGGGTACGCTACGATGTGTCGCTTCTCGCCGATCCATCGAAGCGCGCAATCCGCGTCTAGGAGCTCGAGAAGCTCGGGGTCGTGCTCCATTTGCTCTCGCGACAGCATGATTCGGTATGCTGCCTGGCCTGTGTCTTCGACGTCGGCCGTGATGTTTAGGGCGCGGAGGAGGGAGGTCCGTACGGCGGATTTGATGCCGTCGGCACCGAGGAGGACGTCGGTTTCTACTTCGTATGGTTCGGCATTACGCGGCTTGGCTGTGAAGACTGTCTTGTCTGGGCCGAAATAGGATACGTTCTCTAACGAAGTCGAGAAATGGAAGGTAATAGCGGGCTCTTTTTTGCATCCCTCATACAAGCCACCAGCCAGCGAGGCGCGGTGACCTGTGCAATGGGGGTAACCGTACTTCTCTTCGATGTCGGGCATCTCGACGTGGACGAGTTCGCGGTTTGTCGAACCTTCGCGGATACTAGATGACTTGATGTTGGTCGCCTCAGCTAGGATTTCGTCCCAGCAACCCCAACGGTCCAACACGCGAGCCATGTTCGGCGCCAATTGAATACCAGCGCCGACAAAGCCCAAGTTTGAAGCTGTCTCGTATACATCGACTTTCCTGAATCCTTTCTTGGCGAAGGCGAGCGCGCAGGCAAGGCCGCCCATACCTATGGTGAGGCGACATCAGCCGCTGTGCACGTTTTGGCATTATGTCTTTTTCTCTCCGCGGGATAACTCACCCGCGCCAATGACGGATATCCTTAGATCCCTATAGTCCGACATGTCGACTACGAATGATCGAGATCAGTAGTAACGAGTATTCGTATCGTATCGTGTAACGAAGGTATGGTTCGATCGTCAGTTGGAATTGAAAGTATACGGTATACACTTGTATGTAGCAGTGGTAGTAATAGGTATCTTGGAAATACCGCTACGTGTGAAAACTCGACGTATGTAGCAGCAGCAGTAGTAGCTTCATCTTAATGAAGAGCGGCTCTCTGGATAGGGCCATGACCCATATCGAACCGGACATTCTGCCGTCTTTTCTTTAGATAGTTGTCCCGAGGGTCGCGAGGGAATAAGGCAAGCCTAGAATGTCGAATCGCCAATGCGTAGAGGAAAGGAGGGTGGGGCGAGATGATTGCCGGCTAATGAGGGGTTGTTCCATGTCGCCATAGTATATCGGCATTAGCCTGGTGGATAGGTTGAATAGGGAGGAAAATAATTTGGCCTATTTAGTCTGACGGGCTTGGCCTCTTTCTTTGCAGTAACTCATCGTGGTTCGTTCGTCCGTTCTGTTTGTAAGATGTATTAGTTGTTCCACTTGGAATTCTACAGAGGTGGATCTTCTTCTTTCGGTCAAGGCAGTGTTCTACATCTTGGATGTATATGTATGATTAGGTAGAAGAAATAAGATTTTGTTCATCACGTTGCATCATGAGCGACATCAGCTACCTGGTAGAGGTGGAAGCTGTTGATCTTGGGGCGTTTGTCGACTACCTAGGTATCCGCTGAAGCTAATGTTAAAAAGTATTCTTCTATACCATATTGCGTATAATAAGGCTCATTTATATAACCTATATCTATGTATTTAAGAAGAAACATGGATCTACCCCTGCACCGAGCGCCGATTCCAAGGTGTCGGCTATCTATCGATAAGAAGCTATTCCCTGTTGATTCCATTCAGCGACGCATGAAAGACTACAGACCCTAACTGTCTCAACGTCACAACTTTTCTCCTTTTCTTTCTTTTACTCTCCTAACTTAGACACGGCCGCTCATAATCTAGGAGGCAAAAAGAAAAATGGCCTCCTCAAGATTTAGCGCGTTGCCGGCGTTAAGGAAACAACATCTTCTGGTCGAGTTGTACGTGTTGCCGTGTGTATCCCTTAGAAGTAAATGCTAACTAGCAAGTTGAAGTGCTGGATTGAAGCAAGCTTGTCCTGATGGCGTTTTTGTAAGCCTCACACCAGGGGATCCGGGTTTGTGGTCCGGAGTACTCTTCGTTCGAGATGGTGAGACTTCGGGTACCTGCATTGGCTGCACTCACGAGTTTCTAATCTGTTCATACAAGGCCCTTACGCTCCCGCCGTGCTACGATTCCAAATATCCTTTCCCGACTCATATCCAAGATTACCACCGCTCGTTACCTTCTCGACCGATATGTTCCACCCTTTGATAACTCCCCTAAGTACCTACATGTATTCGACCGACGTCCAAGACAATGGTACAGTGAGCGCCACCGATGCCGAGCGGTTACCACCTGGAGGGTTCAGTTTAAGGCATGGATTTCCTGGCTGGTTTAGGCGTTCAAGCCGGGGCCAAAATGCCGCTGGTGGTAGGCAATCTAGTGGACAACAAGAGGGCCTATCAACTCCCCATAGACCGCCTCCACCCTCAATGAGCAGCGCAGGCACACCGGGTTCGAAGGGATCGGCTGTCGGCGCATCACCAGGATTCGCAGAAACTACAAAAAGCGAAACTTCCACATATGAAGTGCTCCGATATATACGCAGCGCATTTAGCGATGAAGATGTTTTAGATTCTATACCTATCGAGGCTGCTGGGAATCCTGGTGCTTGGCATGCCTGGAGGACACACCGTGCCGATGGCGGGAAGGTGTTCTCTGATACCCCTAGTGGTACTGAGACAGAAAGCGCTGATGCCGAATCTAAAAAGGCCCTTGAAGCTGTAAGGAAACCAGGAGATTGGAATTGGGAAGGCGTGTGGGAAGAAAGAGTCAAAAAAGCTGTAAATGCAAGTTTATCCGAGCCTGTCCTATTTGGCGGGGTAGGTGCCGCCGACGATGTCGTAAGTTTATTCTTGACTCATTCAAAGCTCGAGTAGGCACGTTCCAGTCACTAACATAACACAGATACGCTTTCTCAGTATGGAAGACAATGACGTGGATGCCGCCAAGGAAAACCTCTTGCGAACCTTGAATGATGATCCTTGATTGAACTTGCCCTATATATCAGATGGAAAGCCAATCTTCTCTTATGACTACGCCCACATTCATAGTTTCTACTCTCATATTCATACTCATGATACCCAATACGATATTCTGCTTACTTCTCCTTTTACCCTCTTATCATCAATCCTCACGTTTGAGGTATACACTGCTTATTTGGTAATCGTGCTATCTACTACTCCTACGACTCGAATTTGATTTTGATATCGGTTATACGATTGAGGTCCAGTCAACCCAAGTATTGGCTATGTCCGACCAATCTCTACATCCTGGTATCATTTGCGCTATTGCTCTAATCCCGACTGCTTTGCTTGTGACTTTTGCTTTAACGGTGCTGAAAGGTTTCGATCTCTTGCCGAGGATTTGTGGTGGCCGGTTAAAATTACGGCGGCAAGGACGCCAAAACCACCCATCAACAACTTTTCTTAGCCTCTCAGATCCAGCGGGAGGGAGCTTTTCGACCACTGAGAGCAATTTTATCGGCCAAACTAAGGACGAGCCAACGGGGACTATTGTTAGGCCCCAACCCGTTCATCATGCGAGACCAACAATCCTCGGCTGCCGATGTCCCTTCTCCCCTACGCGTAATCAAGAGAGGGAAGTCCATGCAGGTCCTCCGAAGCAGTCCGAGAAAGATCAGTAGTGAAAGTTTCGATAGTGGCCCTGATCAACCGCTGACCGTTGTGAAGAGTCGGAAACCTCTCCGAAGAGCGAGTACCAGGAAGAATCGAAGCAACGTCAATGAACAAATGTCTGGACGGCGCTTCGAAGCGAGATCACGAAACTCCTCAGTAAATACAAATGAAATACCTAGGTTTCAATTAGAGCCTCCAGTTTCCATGAATGAGGGAGTCGCAGCTTTGAGTCAAGCTCAAGGTCCTATAACGCCAAAGTGCAGAAAAGCTCCAGTGTTTCGGCGCACATCGAGTCTACAAGCTGGCCGCCCCGTATCCCCTACGTTTCTCACTAAACTACGCTCGTTATCCAACCGAAGAGCGTCGTGTTCTAAACCGGGTCATCATGGCCATGGCTCACGAATTTTGAGCGACACTTCAGACTCAATATTCAGAGATTCTGATGAGCACGTATCAAACACTTCGTGGGATCAATCGTCATATTCTGGTCTTTCAATACCCGCTTCCCGCCTTAACGAATTTGATGCGCATAGTCTGAGTGCCAATGCTCGGGGTTTTGACAATAACATCCTTGATCCTTATTTACTCATTCCGCATGTGTCTATCACACCAGAGTCAAAGTCTTTGAATGATGGGCAATCATACATCTGGACAGCTATTGAGATATCCGGTCAATTGTCTTATCCTCATGCCAGTAACTCAAATCACGAATCGGCATACTCTGGCGCTAATCAAGCACCTTTTATCCCCGTTCGTCATTGCGATGCCAGATCGTCAAGATATGGATATCTATATAACATAAATGTAGACGTTTTGCCAACCACAGGAGGTAATATTATCGATCTCATAGGTGATACTACAATCGGGTATGTCACTCTAAAATATACTGAAACAGTTATACTCATAAACTCATAGAACGATAAACCCCGGTTCGAGTACCCTCATATTAGCTTGCATTCGGCTAAGTGCTTCCCAAATCCGGAATTCTAATATCTCGAGTCGCGACTCAGAAAGTCTAATCGCGGACCTCGAGTTTCAGCTTGGGGGTTCTCGGATTGAATATGTCCACGTGTGTATCAATTATTGCCACTCAGGCTTCCCAGTATTTGAGAATGCCACCACCGAGGATAGTATCTCAACCCACCAGACTCGCTTAAAGACGACAGTTACAGGCGTCATAAATCAACACGACCCAACTTCCGCATGGTCCCCTAAACCAGTTTCCACATCGAATCCTCTATTCGCCATTATTGCCTCGCATTGGGGACCAGCTCGCGCCAACGAAATCATACGCAGGATCACACCAATTCGGCCATACTCTCGTAGAGCAATTAACCGAATGAATACACAAACTGATAGAAGCGAAGACACTATCAAAGCACCTGAGCGCATTAGAACATCCCCTCCCATACCCCAACGCCAAACGAGTCTTAACCTCAAGTGCTTCTCTCCAGACCCAGCGAGAAAGATTTGGACGGAACTACGTCGGACGTCGTCTGGCCAACGCCCAGCTTTCCATGTCACCAGCAAGGCCAACCGCATCCCGGCCGCAACAACATTTGTGGATGCGCCGAGCCCAGAGTCCAAGACGGACGTTCAGCGGCGCCGGGAGGAAATACGGGACACTGCTACGCGTAACAGGAGGTCTATCGGTGCAGATAGCTTGAAGAGCCTAGTGCCATCGGTGGCAGAAGGGATAGAGGGTAAGGAGAACAGGCAAAGAAACAAGGTAGATGAGACACCGAGTCCCCTTGAGCGGCAGGACGTGTCGTTTGAAGCACAGGGGCACAGACATGGACAAGGCCGGAAGAGAGAGGGGCGGTGGAGTTTAGGAGGCTGGTGGCAGTAAATGATGGGTCAAATGGATGAGAATCCGGTTAACAGAAATAATTAGCAGGGAAATTTTCACTTTGGATTCAAATAGTCTAATAAAAACTCAATGAAACGGGCGACTCGCCCGTATAGCAATCGAAAACCCGTTATTTTTTATCTACCCTTTTTATGCAACTTAATCATCGTCACGTCCAACCCATCACAACTCATCACGCCAAGGAATCGAATCCTGTGCTCCTAGCCTCTCTACTGTCTTCGCCGCGGCGCGATTCGCCTTCTTAACCGCATCCTCTATTTGGAAATTTCCCGATACAACATCCAAAGCGTACCGGCCTACAAACGTATCCCCCGCCGCCGTAGTATCCACAACCTTAGCCTTCTCAGCCGGGACTAAGCCCTTATTCCCATGGGCGCTCATATAAAATACACCCCGTCCTCCTAGCGTAATAATCACATTCAACACGCCTCGCGAGATAAACGTCTTCCCCACAGCCTCAAGTCCGGCCTCGGTATCGAGGTCAGATTCTGATACGCCGCCCAATATCGCGGCTTCAGTTTCATTAACGACGAGATGCGCTAGTCCGTCATACGCTTCCGCAGGTAATTCCTGTGCTGGCGCGGGGTTTAGTAGGACCTTTACACCTGCGGTCCTAGCGGTGCGTAACGCGGATACTACGGTAGGGAGTGGGATCTCGAGTTGCATGATTAATAAATCTGGTAGTGGGGAGCCAAGAGACTGTTGAGTGTTGAAGGAGGAGGCTTGGAGACTGTGGTTTGCTTCTGGGGAGAGGACGATGCGGTTTTGACCTGTGGGCTCGTCGACTAGGATTATAGCGATGCCGGTTTTGAGAGATTCTGGGGATAGGATGCTGGAGATGTCGACGCCGTGGGAGGAGAGATTGGTTTTTAGTTGTGTGCCGTATGTGTCCTGGCCTACGGCGCCGATCATTCGGATGTTGGCTGTGGGGTTCTCGGTGCTGGTGGGGTGGGATGACCGTGAGAGCTTTGCGCAGGCTACGGCTTGGTTGGCGCCTTTGCCGCCGGGGGATACGGAGAAGCGGGTTGATGTTAGGGTTTCGCCTGGGAGGGGGTGATGTGGTACGTAGGAGACTAGGTCCATGTTCAAGGAGCCTAGGACTGTGATGACTGGGGGTTGGTTCTTGGTCGCCATGATTTTTATGAGATAGAGATATGAAGTCTACTTGAAAATGAGAATATTTGGTATCTCAAGCCCGTGTTAATGGGATTTCTGTGTCTTCCTTGAGATAGCGTGAGCTCTCCTATTTAAATGCCTTGGATGGATGTAATTAAGGGGAATATCGGATGACTTTAAGGCTTGGTGGACAAAACCGATCACTAAACGTCAGAATAGCGGAGTTGCTAGCGGAGTTATTCGGACTCCACAGCGGCTAACCAGTACCTATTAGACACCTATCTTGATCATCCTCATACAAGCCATACTTCTCATATTGATAGTATAGGGATATCTAGCTTCAAAATTTGCATCATAATTACCAACTACTCATATAAGTCATTTTAATACAGGAATGAATGAGCTTGAGATATTAATATCGGTACCTGGCTATGTATTCATAGACTAATTGGCCAATCATATACCCCTGCTCACACACATGTAGCTAAGACTGGCCACCCCACCATCCCTATAGCACCATAACTACCCCGCCTAAATAATACGCCATACCGCTACAGTTGCTAAAGCTTCATTTCGAAATGTCTCTTTCTATTCTAAATAAGGACTTCTTTAAGACTAATACAAATCACAAAAAATGGCCGACTTAAATCTACAAGAAATCCATGATACCCTCATCTCGGTGGCCCACGAGGCCGGCCGTATGATACTGTCCGCAAACCCTACTGATATTTCTACGGGAACAAAGTTGAATTGTATGATCAATACCCTGTTACCCCTCCAAACGCAGTACACGATAGCTTCAAACAGACTACAAGTTTTCTTGAGAGATCTTCACAAAACCAACTATCTAACATATCACGACATACTTACGCGTAACCTGATATATACACTAACAGATACATACAGCCGCAGACATAGTAACCGAAACCGACAAAGCAGTCGAAGCCCTCGTATCCACCCGTCTCTCCGCCGCATACCCAACATTCTCCTTCATCGGCGAAGAAACCTACAAACCGGGGGTCGAAGTAACATCCGCACCGACATTCATAGTCGACCCCATCGACGGGACCACGAACTTCGTGCACGGCTTCCCGCACGCTTGTATATCACTCGGGTTTGCCGTTGATCGCATCCCAACCGTCGGAGTGGTGTATAATCCCTACCTCGACCAATTATACACCGGAATCCGCGGGCAGGGGGCTTATTTAACACAAGGTGCGGTTTGGGGATTGGAAGGTGGGAAGGGGAGGAAGAGTAAACTACCACTATCCAAGAACCCGCCCCCGTTGAAGGGCTTGGATACGAGTCTTGTGGGTATAGAATGGGGTAGTACGCGCGATGGACCAAATTACGAACTCAAAGCTGAAGTTTTTAAGAAGCTTTGCGCGAGTAAGGAGACCGGTGGTACGATGGTGCATTCACTTCGCAGTTTAGGGAGCGCTGCTTTGAATTTATGTGCGGTTGCTGCGGGGCAGTATGATTTATACTGGGAGGGCGGATGTTGGGCTTGGGATGTATGCGCTGCGTGGGCTATACTGGCTGAGGCTGGAGGTATCATGGCGAGTGGAAATCCGGGCGATTGGAATCCTCCGATTGATGGGCGCAAATACCTTGCCGTGCGTGGCGCGCCGAGTGGACAGAAGGAGATTGTGGAGGAGTTTTGGAAGGTTGTTGGTGAAGGACGGATGGAATATGAGAGCTAAGATAGTGACCTTACGCGATACGCGAAATCTGAGATATCTAGGGCTATGAAAAGCGCGATGGTGGTTTATTGGAAGGGACGTGTTTTTTACAATACGCTGTTCCGTTGAAGGGGCATGGACAAAGAGAAGGGATGGAGAATTACCAAATTAATAGACCATACATACCTACAACTTACTTGGCCTAGGTACCTGGCTTACCCCATTCCAGACTCTCCCTACTTGAGGGCATTGTCTGGAATGCTAAACTCCTCTAACAATCGATTGTATTAACAACGGGTTTCTTTCAAAGACGTTTTCAAAAATAGAGGGATGTTAAATAAATTTAACGAGCTTCATGTCCATCTATACTGACTGGTTGGGTTTGGGCAATTGACCGGGTGGACGACTAATACTTGAAGTTAATGTGAACGAAAACGATGACACTATATACAATCAGCGCTCGACATAATCAAATTTCAATACAGCCTGGCTCATGGCGGAAGACATGGAATAGAGAGGAAACCCGAAAATGTGGTGTTATTGGTAAGCTTTTTTCGGTATTCTCGTGTGCTCCCCAAGGGAGAATGTATCTAACAACTAGGATTAGGGATAACAGAGCTTCGAAAACTAGATCTAGAAGGCGAAGTCAATCCAATATTTTCGAATTGGGTCGATACAAACCCAGAGCTTCGTAGGGAGTTAGAACAGCCGTTACTACTTGCGAGTCGGATCCTAGAAAACGCGGGGCTGCCATGGATATCCGATTTCCTTGCCCACGATGTCTTCACAAAGAATTACCCCGGACGGAAACCTAGTTGCCGATGTAGCTTCACGCATTCTACCGCGGGTTCGGGAAATAGCAACGAGATAGTTCCACAGACCATTGTCAGGCATCACCGTGCCGCGTGGGCTTCGTCGGAGCTCAAGGACGAATGGATACATACCTCGGAAAACCAACTTAGGGGCGAGATGGCGAAAGCGATAACGTGGCAGCTAGATCAGGATATGTTCCGTGAGCGGGGTTGGGTAGGATATACATGTCGACATCCGCGAAACGGGTTACCGCTTGATGAGCTAGATCAGTATGAGACTATACAGTCATGGGATAGGAGGTGTGGAGATAACAAAGATCGGGAGTTGGCAGTCCTGCTGGCGGCCGAGTTCCCCACGAAATTAATGGAACTGAGGCGGCAAGGGAAGCAACATGGCGAGGAATATCTCTTGACGGCATTTATGGCTGCTGTGACTATTTTGCATGAGTGAGTAAAGCCCCCTTCTTTTTGGAGAGTTTCGTGTGAGTGCAGGATTAATAAAATGGATTTAGACTTGGCCACGCAGTGTACTGGAAAGATCGTCGCGCCCTTACGGAAGACCTACGGGAGCCCTTCTACGGCGCCGATCTGCAAATGGAGCTTGGTGATAGTTTCATAGCATCCATTTTTGGTGGTTGGACACCAGTGCCGATAAAAAGCCTCGCTCAGCGGAAGGAATTAAATTTCTCGGAAGGTATTGCATGGAAGCAGTCGCTTAGTTGGGACCACCATAGATTCCGTCCTAAGCATCGCTCTCATTACTCGATACCTGTTGACTAGTAAGTTGTTATTTAGAACAGCACGTTACCTAGGAATTAAAAGCTAATAATATCCGTAGTGTGGCTCGTCTGTTCACCGAAAAGTGCTGGGAAGAAGCCAAAGACGATCATCTACGCGGAATCATCCAGCCCCGAACGCTGGAAGAAATCGTCAAGAACGTCGGCCTAGATGTACAAGTTACCGTAAATAGAGAGCACGCGACAGCCGCCATACCGGATTTCCACTGCACTGGCCAAGGTTGGACGTGGAACCGTTCGCCTGGAGCACGGTTCCGTATACCGCAATATGATGGCTACCTCTGTCCCGACTTAGACCTACCGATCGCTACTGACGACGTAATAGAAGAGCCAAAGCCCCGACCTCCGCTCCAGCCCTCCCCCATTATAACTTCAGCAACTATGAATACGGCGCTACTTACGCCACCATTATCACCCGCAACAACACCAATACCGCGAACATTCAGCAGCGAAATTTTAGACTCACTCAGATCGCCTCAGACCCCAGAAACAAGACCAGAGATGTTTCCCCTCCCGCCGCGGCGACATTGTTTTGGGGATTTCAAACCGAAAAGAATAATAGTTCCAAGATATGAATATGACGAGAAGGAAAAAGAAAAGAGAAAGCAGTCAACGCCCAGATACGTCAAGCTAGCCAAAGAAGAGCAGATGCCACTAAGCCCAAGCCGCTCTGAGATCTCTCTGAATGAGCTAAGGTTTCGATTATCACAACTCTTGGGAGTCTCGATGAATGAAATGGAGAGGTACTTCGAGGCTTCTCGTTGTGCGTAAGTTTGAGTAGATATTAGATTTGTGATAAAAGGGAATGGAGAGGTAATTGCGGAGTTTGGGGGTAATACCACAGGTGGTGTTTGTTTTTCGGCGTTGGGTTAGATGAAGGGTTGTAAGACTAGCCCCTAGAGCCCTAAAGATAAAGATTAAAATTGCATATATCTTATGTTAATGTTTGAATGAAAGAATAGAGTGTTAGCGTAGCTTGAATCTGGTGATATGGCCACGCAGAACAATTAGATATGGGTAGAATGTCAGCGTACGAAAGTGTATCTCTTCCAATTGATGATACGCTGCCCACCCGTATGTTACGCTCTCCATACAGCCCTAGGGTGTACATGTCTCGGGTAGTAGCGACAGCGATAAAAGGTTGCAACGCAGATTCGCCACGGCGGGTGATATATGTCCCTGGACCCTAGGTGCGGACATAGGGACCTAATTGCGTGCTTTATCCCGCTGTAACGCGCGCTGTGGTGACGGCATGTCTCAACATTAGGTGGACATTTGGTTGGCTATCCTTAAATTTGGTGGAAGCGTGGCGCATAAATATTGGACGATCTATCAGGCTCCTTCCTTTGAAAAGGGCTATACTTATTGCAAGGTGTACAAGTATAAAGTATTGGTTGGTTTAATGCTAGCCGCCCCTTGCCTGAGCAGCATGTATAAAGGGTTTTCCGTGCGGCTGGATAGGTAGATGATAGAGACGCTGTAATGATTCGTGTGAAATATACGACGGGACCGACAGCCACACTAATGTAACTGAACCTATCGGGAGCGCTTACACACAAGGTGGGTTACCTAATGACGCCTCCGACTAGGGGATCATCGATCTTTGAATACCTAGGTACTATCATTTATAGATGGACGCCTGTAGGAATGTAGGACGCGATTTTCGTGGGGAAAATGCTGAGTATTATCCTGCGGCTCTTTCCTTTTTTATGTAATGTAACTCGGTTCTCGATCTGTGGAATCGGTGAATGAGTTACATAGTATTCGCGGATAACACCCGCGGTTGCATAGCTTTATGAACACTGCAGCAAAAGGGATAAGGGTCCTACCTCGGTACTATGTGAATTGTACTTGCAAATTCTGATGTGGCGAGCCCGGGGCGATGCGAGGGCATGTTTCGCATATACTCGTCTGCATGTATGTAGGCTATCTTATAGAACAATTATCAAGATAGCTTGTCGCGAGAACGATTAGCTACTCCTTGCTTCACGACGAAGGCGCTCTCGACAACGTTACCTTCGTCGAAGCTAGTATCATTCGAATCTCGAAGAAAGGGGAAAACTCTGTACGCCCCCATTTTGATCATTTTCTGCAGGCGGCATATAGGTAGTGTCCCTCAATGCAACAGCGCCTGTCCGCGTAACACCTGTGAGATATAGGGGACTATTGGCAAGGCTGAAAAGGTAGCTATGACGAAGTAAGGGATGTTCTATCATTATTGACACTCTGACCATCAACATCCGATGTGCTACAGAGTAACAGAGTAACAGAGTGATAAGAAAGCACTAATGCAGAGTTAGGCTGGGAGTACCGGGCCGGGACGGCCATCGAGGTTCGCAGAAGGACTAGCCGCATGTAAGAAACCCATGCAATACCATTATGGATCCCGCCCGCAGGATGGCGGAACTCGCATCGCATTGCATGTTACAAGGATCTGTAAAGTAACCTTGGGTATGCCGGCGTGGATACGATAAGAGAAGTGTGAGAACGGAGTATGTGGGGAGTATAAGTGTGTAAGTGGATAAAGATTGAAGCTTGGGAATGCGGGACTTGCCTATCCACTGTAGGTACACTGTCTGGGATCCAAGTTCGGGTAACTAGACCAACTTTAGTTATCCAATCGTCGCTGTTATTCTACCGAGGACAAACAGAACATGATGACAGATCTAGATGAACATATAACTCCAACCGAGAGATCGAATGATCGTACATATGAGTCAAATGTATTATCGCTTGTTCTAGAGCGAATGGTTGTTGGTGTTGAAGTTGAGGGAGAAAACATTAGTGTCGGATTTGGTTGATCAAGTGAGCAGTTAAGCGTCTAGGGGGGAAAGACGAGAAATTTCCGGTGTCGGTCGTGGCGGACTTGGGACCGAGATTGGATATGATACTGGCGCTGCGCTAGCTTGCCTACATATTTCAATAGACCCCAACGTGTAAACTGTGTAAGAAGGATTATATGTGTCATGCATTCGCCGTCACAGCCGAGTTAAGAATTGCCTAGGTAGTTCTTGGAGTCCTGATAGGATATTGTATGCGTAATGAGATGAAGAAGCCGACATCTCCACGTTGTCTTGATTTTTTTTTTTTTTTTTCAAGTGACCCGAAAATTCTATTCGCCGTTCGTTGTATTACCAGCCTTCAGGATCGAAATGCAAAGTACCGAGTTGAAATCGAAGATCTATACATGTATGCATTTTCGTGCCCTTTACCCGCGAGAATGGCGGTGACTGATTCTTGTTGTTGTAGGTGTAGTTGGTTTTCTTCTTGCTCCTCTTCCATTAATATCGTTATTATTGACGAAGTCCCATAGTTGATAATTTCGAGAGGAATCTAGAAGAAAAAAACAGCAAGCGGAGTCCGCGAATTCCAAGGTCTAGCGTCCTAATGCTGCATGCCCCGCCATTAGCGTCCAAAGAATATCTTAATCGGGGAGTGGCTGAAAAATTTGAGCAAGTTGATACGCCTGTACGTAAGTAGCGCTGAAGCGATGCCGCAAAGTACGACATGGGCACAGAGCAGAAAGCTCCACATGCCCCTCCGAATCCGTATAAAATGATTGGCCAATTCTATCAACCGTAGATCGTAAAGTTCTGGGCTTTTGTCTCCTTGCTGTTCTGGCGCTGGCACTGACCGGAGCTAAGCCATCGAGATGTTGTTCCATTTCAGATGCAACATCCTCTTGCGTTTCTGCATCCCGTAGCGGAAATCAAAAAAAAGAAAAGGTGATGACCGTGCATTGGCGGCTGGAGAGGTGAGCATTGATCCATTGATTCATGGGAGAAAAGCGATAAGTGAGTAATTTGAACCTTGGAAATATGTTGGAAATCTTGTATGGTGCCTAAAGAAGGCAACTAGCCTGCCTGCATTGTTTGTCACTTCAGACCGCCAGAACCGATTTATTCATTATTTGTTATTACCTACTCTTCCCCGACCTTGCCTTGTTGATCATTTCGGTCGTCTCTCGGGCGGACCACATGGCTCCCTACTTGGAAACTGTATGCCTCTGACTGTGAGATCGACATCTCGCTGATGCATGCGAATGAGTAAAATTTTTGATGAGCGTATGTGGGGATGAATTGTAAGAGGTGAGAGGTAGAGTTGTGAAAGTTCGATAACCGTCTACACTCCCGACCGATTACCTAGTAATTTATCAAAGGCATAAAAAGGTTAGTAACAAACGTGTTATGAAGTAGAGTTGATACCTAACGGTAAAAATCATACTTTTGTGGTTCATCCAGTTGATCACGAGTTGTGGATGAAACTGGTGGAATAGGCCAGGTAGGCTAAGGAGAGATGGAGACGAAGGACGAAAAGGTAATAATAACATCCAGCCGCCTACCCTTTAGGTCGTACTTGGCAACACTCGGAGCTTCCTTCCCACTTTCATACCTTGCATGCATACAGGTATGTACATATGTACGTATGTAGCTTTGTATGTGCGTTATCAATGTTTACACTATGTTAGTCAAGTGCGACCAAACTGAGAAAATAACATAACGTCTGAACCACTTGCGCCAGGTGCCCCCCTAGCTTGTCTAGGTGAATAAGGTTACGTAGATCCACACCCGAGGGAGCTTCCAAGATGGTTCACTTAGCGCATCCCCACATTGGCTCTAGCATTTGGCCCTAGCACTCTCCGATTCATGGTATATTTTTCTGATGCGGTCGTCCTTGTCTTTTTTTCTTACAACGCCTGCCACCCTACCTACCACTCTTCCTCCATCTCATGCAGCACCTGCACTGCAAATTCCTTTCATCTATTAATCTTTTCTCTTCATAACAGCCGATTGTTCCTAAACGTTGCGTCCGGACGAGAATCCGGATCCTGTCACGACTCCTTTTCTACGTCACTTACACACCATCCTCCCTCCAACGATATAGTAGAACGTCTAGTGGCGTAGAAGAAAGAACAGAAAAAAAGAAAATAAAGAAAAGGTCCGCGAAGTAAAATTCGCGAACACCAACAACAGTTCTAAAGGAGGAAGGGAAAAGGCACTATCTGCCGCCGCAGCACTCAACGTTTGCCTCTAAAGCTTCAGTCTTCTGTCAGCTCAAGAACAAGCGCCAAGTGCTGTGCCAGCTAGTCGTAAGACCGATACCAAGTAACGAAGCAATGGTCCTAACAAAGCAGAGATCACCTCGAAACCCGGATGACTTTCCGACTGTCCAGCTCTTTCTATTAGCCATCGTTCGCCTAGCCGAGCCCATTGCCCTTACTTCCATCTTTCCATATGCCTGGGCCCTCGTCAAACGGTTCAAGATCGGAAACGAGCAAGATGCCTCATTTTACGCCGGCCTCCTTGTATGTGCCTTGAATTCCGCGAAATCCTAAGATCCTCTCAGCAATTGCTCACTCTTATGTAGATTTCCTCCTTCTCTCTCGCCGAGGCCCTGATGGGCATGTTCTGGGGCGGACTCTCCGATAGAGTAGGCCGTAAACCCGTTCTTCTGGTAGGATGTATTGGCACCATGTTCAGTATGGTAATGGTCGGCTTTGCCACCAACCTCTGGGTTGCCCTGATCGGTCGAGCGCTCGGCGGACTCCTTAACGGAAACATCGGCGTTATCCAGACTATGGTTGGTGAATTAGTCTCCAAACCTGAGCATGAGCGTAAGTTGAAGATTTATTTTCCCTTTCTTCGAATAATTATATCCCAATGCTAATATCGTAGCCCGCGCGTATTCCGTGATGCCATTTGTTTGGTCCATAGGTACAATTATCGGCCCTGCAATTGGAGGAATGCTCGCAGATCCCCATAAGTCCTGGCCCAACGCATTCCCTCAAGGCACTTTGCTTGCCGATTTCCCCTACCTCCTCCCCAACCTTTGCTGTGCTGCTCTCCTACTGATTAGCATCTGCTTGGGATACTTCTTACTTGAGGAAACACACCCTGACATGGTACCACGAGTAATGCTTCCCGATGATACATATGTTTCGGACGAGACTCCACTCATGGAGACTTCAGATGCGATTAAGCAACCAGCTGTAGATCTTCGTTCAGAGACGTATGGGACTTTCCGAAACAGAAATAGTGGTGAACTCAACCGTGACGCTATTTGCCTCAAGGAACCAGAAAAGAAGGGACACTTCAACATATTCACCAAGCGCATCATGGCTTTGGTCATCGCGCTATCAATTTTCACCTACCATTCGATGACATATGATCATCTCCTCCCTATCTTCTTCGAAGATGATAAGGTCCCAATTGATCACACTCCTGAAGAGGGTCTCTTCTCAAGATTCAACCCATTTTATTCTCCTGGTGGCTTAGGTCTTTCGATGCAGTCTGTAGGGTTTGTGATGGCTGTTAATGGCGCTATCGCACTCTTCGTCCAAATCGTTATCTTCCCTCTAGCCGCCGAGAAGATTGGTGTGTTTAGACTCTTCCTCCTCGTTGCTGTCCTGCACCCAATTGTCTATGTCATTGTTCCTACCTTGGTGCATATGCCCGAATCCTTCTTATACGCCGCGATTTACGTCTGCCTGGCTGTTAGGAACCTCTTCTCCATTATTATGTACCCTCTCCTCCTTATCCTTATTAAGGATGCTACCCCTAGCTCTTCGGTTCTCGGAAAAGTGAACGGTCTCGCGGCTAGTGCTGGAGCCGCCTGCCGTATGGTAGCCCCACCAGTTGCTGGATATCTCTACTCAATTGGGTCACAGGTTGACTGCACTGGCCTTGCATGGTATGGTAGCGCTTTGGTCGCTATCATTGGCGCTTTCCAGTGCTTCTCGGTTAAGCGGGATCGAAATAACGTTGCCTCGGAGGAAGATGGACCAAAAATCGAGCGTCGCGCTTCGGGAGCAAGCACACCATCAATCTAAGATGTGTTGCGGAGATTATATATCGTGTTATCACGCTATTTAGGCAAGATTTATGGGAGGATGTTGATGTGGTCGTCAAATGATTTTTTATGATTTACGATTCATTACTCTGGACGATTATAGGCTGGAATGAATCAATGTTACTGTTTGCGATTTCGGGGCGGGTTTGCTAGGCGTTTGGGGTTCGGTCCGGAAGACAAAAAAAGGGGTTGGTTTTGATGTGCAACGATATCCTCTGACGCGCGCATGGATAGAATATGATTTACTTTGCTGCAGGATGGGCATTCAGCGGGGAGAGGTAGTTAGCATATCTTGCAACTCTAAAGTAATAATATAATGGTGTTTGAATTTGTAAATCTTGGGGTTGATCACTTACCTTCATTGATGGGCGCATCACTTGTATCCCTAGAGAACTAATCGTAGATCACACTATACTATATCTAGGTATATTTTTGTATTATTGGCCAGAATTCGTAAACGCGGCATGAGGAGTATGTACGTTTATCTCATGAGGTTACAATCGCGTTGAGCCTCAAGTGTGCGGAGGGGACCCGCTACTATCTATTGGTGTCCCAGGACCGCGCATTTAAGGAAATGCAGGTACCCAATCGATCTTAAACTTTAAATGACCGATTAGGTCCCCGTTCATCGGGAATTTGGATAGATAGACGGGTAGGGCTTAAAATGTTGATGTCGTGAGATGGGTAGGCGCTGACGTGCTTTGTGACTAAATGTTCGTGAGCTGGTGGGATGAGCGGGAACCGGATGCCGGGGCGGATACGGGTCCACATCCTTCCGGATTGGGGAATTTGGGAGGGTTTGGGGGTGTTGATTGATTGATGGTATTGATTCATTGAGAAGTAGAGATTCTGGTGGGGATTATGGAATAGAGAGGGTTGGGTTTGAATGGTGATCGTGATGTCGGAGTGCGCTCCGTTGAGGGTTTATAGGATATACTGGTGATTGGCCTCGTATACTTTGATGGTGTTGGGGCTTCAATTTTGAGAAAGTGATTATGGTCTTATTATTCTACCGATATTGGTATTAAAATAGGTGTTATATATTCATATACAATCTATAAGTATCATGAGAACTCTTATGTCGTCCTGAGACGATATTAAAGTAGTAAGATTCATCTTCAAAAAAGGAAAAAAAGAATGTTGGCCATCTGGGGAATCGAACCCCAGGGTCTAGCGATACTTAGTAAGGATACATCATAGGTAATATAGTAGAGAGGTGGATTTTTAGGTAGGGAGAAGACGCTATGTAAAGATACCACTGAGCTATATATCGCTAGGCCGCTCCAACACGGCCTTTGTGACTATTCTTGGGGTCCTGAGAGTTATTTTCATTTATATGTTCTCTAATCTGAAGAATCCTACAGGGAATAAGGTTGAAGAAAAGATCGTGAGGTTGTGGAATGGTGATGTTCGGATCAGTTGGCGGCGAGTAAAGGGAGGACTAGAAAAGGGGGTAAAGTTTAATAGAACTGAACTCCACACGATGAGATGAATGGTACATATGGATAAACCTTCACATCTAGGAAAGAATATTGTACTGTATTCTGTCCAGCGACGCTAGCCCACGTGTTTATCGGACTTGGCCAGCGTAACACATAGACAGAGCAGGACACCATCATGAAAGCAAATCACATCATCATAGAACGGACTCTCATAATTAAGAATAGGAAACAAATATGTATCATGAATTCAACGGCGACTAGCCATCTCAGCATCTAACGCGAGCGCATTACAAATATTGTAAATTGTATGACCACCTTGATCCAGTTTGTCCATTTCCCTCTTCTTCCAAGGGGAATTCTTTTTTGTTCATGAAAAAAAGACCGTTCTATATCCGTGTATCCATTCCCCTGGCCAATATCATATGGCTTTACGTTCCCGGCCGATCCTTCCAAATAGCAGTATGGCCACCTCGTAACGCCAGCCCTGAAAGAAAAGTAGCAATGGGTCGTTAAGGTAAACGACTACCTTACAAGGCGTAGATCGCAGCCATTAGGGCACCGAAAGCCGCGACGAAGGCACCGGATTGCAGACCAGCGGCGCCGTTAGCGGGGACAGTCGAGCCGGCCGGCGTCGACGAGGTGAAGGTTGCGTTAGAACCCGAGCCTGAGCCGGAACCAGTACCGGTCGCGTTAGGAGCAGCAGTGGGTGTCACGGTGGCAGATTCCTGGCTAGAGATCTGGCCACTAGGCACGCCAGTCGGGCTGCCGCCGGAGTTGCTAATGGAGCCGGTCTCGGAAGCGGAGCTACCGGATCCGGAACCAGTCGCAGAGGCACTACCCTTGCTAGTGGATGAGGCACCTGCGGAGGCGGAAGAAGACGAGGAGACGGCGTCCTTGCAGCTGAGATCGAAGAGCGGGGTGGTGGTCAGTTTGTTACCGACGATACCAAAGCTGGGGTTCGGGGTATCGGGAGCAGCGTCCTGGAGGGTGTAGTACCAGAGGTTCGTCTTGCTCGAGAGCAGAGGGCAAACGACGGAGTTCCAGAATTTCTCAGCGTTGTCGGCCGAGGCAACGGACTGTCCGACAGTCTTGCCGCTGACGGGGTGGCCCGTCTCGGTAATCCAGACCGACTTTCCACCAGCAGCTTGTTGGGTCTTACCAAGCGCGTCCTGGAAAAGAGAGCTCGATTTGGAGATATCGTTGGCCATTGTGTCCTGGAAGTAAGGATAAGCATCCATACCAACCCAGTCACAAGCGTCGATAACAGCTTGGTTGGAACCATTGTACCAAGCAGTCCAGGTGTCGACGTGACCAATAGGGGCTTTTTCTAAGCCAGTGCCAGAGATGGCTTCCTTGGTCTCCTTGATGTAACGAGCGATGACGTCCGGGCCAGCACCAACATTGGAACCCGCCTCAATACCTTGGGGCGAGTTTCGGTAAAGATCTTCAGAACCAACTGAGATACCATCCACGAGCTTGGCAAAATCGTCTCCGTATTGCTTAATGGCAGCCTTCAACGCGTTCAATTCGTTGGCGAAAGAAGTATCACCTCCTGAAGCCCATAGGCCGAGAAGGAGGGTGGTCTTCGTCTTGATCGCAGCGGGGATGGCGGAGATGGGGTCGCTTGCGGTTCCGCCTTGCTATAATACGCGTTAATCATCAGAAACACATCTTTTCGATCAAATACTCACCACCATAGTATAGAGTCGAGCACTGGTCCAACCAGCAGTTCCCTTTAGGTTCTGAGCAGTGGTGAATTCGGACTCGAAGTCGGCTTGCTGTTTAGCAGCACCAGTGGTGAAGGTAGAACCATAGTTGAATCCTTGGATAGCCGAGGCCGTGGAGGCCAAGGCGAGGATAGAAGCTACAGCGTGCATGATGGTCGTAGCAAACGGTCTAACGGGAAGATACGAAATTTCTAGGAGACTCCTAGGAACAAATGCTGTTTATGAAGATATTGAGGAAATGATTTTAGTAAAAGAGCAAATAAAGCCTTTCCCAGATTTGTGTATCCCCAAGCAATTATTTCGTGTCAATCGACTCAGCAAGTGCAGTGTATAGCGAAGAGAGGTTGCAAATAATCTAGGTCGATGAGAAAGAACGTCGACTCAACACAGGTAGAACAAACCAAGGCAACTAAGTCAAGGTAAAGCGAGTGTAAAGGTTAGGTGTGTAAGTAGTCTAAAGATTTGTAAACAAGAAGGAAGAACAACTACTTAAGAAGGATGGAATTAATGAATGTAATTCGCACGTGTAAGGATGATCTCCCCTAGCAACTCTTAGGTTAGGCAAGTGAATGACAGGGAATGCACCTAGAAAACAAGAATACGGGATGAAAGAGAAGAAAATCTAGAATATGTTAACGGTGGTGGCATGATAGTACTTGTATCGACACGTAATAAAAATAGTTACGTGGACTGGTGGACTCGGGTAGTATTTTTTTTGGTTGTTGGACTTTCTTTCACTGTATTTTCCATTCCATTCCTGGTATAAGGCTTACCCCTTAGCCAATAGGATTATGCGATTCCGTCCCGTATCACAGCTAAGGAAACTGTTCTAGGCAGTTGAAGCTGCCCAAGTGGTTCCATGCCGCCACGGCCCCAGGGGACTTATCCTTGCTTGTCCTGCTTTCCATCTTGGTCCCGACTGGGTGGAGACTCTGGCTGGATATAGATCGAGCCAATCAAATATCTTTGTACCACATTACCCCTGCGCGAGTCAGGAAACAAGCTCCGAGAGGGACCACTCATTCCCCCATCTTTGTCCATTTTTAACTCTTGTTACAACTGCGACTGCCTGACTGCTGGGAATTCACTACGTATATTTGACTCAAAATTCTACACAGCCCGTTTTACATGAACATAGTAAGTAGTACAGCATAAATATAATATTTCTACGAATTGTTGGTTCTACATCCAACAGAAAAAAATATTAACCGCTCGGCTCGGTTATGTGGAAAATATTTGCAACCATACGAAATTGGTACATTAATCTGGTTGATGACGTGCAGCAACCTCGTATTTGACCCATAATCAACACTAGCAACCCATGATCTTCGCAAGATTGAGACAGTATCGATATTCCGCTGTTGACTGTATTATTTACGTTACATGATCTTCATTCACACCAAACTCAAGAATTCGAAAAACCCCTCTCTCGTCCAAAATAAATATCACACCATGAATAAAGCAAAGGAGATAAATACTAACGGAATTCCTTTTAGTATTCAAGGGGAAAGGGGGAATAGACAAAGGGGAAACTTGCGCGGCCAGTGTAAAAGTTTTGCGGGGGCCCCTGAATCCTGCATTGGGGCTGCATTTTGTTCCTGCATTAAACCGATTCATTGGGCTTCAAGGGCTGCTCGCTGACACATGGCGTTGGCTCAGCCCACGTCCAATACATCCACAATAAACAGACACATTCCGGAGGAAATAGAAGTGTACCTGAACTTGTAGCCTTGTGGAGTACCTAGAAGAGAGGGGAGAGGAGTGGCGAGGAAAAATCAAGAATAAAAACACGCTTGAGTCGCGGAATCAGGAAGTGACTTGTACCACAGAAGGCCCTAATCGTCATCATCTTGTAGACCGGTGTTGAAGGAAAATAGACCCTCGTTGGATACATCCGAACCATCCGAGTTATATATCCTACCTAGGTAGGGTGAGGTATACTTTCGGGCTCATTTTTTGGCCTTAACATTGCGTGCGACATATCTAAGACGTCCTTAGGTTCCTCTAAAACAATAAGTAGACGCTGTCTTACTAGGTATTCCAATAATAGAAACAACTGAATCCCTATACCCAACTGGCATTTAGTTATATAACAATAGAAGGGCAATGCGTTAATATAGATATGTGAAGGTCAACAAGGCATGCGTATTCCAAAATTACATATATCCAAATACGAAGTGCGCCGAGACGGTCATAGCGATATTGACAATGCCCACGAAGAGTTGGCAGACACTAAAAACACTAACCCCAACCCTAACCCTGAATAGCCTACGCCCCGGAATGATTTGGTAACACAAGACGGTGTTAACCTGACATAACACCATGCTAGGCCGGTATGTTTTATTCGGACATGTAATCAGTTAACTTTGAGGGTATCAATCTATAAAATGCTACATCGTGAACTTAGCAAGTTTATCCATAAAATCAAGTAAAGAGAATCCGTATTTCTCAGGTTTATTGCCCTGATTTTTCTCGAATACGAACAGCTCATAACGAAACCTAGTCCCCTGGCTAGACGAAACCCCTAATACCGCGTAGACCAGTCGACTTCTTCCGCTCCTTGTCGTCCTTCTTCTCTTTCTTATCCTTACGAAGATTTTGCACGCCACCTGCTAGAGTTAGTACAAGGTTATCCAATACGAGAACAAACAAGAATACTCACCACGTCCGAAATACCGTTCCGTAGTAGGACTGCCCTTACCAGCCGACAACGGATCAGCCAGCGGTGTAGATGGTCGTCGCCCTTGACTAGCTGTGGATCCACCAGTACTATAAGGCTCAAGCGGCGGCGTAGCATTATACGACGTAGCCTCGAACATTTCCGAGTCGGAAAATCCGCGGTGTTGGCGGTTCCGCGTATCTAATGGGCTGCCCGAATCGGATGATAAGTCGACCTCGGGATCCATAGACCGTCGAGGCTCCGGTTTTGAAAGCTCGGCTACTGTGGATTGTAATTCTAAGATGCTTGCTTGCAAGGCCGCATTCTTCTTTATGAGTTCCGCGACACGGGCTTTAAGCTCCGTCTGTTGAGCTCGGCTCGCTGCTAGAGCACTTTCGACCTGTGACTTCAAATTCTCTGAATTGCGCCCTGATCCGTCCTTGAGAGCATTTTGTAGCTTTTCATTGAGCTCCGCAATCTGTGATTGATACATGTTGTGCGTTTGTTGGATATCGGAATCATGAGCTCTGAGCTTCATTTCGAGCTCCTCGGCTCGACTGTCTGCTTCTGCCGCATGTGCGATTGTAGCTTGGCGCTCTGTCTCTTTGGCCTGGTTATTTCGTTCAGATTCCGTCAATCGCTCGACATCTTTCCTTAATCTTTCAAGCTCGTTCACATTGATCTCCACGGACTGCATGTTTTGCTTCAAAGCCAACTCTCTAACTTCAGCTTCACATACCAGGGAGCGCAATTTGTCTGCCTCGCGTTTTGCCGCCTCTAATTCAGCCCGTAACGTACCACCTTCCGCGTTCCACTTCTTCTGCTCCTCGCGCAGTGCCCTGAGCTTAGTAGTAAGATCGGCTTCCCATTTCTTCGACAGGGTTCGACTTTTCTCAGACTCTCGTTTTGCTTGTATTTCCGAGTCTTTTGCATCCTTTAGTCGTTGCCTAAGTTGACGATTTTGTATGATCAAGTTCTGGGTTTCCGCCTCGCTTGCTGCTTCTCGCACGTGTCGTCGTCGTAGTTCACCCATATGCGTAAGATGTTGCTGCTTCATGAATCTCTCGAATGTAAGATCGTTACTCAAAAGTAGGATTTGGCGTTGGAGGTGTGCAATTTGAGCATTGATCGCATCTGTCGGCGATAGGGAGACGTTGGCTTGTGGAAGGTTCGGTTGAAGTTGTGAACTGGTACGATCCGAAATGGAATCATGGTGACTTAAAGCAAGGGAGGGGACGCTGTCATTCGCCATAGATTGGTGAAGCCCCGACTTGATGGCCTTGTTGGAATTTATTAAGTCTTGTAGCTGCGTTTGTGATGCCGACTGAACAATTTGACGGGATAGTGTCGGACTCTCATTTCCATTTCCAGATAACCTTGGACTTGATATATCTCGAGCAGAATGGTGGCTGCTAATAGATGACTGGCGCAATACAGCTGATTGTATTCGGCTGTTCGCGATAGAATCGGCCAGTGTCGACATTGTATTTCGCCGTTCGTCTCCTTGAATGGGACTGAAAGATGGTGTGCCGAAAGGGTAGGAACTACTAAGTAGTGCAGACTCGGTCCCGTCTCTCTCAGACTCACTTTCTTCTGTCGCCCTTGTGTTGACAGCGTTCGAGATATACTGACCGGATAGTGGTTCAGATGATTGGCAGAGAGCAACACAGTCTGCCACTACTTCGGCCGGTTCACTTTTAATCCACCTTCCGAAATCTGTTTTCTCGGATTCAATAGTAAGGGTATAAAAGTTCTCATGAAGGAGATGGCACTGGCGGAAGCGTTCAGATGCGTGGCGTATTTCGGTGGGTTGAACCTCGATGTCGTCAGCGTCAGGCACTTCCGCATGTCGGAGATATCTCTGCGGTTTCCGAATGTAGTCCATGAAATTAATAGGGTAAAGCCCATAAAGAATTGTAAAATAGTGCAGTAGCTGTGGAATATTCCTATCTTCGCAATCGGACGAGTAGATCACTTTCTCCCAAGCGAGATTGTTAGGGGATAGTCTTCGATCTTTCTCTGCTTCGTCCGCCGCCTGGGAGGATAATTCACGTTCCCAGAACAGCAACCGCGCATATATGTTAAACAGCGTGGGCAAGTGGGGAACGAGAGAGCTCGGCATATGAGGAAGAATCATAGTTAATGCGGTTAAAGCGAGGGACACGATAGTGGTAGACGTGTCAAGTTGAAGGCAATTGATTAAATTACGAAATAGAGGAGTTTGTAAGATCAGGTGAAGATGTGGTGGCTGACTCTGCACAAATATAGCTAGAAATGATAAAGCACGAGGACGATACGCCTTTTTGGCGACATACATGTCAAGGACGGTTAAAAGATCCTAAATCCACTTAGCAAGCAGCTTATAGAGCGTGGGTAGAAACGGAAAGCATACTTTGGGGCGCTTCTTCCCGTAGTGTAGGAGTATCCTTCGCAACTGTTGTTCTTTGAATTCCGCTATCGTATTGGGAGTTTTGCCGACAGCTTCATACTCAGCAAGCCATTGCACCATGAGTCGTTCTGCAAGCTGAGGAGCAGAGCCTCCAGTTGGGGAACCGGGGTCGTTGCCATCTTCAGGAGTGAGAATATCCAGAAGTACACCCTCTACCTCTGCCGCAAGACCCTTCTCCTGATTTAAATGGTCGAGCGCTGGCAACAGCAAATCAAACCATTGGAGTGTTTTGGCCGGCTGTCCGACTATCGGGCGTAAATGACGGGTGATGGCAATGAAAGGCGCGAATCGAGACGGTACTTGAGCGACATCTCTATGGAATATAGATAGTAGTTCATCATTGACTTTATCGGCGACACTTTCGTCAACCTTCTCGTGCTTATATACGTAAGCGTCGATAACTTCGACAAGATCGTCGGGTAACGGCAGACTCGCTGTCGGTATGAATCCGTTGATTGCTTTCGAGAGTTCCCGAAATGTCCTAAGGTTATAGGTGATGAGTTAGCGTAGATGATCAACACTATAAGTGGGTGCGACTGTCTTGCACCAAAGAAGTAGTGAAGCTACTCCGGATCTTTGGAATGGAGTTCGCTATAGCGGAATGGACCAACGTACGGTGCCGAAGACATTGCGAGTTGCCGCTCCAAACGGAGCGACTCAAAGGGAATAATCCGTCAGTTCAGGAAATCTGGGGTAACAAGCTGTCACGAAATAGATTTCCGGATCGAGAATGCGCATGGTAGAGCTGCAAGTCCCGCACAAAGCTTCACCAACTCGTCAATTTCTAGGAAGTTCGGGGAATGGAACCTGGCCCCATTCGCAATTAGTTTTTACATTCCTCCGTGGTGGGGTAAGCCCCGACTCATTAGCCCGTTTTGTTCGTGTCAGGGAAGAATACAGTGTGAAACCACTAGCACCGCACGTCATGCGTACTGGTTATGACTACAAATTAGCGCCTACCTCACCTGCAGATGTAAGCTGCATGTACCTAATTAGCTCTGGAAGTAACGAAGGTCTACCACCATACTTGCCCATTAAATACGACACCTGCTTACATGAAATACAATGCGAAGAAAAAGGGGGAATGTAACGACCTTATTTAGATGCTACTCTACGATATTATATCTTCTGCCGACAAGCTTCCTTATTTGCTCAATTGATTAATATTGAGAAGATCTATGGGAGGTAAGGAGGTTGATCGCAGTTACAGTAAGTAATAAGATTCAAGTACTGTACGTCTTACGGTGAGTGCGTGACCAGTAAGGCCCACTAAAGAAGGTCGATCCTCTCAATGGGATCCACTACCCTAGCGGTCTTAAATCTGGGGGAGGGGAATGATACACAGCTCGTGTGGGGTAAATACACCCTAGTACCACTCAGTACCTACAGACCCCTCCTCGAAGCTGCATGGTCCTACGTAACTGCCCGGCGTGGTCAGGTATTCAAAGTTGAGGCCCCTCAATCACTCGATCCATCAGCCCATAGGTTTAGTAGGTAGCAGTTTCCTCGCTCGATTCGTCTGCCCATTCTCATTCAATTCTTTCTCATTTCTCAAATTCAATTTCTCTCAAAGGAACTAACCAAGTAAAACTACCTCGACAACAAAGCGATTCAAATTTGACACATCTCGTGATTCAACATCCATTGCATCTTCCTTGACTCTCGTAAATATTCTCCCACACCTTCTTACCTACAAACCTCGGATTAGGCAAGCAAATACACCTCCCTATCTTACGAACACGTCTCCAATTCCTCAATCCTTAATCTTCAATCATGGCACACAAGACTTCTGCAGTGGCCGATGAGCCCATTGAAGTTCTCTTCGTTCTTCAGCCTAAGTTCAACTTATTGGACTTTGCTGGTCCTCTTGAAATCCTCGACACAGTCCGTCATGATAAGAATGATGACAGTAAGTTAGCTAGATACCCAATTCGTCCACTGCCTTTGTTTTCCCCGCGTTTTTCAAAGCTCGTATACTAAGAGGGGTATTTGTTTGTAGGCACCAAAGCTTTCGATTACACAATCGCTGCAGCCGAACCCAAGGTTATTTCAGAACAAGGAGTCATCGTTGGTGCCCAAATCACATACAAGGAGGCACATGAACGTCTCAACGACTTTGATGTCCTCATCGTCGTGGGCGGCAATAGCGACGCCGTCCTGAAGGAGAAATCCGAACCCTTACCTACCATTGAAGCTTTTGCCGAGCTTCAGAGAACTGATTACACACGAGAACGCACACTCATGTCAATCTGCACCGGCTCCCTCTTCCTGGCCGAGGCCGGCATCTTAGCGGGCTTGTCCGCCACCACCCACCCCGATTACATGACCAAGTTTGAGATTATCTGCAGTAATGCAGCTCAACGTGACCTGCAAGAAAGAACCGACGTTGTAGAAGACTCTAGATATGTCGTCAACAACCTTCGCTTCGACCTTGGAGATGAGGATGAGAACCCCTACATTCGTCGAAAGTCGGATGCTGGAAGACGCCCCTCTGCCGCACGGTATGTTAATATTGCCATACACATTACCTACTATTACTGATCATGATTATAGGAAGGGAAGCATCTCATTCAAGGGATCGAATGGACGCCGTGAGTCTATCGCCCGCCGCGCCGCAATGCGTCTTGGGGGGCTTCGGGTGATTACGAGTGGGGGAGTGTCTGCTGGCCTAGATGCAACCTTGTATCTGGTCAGCATCCTGGTCGACGAAGACGCTGCGAACGAGGTGGCACGATCCGTTCAACACGAGTGGATCAAGGGTACTGTTGTTGATGGTCTTGACGTCTAGACGGATATCAAGGGCTGCTACGCACTAAATGAAATCAATAGGGGTGGATGTGTTGAAATCTTGCTCATGTATCGAAAGACTCTCCCATCATAAGACCGAAATGGTCCACAGTACCTGAATTTAAATGAAAGTAAAACAGTTAAAATAAATGCCTCTCGGTGCCATTTAATTGAGATGTGGTTTCATGAAAATTAAAATCTGACGTACAACATGCGAGCAACTTCCCATTACTGAACCTTGAACGACGTATCGTGCCAGGAGGTGGGGTTGAAGCTCACGACCCATCTTTTATAGGCTACGTAGCCCCACAATATCGGAATTTGAATTTTCATCCGCCGACCTACGGATAGCGAACTTATTGAACTAGTGTGCTAAATTTCGAGATACACTTTTGTCGCATATATTCAATTGCCATCCAGACACAATGGCGTCAAAACAACTCTTCCGGACAGGGAAGAAGCAAGTCTTCTTGTATGTATCTCTCAAATACACTGCGTATCACCGCGTTGTCAACTAACATTAGACCCACCGTAGACCCGACCACACAGTAATCTTCCTCCGACCGCGCGACACCCAACCACCAAACTTCGCATCTTTCCAAGTGCCCCTAACATTCAACAAGCTCGACCTACGCGACTACCTCCTCCATGCATACAATGTACCAGTCCTAAGTGTACGGTCGCAATTAACGCAAAGACGGCCTATCCGATCTAAAGTGCACCACCGAATCTACAGACCACCACCTATCAAGACGATGACGGTAGAACTGCACCAGCCGTTTGTGTGGCCTGAAGAACCGGAGGATAAGAGCGAGTGGAACACGCCGTGGATGGAGAAGCGTGAGCAGGAGAGACAGAAACAAGAAGAGCTTACTGATAGCCTTAAGAAGAGTGGCAAGTGGCCTTTGAGAGACGAGACGGGTGCTACGCATGAGAGCTTGGAGCTTAGGAAGGAGGCTAAGAGGTTGTTGCGGGAGGGCAATTGGAGTAATAGGAACGAGTTGGATCCGAAGTTTGTGAAGGAGAAATAGGGTTATGATGAATTCTGAATGAAAAATGCCCTTCATGATCTGGAGCCTGGGGGCGGATAGGACATGAATGTACGACTACGAAAATAACTTCGGGTATATATCACGCTCTGTAAAAAGCAGGGACGAAAGAAAATGGGCGCTTAAGTGCCGCACTCTATTTCTATTCATTATTCGCCGTTTCTATCCAATGCTCCTTTTGTTGGAAGAGGAGGACCTCGTTTCCCCAACTCCACCAACCTGTAGTGAGATTCCTCGCAAATATTTCTAGTCCGTTGTAATTCTCCGGTAACATATCCTGAAATAAGGGCCTTAAATTCGGCTTCCTCGAATGAATATCCGGGACTCCCATAACTACCTTAGTTGGAATCGATTGTTTCGATGTGCTACCTTTCCTCCTACCGATTAATAAACGTTCCCATGGTTTCCTCCATTGGGCCTCTATATCCATAATAGGGTCACCGGAGTTTGTTATTTTGAGCCAGATCCATTCACCTACAAATTCTAAGCCCCATTCCGAAAATATCCCACAATATGATGTTAATAGGTCAGCAACAGCGGCTTTATTTGTAACCCATACTGCCACAAGACCATCTGACTTTAAATGCGATGAAACCGGTATTTGGTTTAAGAGATTTCTGACATCTTGCATGTCATATGCTATTGTGTAACTGTTCCGTTTCCGTTTCACGGACCGGCTAGGCCACGGCGGATCAAGAACTATCAGATCGAACTTGGGAGCGTCCGTAAGGAAATTCCCTCGTTGAGATTCTATAGTCCCTAGAAGATAATGGGATAGATCCGGAATATATGGCTCTGACGTGGTGTGGACATCCTTAATGTTTGAAGACGTCTGCTTTCTTTTGCGTGATTCTTCATGATGTAATTCGTCATCACTAGCTTCACCTGTGTTACTTAACACACGTTGCAAGCACCATGGTCCCTCGTAGCTATGTTTGATTTCCTGAAGTGCGGCTTTCACACTTTCTATAGTCATTAATTCGGATATTGCGGCAGATGGTGATACCGATTGTCCCAGTCCTTTCTTGGGTTCAGGTGTTTTCCATGGTACCTCGGCTGGGCGAGATGAAATTATACGTCTCTTTATGGCCTGTTCTGGTAATAGCTGGGCTTCTTCAATGGAACGAGGTATATCTATTAGAATGATAGATTTATCTGGATTTTCGAATAAAATGCAAGAGGCCGACAAATGCGGCAGGGCCTTCTCGGAGTGCATTATTTCCCCGCGTATATTTCTCTATAAATTGCGTCGATGGTCCTACGTAGGTGGTAAGATGCATTTTAGGTTGATCCAGTGCCGCGTGCCGGTTCCCGAGGATTGCGGGATAGAATTCCGGGAAATGAAGCTAAGACATGGATCTTCCTGTTCTTGAGATAACAATTTCCAAGGTCGAATTTTACTTATGATGCACTGTCTTTCGACATCGCCTAGGCCAATTGCATCAAGTTCCTGCAGGCCAAGATCTTTAGGGATCTAGTTTTCGTTCGCTTCGTAAGCTTGCTCCACCAAATATTCGGGACCTGATTTTTCGGGCTATGCCGTGCGGCTTTTGGAATCCTTAATTCACTGGATAATCTAGACCACTGGCTGTCATGTCTTTCTTTGAAATGTGAATCTGATTCAAGAATGGTGCATTGTGAACCCAATGAAAGCAGGCATTAAAGAATCATTGTTGTAAATTGATAAGGTGAAGAAAATGGGGCAGAAGCGCGCGTGTGAATAAGATCCAATCAAAAGTAAAGTGTCTTGGAGTTTGGTGAAGAGATGAAGCAGCATCGGCTCAAAAGAGCCTGATTAGGGGAGACTAAGTGGGTCTTGTCAGGGGTTTAGCCCAGCAAGACAAGCAAAAGCAGGCGCCTCTGACATCAGGGCTTCCTCTTTGTAGCGTGGAACAATCAAACGATTGCAATTGAGTTTAAACGTTGATTGGCGGGTCAGTTGTACATGTGTAGCCAGTTGTTTAGGTACATGCTGGTAGATCTTGTACCACCCATGAAGATCGATACATCGTCATTCGCTTGCTTGTGTCATAATATCAATAGTATCGCAAGTACTCAGGGGTATATCCTGTACTTATCCAATCCTATCTTCTATCCAGATTTTTGTGGACGTTGACGCATTGTCCAAATCGGCTTCCCACGAACCAAGGCCTCCCGCCGAATCGATACAAGTAAAACTATTCTCAATCTAGCCGCCCATTCTCCTCATTCACTACTTCATTCCCAGTTTGGGGTGACAAACCTCAGAGTCTTACCATGTCTCTTTTCTTCTCTCTCCATTCACTTCCTACACCTTTATTTCTGACCGTGAATATTTCCCTATCCTCTCGATTTGTACCAGAATTCTTATAGTGCATATCCATTATCTACCTCCTTAAACCGCCCTATCTATATCCTATTGTATCTTCACATGCAAACGTCATAGTCGGGATACTAGTCTCGTAGCACTCGATATTTACCGACCGCCCTCGATTTCCATTGCGTCTTCCCATTCGTTCGTCTAGCCTACTCATGAGGTTGCCGTTGTAACATTGGTCTTCGAGCTGGACTTTAAGTCGGGTACCGACTACGATAAGTAGGCATGTCGGACTCTGGTGGTAGGTTGCAATATCATTATGCCCAATCGTTTTGGAATGTGTATGAGATTAACAATAGCATAGATAGTGGCACGGCTCAGCGTAATCAGGGAATTACTCTGATAGCTTTTGTCACTGCCCTCAATGTCTCGTTGATAGTCTTTGGGGTCCAGACGGGATTTTTCCTAATATTGAGGAATAAGCTTTCCAGAATATTGTAAGAGCCGCCGTTGTCCCTTTTCTTTTGAAGATATTCTAATATCTGTGGCGCAACAGCAAGCCTAAGACATATCTCGTACCCGAACGAGAACGAACGGAATCTCCTCCAAGTAGCCCGTGGGGCTTGCTTAGCACGCTACTTCGGTTTCGAGATCGCGAAATCATCAAGAAATGCGGGCTCGATGCCTACTTTTTCCTTCGATATTTACAAACTCTTCTCGTCATATTTATACCGATAGCCGTTATCGTGATCCCAATCTTGGTGCCCGTGAATTATGTGGGTGGGCTTAGCCGCAACTTCTCAGCGAATACTACCGACAGCACCAATAACGTCAACTCGACCGATCCGCAAGGCGCCGATTATACAGATCCTAGTGCACCCAAGTCTAATATCACTGGACTGGATACGTTAGCCTGGGGAAACGTGAGGAAGGACCAGACTAACAGATATTGGGCCCACCTCGTGTTAGCTCTCTTGGTTATTATCTGGGTCTGCACCGTCTTCTTTATCGAGTTGAAGGTATATGTCAAGATTCGACAGGATTGGTTGACAACCGCCGAACATCGTTTACGAGCCTCCGCCACTACGGTCTTAGTCAGTGGTATTCCTGACAAATGGCTGAGCGAGGAAGCCCTTAAGGGTCTCTTTGATGTGTTTCCTGGAGGACTTCGAAATGTGTGGCTCACTCGTGACCTCACCCATCTTCTAGACAAGATTTCCAAACGTGACCAAATCCATAAGCAATTAGAGGACGCACAGACGGAACTCATCCGCTTGGCGAAAAAGGAACAGCTTAAGAAAAGAAAACAGGATGAGAAGCAGGCACGTAAAGCGTCTAAATCCCACCGTCCCACCAAGGAAGAAAGACTTGAACGCCAAAGGGAAGAAGATGACGCAGCAAAATTGCAAGCTGAGGGTGGTCAGGGTGTAAGCAGCGGTGATCGGCACGAAGTACCACACGGCGTGAGCGGCGCCGAAGCTGAGGTCGAAAATGAAACTCGCCGAGAGAGTGGTTATAGGCCATCCACCGGGCACGGCGCCGTTGCGACTGGGTTTTCGAAGTTAACCGGAGGATTTGGAAAAGGCATCGACGTTGTGGGCAAGACTGGGCAGGAGATCTTCGGAGGTGCTAAGAACATTACACATGGCATCGACAACCAAATCGAAACGACGAATGGCTTTGTGTCGATAGGATCGCCACAAGGCCCATCGTCTGCTCCGCCTACTCGTGGCTCAGACCGCCGCCGTGTGCAGCTACCGGATGAGAAAGACCTCCCAAGACCATCAATGCAAAGCTCAAACCACCCAGAAGAGCGTGTGATGGGACCGCCCACAACGGGAGCGATGCATTCCCGCAACGGTTCTACCATTTCTCAAGATACCATACTTAAAGGGGAGAGCGTTGAGATGCGGCACATCGGAAATACTACTCGCAGGGCTACTAACCTCAGCGACATGCAAACCGAGACCGCGCGATGGTATGAATTCTGGAAGCCGCCGACAGGTGCATATGCGTCGCCAGTACCCCAAGGATTCGAAGGAGACGATTTTCCATTCAAGAAACAGAAGACGTCTTGGGAAAAGGTCAAGTCATTCATACCGTTTATGGGCGGCCATGAGCTTGACCCGGTAGAGTACCCCAAAGCCTACAATGAAGAATGGAAAGAAGATGAGGACACGGGAGCAGAGTGGGAAAAATGGGTTAAGAAGTCTAAGCGACCGACCCATCGTCTCGCTAACTTTGACTGGACGCCCTCATGGTTGCCCGGACTCCCATTTCTCAACAAAAAGGTCGATACTATCTATTGGTGCCGCCAAGAATTAGCAAAGCTTAACTTGGAGATTGATACCGACCAGAAAAACCCAGAACGCTATCCGCTTATGAAGTCGGCGTTCATTCAATTCAATCACCAGGTCGCTGCGCATATGGCCTGCCAAAGTGTTACACATCATGTCCCAAGACAAATGGCCCCTCGCACCGTGGAGATTTCTCCTAATGACGTGCTATGGGAAAATATGGCCCTGAGCTGGTGGTCGGAATGGCTCCGAACTACTATATCTGTGGGTGTCGTCGTAGGCATGATTATACTATGGGCGTTTCCCGTCGCTTTCACATCATCAATTTCTCAAGTCAGCACATTGACGGACACATTCCCTTGGTTGGGTTTCATTAATAAGAACAAGACGATCCACAACGTGGTGTCTGGTGTTGCTGGTGTCTTGCCCGCCGTTTTACTTGCCTTACTTCTTTGGTTGGTTCCGGTTATCATGGGGTTTCTTGCCGGCTTTAAGGGAGCCAAAACAGGATCCCAGAAATCGGAAACAGTTCAGAAATTTTATTTCGCATTTCTGTTCGTCCAGGTATTCTTGGTTGTCTCGTTGGCTTCAGGCGTGCTTCAGACACTGGAAGACCTAGCAAGCAATCCGACAGGAGTTGCGGACCTCTTGGCTGAAAACTTACCGAAGGCAGCCAACTACTTCTTCTCTTACATGATACTCCAGGCTCTTTCTGTGAGCTCGGGTACGTTGTTACAAATCGGCGCCCTCCTTAATTGGTACGTCATTGCAAGAATCATGAACAGTACAGCCCGAAACAAGTGGTCTACGAACACAAAGCTGCCCGAGGTAAACTGGGGAACGTACTTCCCAGTGTATACCAATTTCGCGTGCATCGCATTGATTTACTCAGTTGTCGCGCCAATTATTTCTATCTTTGCTATTATCACTTTTAGTCTTCTTTGGATTGCGAACAGATATGCGATGATATATGTCAACCGTTTCACTATCGATACTGGCGGTGTACTATATCCACAGGCTATCAATCAGACATTCACGGGGCTTTACGTGATGGAGCTCTGTCTTGTCGGTCTATTTTTCCTCGTCCGAGACCAGGACGGCGAGGTCGTATGCGCGCCTCAAGCTATTATCATGATTGTCTCAATCTTCCTCACCGCTATATACCAGCTCCTCCTCAATAGGTCGTTTGGCCCGTTATTCCGATACCTACCTATTACATTTGAGGACGAAGCGGTGCTTCGAGATGAGGCGTTTCAGCGAGCTCAGGATCGTCGCCTGGGTCTCCTTGATGACGATGACGAATACAATAAAGAGGGTTCGCAAAGTCAATATCAAGATGGAAACCCATCCACATCTATGGATGGAACTGGTGACAAGACTGGGAAAGGTAATAAGTTCACCAATTCCAAACCCGTCAAGGGCATTGTCCATGCTAGTACCTGGGCAGCTCGTGGCGGTAAAACAACATATGACCGTACTTTTGGCAAGGCAGAAAAGGGTCTCAAGAATGTCAACAAGTATCGTGAGGAACGCCGTCAGAAAGATCTGGAAGCGCAGAGGGCTATCGGCGAAGCGCTATACGGTGGATTCCACGATGAAATTGAGGATCTAATGCCTGAGGAGAGAGATGTACTTGTTCGACGTGCGTTTATGCACTCTGCCCTTCGTGCCAGACGTCCGACGGTTTGGGTCCCTCGTGACGACCTTGGAGTCAGTGATGACGAGATCAAGAGAACAAGAGAGTTCAGTGAGCACATTTGGATTTCTAACGAGGGAACAGCCCTTGATAGCAAAGTGCGAGTGTTATACGGACGCGCGCCTCCTGACTTTTCAGAGCTAGATATCATCTCCCTCTGAGGGGATATGCGTATGAATTGACCTGTACATAGAGAGCATACGATGGAAATGACCAGGCTTGGGTTCGTTGGCATAGCAAGCAAAGAGGTATACCCAATGTTGCATAGAAGCGTTATTATTAGCATTTACGTAATACACAATAGACAAAAAAGATTCACCTAATATTTCCATTATGCTTGCTTTTTGTATGAGATTTAATATGAATTTAATCAATCATTTCTAAGACTTATCTAGGCTGCTAGGTGGTAGATAGTATCTCGACCGTCACACATCGAAGCAACGGGATCGTATACTTGTCCCAAAAGAGCTAGGGATTCATACTATAGTCCCAAGTGAAGCATATAAGCAGTCGCACGACTAAAGTCTAATAATTAAGGTTATTAAACCTTCCAACCTACCGGCAGTGTATCGGCTTTTAGAGTTGAGGAAATACGAATTAATGCAAACCTACCAAGCACATTGTACATATGCGAACCGGGTACGTGTCTATATTTAGATGTACACAGATGGTCTAGTGTAACGTACGCGTATGGTCACAGTTTTTATACTGTAAATTCTTAGTGAATTATGCTTACTGTATATACTGTGTTAAAAAAAGATAACGGCCGTGCTCTCGGACCCATTAATAAACAAGCTACCATTTGTGCGTGTTACGATAAACCCATTGGTTCGAACTTTCCAGACCGCGGAGCCAGCCGGGGAAAGAAAGTCAACTGGAAAGAGAGAACAGCAAGTACAGGGGTTAGGAATCTTGCCAAGATCCAATTCTAGCGCGATCGGGCGACTTTGGACCTCGTAAAGTTGTACCTACTGTAGCAGTTTCCAGCAGTCCCCCAGCACTCGAATAACAAGGGGTACCTAGGCCGCTAAATCACAACAGGGGTCTAAACCTGTGCCTCTTCCCATTCTGCTAATTCGCCATTCCCCTTCTCTTATCCCGCCGTCCCGTCGGATTGGCGCTGGTATGTCTTGAATATTTCGAACAGTACATACATACAACTCCTCATCCCCCATTCCCCCCTTTCTCTTCCGTTTTCGCATCGTGCTTCTTAACTCGATACCAATACCAATACCACTGGTTGAGAGACACGCGTGTCAGCAATTTTGTACACGTACTGTAAGATCGGCCCATAACATCACAAGATCAGCGTCAGCATCACGTCCTCAGCTAAAGATCCTCTTTAACCCCCCTTGCATTTTTCTTGTCCTTTCGGGTACTAGGTACTAATTACGCTCGTTTGAACATACGCCGTACCAACCTTCCACAGTTGCACAGTTACACATCCACTCAGCTGATCCTACGATCGTCGTCGTCCTTGGGTGGCGTATTTTCTCATACAGCCACGATACTGCAACAGGCAATAGAATCCCAACGATAGCCTCAACGCGACGCAAATAGACACTCGCTTGTGCAACCCATAGTTCCTAATAAGGCGATATATCCCAGCCGCAAGCCACTCTTATCTGCCGAAGCGTTGAATAGTCTAGGCGAAAGCCAGAACTTCCCGACACTCCTGCGAATATAGACCGAGTTGATGTATTGCGACGCGCAATAGCGATAGGGGTAACCGCGCAAAAATGGGAAAGGCAATGAGGAATAGTCTGAAATGGCTACTTTCCTCTCTAGTAGCCTCTCAGGTGGGAGCGTTTTACATACCAGGTAAATATCCTATTCCTATACATCCGACTAGAAGCGTGCGACGTCTGACGTGATTATATGAATACAGGCTGGTCGGTGAAGAGCTACAAAGAGAACGAACATATCCCATTACTCGTGAATAAGGTCTACTCCGACAACACGCAATTGCAATATGCCTACTACGACCTCCCATTCGTCTGCCCGCCGACGGGCAAAAGCCACGGCCCCGGTTTGTTCAGCGGACAGAGCATTTCGCTTAATCTCGGCGAAGTGCTTCGCGGCGACCGGATCATGACTTCGGATATCGATTTGACAATGGGACAAGATAAGGAATGCAGCTTTATGTGCAATCAAGAAGTCACAAGACGGGATCTGAGACGAGCAAAGGAGTTGGTGAAAGAGGGGTATGTCGTGGAATGGATCGTCGATAATCTACCCGGTGCCACGAGCTTTGTCACGGTAGATAAGAGTCGGAAGTACTACGCTGCTGGTTTCAAACTCGGTTTCACGGACTACTCGGCGAACACTGGAAAGCCGCGGTATTTCCTTAACAACCACCATACCATTGTGATCCGATATAGGTCAGCGCCAGGTCGGGCGGGCGAGAAGGGAGGCAAGGTCGTTGTCGGCTTTGAGGTCTACACGAAGAGCGTAGGCACGAATGTTAAGCGAGAGAATGGATGTCCTGCCGACCTTCGCGATGTCGATGATCACTTCGAATTATACATGGCGCCGAATAAGACTACCGAGTTTCAATCGCAATACTCGCATTCGTCCTACTACCCAGAGGCTATTGAAGAGGGCGACGATGACGATACAATCAGCATTCCATACTCCTACTCGGTGTACTTCCGCGAGGACGAATCGGTCGAGTGGAACCGTCGCTGGGATCTGTATTTCGTTAACTCGGAAGAGGGTTCCCGAATCCATTGGCTGGCTATTGTTAACTCCCTGATCATCTGCGGTCTCCTCACTGGTATCGTTCTGATGATTCTGGCCAAGACGATTCGATCCGATATTAAGGGATACAAGGAGGGTTCCATTGAAGATGGCAAGTTGCGAATCAAGCGCAAGGGGAACCGATCTCCCAAGTCGGAAAAGACCGGGTTTGGTTTGCTTGAAAAAGAAGGCGATGCGGATAAGGATGTCGATATTTCGTCCGACGAAGAGGCACTCGAAGATGTTACTGGATGGAAGTTGTTACATGCGGATGTCTTCCGAAAGCCCGAGTATGGATATTTGCTTGCGCCGCTTGTCGGATCTGGTATGCAGCTGTTATTCATGGCCATCGGACTAGTTCTGCTAAGTGCTATTGGCATTCTGAACCCCAGTTTCCGAGGAGGCTTCTTGAGCGCTGGTGTCGGTCTTTTTGTCTTCGCAGGTGTCTTCTCTGGCTACTATTCCGCAAGAGTGTACAAGACCTTCGACGGTACAGATTTCGTTAAGAACGCGATCGTCACAGCTTGTCTCTTCCCCGGTCTCCTTTTCGGTCTAGTCTTTATTTTGAACTTATTTGTCTGGGCGCAAGCTTCCAGCACTGCCATACCTTTCGGAACTCTGATAGGAATCGTTCTTCTGTGGCTTGGCATTCAGGTCCCATTGGTGTACCTGGGTTCGTGGTATGGATTTGTGCGAACAGGCGCTTGGGAGCATCCGACGAAAACTGCTAGCATTCCCCGACAGGTCCCCAACCAAGCGTGGTACGCCAAGAGCATACAATCAATTCTTCTGGCCGGCCTCGTCCCATTCGCCGTCATCTTTATTGAGCTGTTATTCGTATTCCAGTCGTTGTGGCAGGATAAGAGCGGGTACTACTACATGTTCGGGTTCCTGTCAGTGGTGTGCCTGATCCTCATCCTTACCATCGCCGAGGTCACGGTTGTCACCATCTATATCCAGCTGTGCTCTGAGAACTATCACTGGTGGTGGCAGTCATTCTTAGTCGGTGGGGGTAGCGCCGTCTGGGTATTCCTATACTGCGTCTGGTACTACTTCGCCAACTTGCACATATCGGGCTTTGTCAGCTCCCTCCTATTTTTCACATACAGCTTCATAGCATGTTGCGTATACGGTTTGCTCACGGGCACCGTTGGATTTCTGACAGCATATGCATTTGTTAGACGGATATATGGGTAAGTTCAGTTCCCCTCAAATTAACCCGACTTGGGTGTAAAGCGACTTCATGAACGCATCACTGACGTCTACTGCCTTGTTTAGTGCCATTAAGGCGGACTAACTTAATCGATACTTCTAAAAACTAGATACATACTACTTAATCAAACGATCGAACGTGATAACGTAATAATGAGTAGGATATAGTATTTCTTATATATATACAATTTTTTATACTTTTCTTTGCTCTTATTAATGATTGTCATGCATAATGCGGTGGGACATAATTTGGTAATCTTGTGGTTCGGAGTGCGCGACGGGTTGAGTCAGGCGTACGTTGAGGGTCTCTATTTTGAGGGTCTCTATTTCACTCGTCTTTCGCTATGGTGATCATACATTTTGAAGGGTCTATCGTTCATATGCTATCTATTGCATTCTTACCCTAGTCGATAACTAGGATCGCGACAAAGGGTAGTTGATAATGGCGTTGCTATATTTTTCTGTATATACCTGTCTCTGGCTATGAACATATCAAGAACAATCATTACCTACTATCTTAACATAAAAATCGCTTGCTCGTTAGAGGAGAAATATGCAATCCGTCAACACCTCATGAACATATTCAGGGTAGATTCATGGAGTCAAATCTTGAAGCCAGGCTCATAATTTACTACCCATGGCCAGCCAAAGTCCGTCGCCTTCAGCCATGATGTTTCCTTATATGCATTGTTAGCATTTTGAAGTAACGGTATATCTCAAGGTAGGGAGCAGGAATACTAACCATCTTTATCTTCCATTACACCCTTGACATAGAGCTTGCGCCCATCCTTTCGTACCACACGCCCACGAATTAACACAATCTGGGGCGGCGTAACCGCGCGGCGGAAGTTCGTCGTGAAGCGAACCGTATAAGCTCCGTGCGCTACATGTGTTATTAGCAATCTCTATCCCAGACGGAATATCCCTCTCCAAGTCCAAACACACGAAAAAGAAAAAGAGCAGAACCTACGAGCTTGATGGTTAGCCGCAGTCCCCATAACCTCATCCAACATAACTCCATACAACCCGCCATGCATAGTCCCCGCGAAGCTCTGCGTATCAATACCCAAATCCGCCAGGGCGTTAAACAGTATAAACGGGTTCTGCGGGTCCTCGCCGTTTTCCTTTCCACCACCACCGAGTAGAGCCTGGGATGCGGTCTGCTTTACTCTTTTCTCCTTATCCACCTTCCCGTTACCCACTGGGGATACACCTCCCGCTGGCGAGACCTCACCCGTACCCCCCGAGCTAGGGGCCGTGATCTTCGCTTTGGATTTGGCGGGCTTGACCATGCGTATGAAGGTTACGCATGCTTTTACCGTCGTCGGGCTGTTCATGGTCTTGCGGACGAAGTTGGATTCGCCGGAGGGCAGGGGACGGCGGTCTGGGACTATGACGTCGAGGTTGGACCGGTCGGAGAGGAGCGCGGCGCACCATGGTATCGCTTGGAAGTGCGCTAGGGGGTCTGGGACGGCTTGGTTGTGGTCGTTGGGCGCGGGGGATGATTTTAGAGGTTGTGGCGCCATTTTGGTGGAAATATGAAAAGATGTATGCGTAAGAATAGATGAGTGAGGGTGAGAACAGGTGAGGGTTTGGGTTTAGGTACTCGGTTGCGCGAGCTGCGTAGAGGACGAAGTTCGGAATGCTGGCTGAGATTAGAAAACCTCGGCGACTCAGGTGGACAAGTACCTAGGTAGAGAGTATGTGAAGGTGCTATGGTATAGTCAACAGGAAAACATAATAGTACACTCAAAGCTTACACTCCGATCCGCTTCAATATATCGACAATGTGTATTAAGATATTAGCTACTAGGAGAGATATATGGGTGGTAAAGCTAGACGAGAAGAAAAACCTGGGGAGAGGTACCGGGCCTCTTTAAAAGAGACCGAGACCGATACCTATCATAGGTTACCATAGGTCAACTGGTGTGCCAGGTATTCTCCGCTTCCCCCAGCTTATCGAAGGCCGGGCCTTATTGACAAGTCATATTATTTCCAAGGTCATGTCTTTCAGCTCGATGGGGTGTGGGCAGCGAGTGGATTGGATTAGAGCATGCATGACATCAGGAACAAAACAAATGGAAGAAAAATAAGGCGGATGTATCTTCAAGAGGAAGTAAGGTATGTTTACCATACCGAATTCAGCTGCGGCATGGAGAACTCGCCTGCAGTTGGGTGATCGTCATGGTTAGCTCACTGACGGACGGCACTAGACGTAGGAACGGTGGCTTTTTGGCGAACACCGGCGATTAATTAGGGAGCGCCCGACCAAGTTGGTGTGCTGCGCTCAGACTCGTGTAGCCGAGGTTCCTGGTGATCAGCTATGTGTTGTTGAGAAATGAATTCCCACTCCGAAGAATGTAGACAATAAATCTTAGTATATATTGAAACCCATCTCATATTAAGTATCGAATGATTATCGCTTGGCTATATCTATTTGTTTAGTAGGTGAGTAAGTGTAATTACTATTGAGTCGGGGAATAGCCATACTAATGAGCGTAGGATACGAACCCGTGGGATGAGTGGCGTTCGTTTAAAATGAAAAAAGCAACCACAAGACCAAATATGTCGCAAAAGTGCTCTGCTAAGCATGGATTTATAAATCCTCTAAGAATATTAGCACTTGATACGAAAATTATGTGTTTGACTCAAGACTCACTAAAATTGCTTGTTTCTCGTTCATTTGACACCTAATATTGCCAAAAGCGTAAAATTGTACGAGAAGGGCTGGAGAAGCTAATAGGTTTAATAAGACTTCTCTCTATGCTATGCTCTATTGTCCCATATATCCATCAATGCCTTTAGGTACCTATGTATATCGAATCTCTACCCCCCAATGATCGCGAGGAGACTCCCACTCGCCATGCTGAATACCAAAGTACACCGTAAACGCCTTCACCCCCGACAATGCCACCTTAGACCGCTCATATGGCTAGACTTTTCCTCTAAATACTAAACAATGTCTTTAACCGTTCGTAAGTGTAGAAACTGACTGCCGCTAAGGGCACCACTTTTATGTAGCCAATTGACAACCCGACGAAGAACCCTGGGATTCCGCGCTCTCTAAATATCATGCCTGCCGTTTCCCCTATTCGCAGGCGGTGACCATCTCCGACTGCGCCACTGACTTGCATTCGTCGCCTTATTACCTCTAATGGATAAGACACTGTTTGTGATACGGCACCCGAGATTCCTCCGGCAATAAGTTCCGCCCACGCGCGGAGAGGCTCGGGCTTGTCGGAGGGTGAACCGACAGGTTTGGGTAGAGTAGTATATTTTCGAATCGATGGTAGGCGGAATATATCCCCGGCGGTGTCGTGCGTTAGGAAGGATATACCAGCGTACGGTATCATACCCAGTATAGTTGTAGAAAACCCTCTGTAGAAATTGATAAGCCCAGATCGGGGCGTTACCGCCTGCGCAGTAGATGTCGCAGCCTCAGCAACAGCTCCCGTGACGCCCGATCCCGACTGAGCGGGCGCAAGGGGTGATTTTGGCAAAGGTTGTTCATGATAGATCTTTTTGCAGATATCGGCAAGGGACGAGCTCCTATGCTTTGTCTCGAACGCTAATCGCACGCGAATGACCTCCAATGGGTATGTAACGAATACGGACGTCACACCGGCTAGTGCACCGGTTGAGAATCGCCGTATCCATGTTTCGTTCTGTCGGTTCGAGCCGATGATAAGGGCGCGGTATTGTTCGTAAGCGACGAATTTTATGGCAGCGTAGGGGTAGATCTTCAAGAGAGTGGCGGAGTGACCGCGAAATAAGCCAAACACTCCATCGCGAGCGTAAATGTCGCGAATGGCTATTCCAAACCCAGCCCAGGAGCCTTGATATTTCGCGAATTGTGGATTACTCGTTTGGAAGAGGATCTTGACCCGGTCGAGCGGAGCGACTGTCGTCTTAGCCTTGAGACATTGTTAGCACGCGAGCGATTCGCGCATTCCAGTCAGGAAGTTGTGAAATACGTACAGCACACCCTGCAAGACCTCCAGCAATACCTGAGCGAATGACATAGTCCAAACTACGCTTATCCGGCTCATTCTCCTTTCTTGCTATCGGAGGTTCTTCATCGACCGAATCTGTATTTGCGCTGTAGGATGTATTACCTGTGACAACACTACTGGCTTTCCTAACGACGCCATCCATCTTTCCGACGAGAGCGCTCGCGTGTCCTTCTCGATGGGATGGGAATTCGGACATTGTGTCATGATTCGGGGCTGCCGATGGCATTCCTACGCCACCGACTTGAACTCCGGATAGAGAGCGGTAGATGCGACAATAGAATCGGAAGACGAAAAACAGAAAATAAAAAGAATTTAGATTAGAGACTAAATGTACATCTCCGCCTTCCTTAGTATCAATTCTCGGGGGTCCGGGGTACAATGAAGGGAGGGGTGTCGGCTAGAAAGAATGGAGAGGTCGTGGTTGCCGGATTTTACGCAGGGTTCGTTTTAGCACTGACGAAGCGATTTCTAGTGATTTGCAACAGCCGCGAACGTCACTTCCCAGTCTATTTTATGATCCCCACCCCTGTAAATACCCCGAGTCCCGAGCCGAGGGTTGCCGAAGCTTAGCCCATCTACCCGTCTGATCTTCTAAACTCCAAAGTCCGCCTTGCATTTATTATCACGAGACCCTCTTTCGCATGGGAGAAATCTTCAAATTTTCTAAGTTGAATAATCAGATGACCGCTGCAGCTCAAAACTTGGGGTATGCATCGAAGCTGACTAAAATATTATCAATAAGAGCTATCAATTGACGAAAAATGAACAACCTCGTTAAGTCATCCAATTGCAAAAAAAAAAAAATCTCTATTCTGAGTGGAGGTATTTAATTTGATCTATAGATGCATTTTAGATCCCCTGTCATGTATCATGCATGTGCTAAGTTGTTGTGTTTGTTTGCTTTTATCTTCCCAAACCCGAAAAACTGAGTCAGTGCATCACCCCCATTCATATATTGGATGTCTAGTCAGGGAGTGACAATATGAGACGACCAACTCAGGAAGTATCCCGACGTCTCGGCCCATGTCTAGAAACAAATGGGACGAGAAACAATACCTTTTGCGCCTTGCCAGGATCTCCGGCTATGTAATCAATAAAGGAACTTCTAACAGTTCCTACCCGCTATATTCGCCATAGAATGGAAAACCCGGCCTCTTTCTTATTGTAGAACTTATTACAATAGTTTCCCTTCCGTCAATTTTGCTCCTCCCAACCCACAAGCGCTCCGTTTCCTAATTGGAGGGCTTGGAGCTGTATAGAGCTTCTAACCTGGCTTTCTCCTGCTCTTTGAGCTCTGCGATCTCTTCTTTCGTGGCATTGTGTTTGACGGCTAGTTGGTTTCTGGCTGGATTTTCGGGGCTGTTCTTGAATTCCTTCCAAATCTTCTCCTTCTTCGAGCCGTAGTTCATTCCTTTCCCACTGCCGTCTTCTTTCATTTCTTGAAGCCTCCTTTCCTCGAATGCAGTATAGGCGGCCTTAACCCTTCGGTCGGCGTGTCTGTCTATTTTGACGTCGGATTTCGAGTCATCAACACTCAATACTGCGAGAGCATTATCAAGACCTGAACCCGAGAGTTCTGGTGCCTTTTTGTTGTCGTCGGTCTCGGTCAATGCCGAGTCGATACCTCGCCTTGTTTTCTTTACGGCAGTCTTAGCATTCTTCGGGCCGGCACGACTCGGAAGGCTCTCTTCTTCCTCGGCAAGGGCAGCTGTTCTCTCGGCTTTTTTCTTTGCTTGTTCTGCTTTCTTCGCAGCCTGGGCTTCTCTGGATAGATATATTATTAGTAAGAAGGCACGAATAGTTCCACTCCATCCAACCTAATCTAATTAATGAATACCACATCATGAAACTCAAGAAGACCTTTAACACAATTACAGAACGAATTTCAAGGGTAACTTGCTTTTTGGAATTATTCTTAGAGCCCTTATCCCACTCAGCGTCCTCTGCCGCGGCCTTTTTTTGATCCTCAGCAGCAGCCTTATCGGCGGCCGCCTGGGCCTTGCGAGCTTGGCCAGCCGCCTTTTTGGTATTTTCTCCACCCTTCTTCCCTGCCATTGTAATTACACTCGGTGAGCTTTCGGGCGTAACTTATATATGATTAAACAGCGATCCGGCCGCAACCGACGGGAATGTCATTAAAAGATCCACTGATGGATGCCGTGCGACTCGCAAACGTTTGAGCCAGCGGTATCAGGTAGTAGGGAAATCGACGGGAGAAGGAGGGGCTGGCGGGGTTATGGATAACACGTCGTACGGCAAGGGGGGCACGGAATAAGCATAGAAAATCGGGGCTAGTTTCGTAATAGCCATCCATCTTCATCTGCAGCTAACAAACCATCTTAACCTACTTCAACTCACTTTTCACAGCTACATTTTTGGCCATCTACAATACTTTCGGCACACCTCGCCTCGATATGCATCTTTTCGGATGACCCCAACATACCCCCCCTGGCGTTGGCAAGTTGCCTACTTAAGGTACTTAGGTAAGTTGAACGTGCCCAACATGGGTTCTCAGGACCACCAGGAAGGTTGGCCGCAGCTGGAAGACCCATGGTTACCATCATCCGGGCTGCACCACTGAGCAAGGTATATATTGAACCTATCCGTGGTCAATGATGTTGTAAAAGGTAGAAACCAAGATTTCCTTATACTACCGTTGGTTTTTCTTTTTTATAGTATCTTTAAACCAGCTATGCAATGCTTCTCGATGGTATAATTCCACATTTTCGGTCCAACCCTAAATTATCCAATAATTCGATCTCAAGCTCGCCACCAGTTAACCATGGCGGCGATCAAGTAACTAATGGGACGCCGGCATATCCTTATCGAGAACTCTTAGGAACAGAAATTCGACTAGTCAAAATATTGCCCGACAATGGAAATGGGATTGAATGCCAGGTCGACCAAGTATCTTTGGGTTCGAAACTAAAGTATTTCGCATTATCCTATGTTTGAGGCAATGCGTGTGACCTGAGGACTATTGTACTTGATGGTCAACGATTTGACATCACTAAAAGTCTCCATGAAGCGTTGTGCCAGTTTAGAGAGTTACCCGATCTGGAGTGTTCGCAGAATTACATATGGATTGACGCCATCTGCATCAATCAGAATGATTCCGACGAAAAGTCTCGGGAGGTTCCACGAATGGCCGAGATATATAGGTTGTGTGACCAAGTGGTCATTTGGCTTGGGCCCAACGGTACACCGACCAGGAGCAGATTTAGAAAACTCATACGGAGGGTATCGCCATATGGAAATACCGCTTTCAAATCGAATCAAATGGAGAGGATGTTAAACCCATCCGGGCCAATAGCGGATGATGTAGTTGAGGAGCTTATCTCAAAACGTTGGACTCTCTGGCTTTCCATATCCGAAGATGGTCATAACGATGCGAAAGTTCTCCGCAAAACTTTCGGCAGCTCATATAATGCAATACTCACAGCTTGCGCCGAAATTGTGTCGAGACCATGGTTTATAAGAGCTTGGACGATCCAAGAAGCCTGCATCCCGCCAGATCCTATAGTCTACATCGGCCGCCATAGTATGCGTTTCAGCGAGCTGTGCGGATTCATTAGGGTGTTTGGTATGGTTAATACAGCGCTTCTCCAAAATGTAGGAACAGCTAGGATATTATCGATAGACAAAATTCGCGAAATGCGTGGTGCTATCTTTGAACCCGACAATGCCCTCAACCCGTTGAAGATGGATACAGTGCAAATATTATACACAATTCTGGGCCTCACCCTTAAGAAAGATTCCAAAGATCCTCGCGACCAAATCTACGGGATCTTAGGTCTTCTCGAACTTCTTGGGCAGGATACACCACCCGAACTAATTCCCAATTATAATCAGCCGTACGAAACCCTATACTGGAATTGCACGGCCTACATTCTAGGCTCTATTGGCGACCTACGACTACTTGGATGCCGAAGAAACGACCTTCGAACCGGGCCCTCATGGGTAGCCGACTTTCGATACATCACATTTAGGACAACTACCCCAAAATATCTAGCCTCTATCCCATCATTGTCCTTAGATAAACGGATTTTATCGCTCCAGGGGATTTTAGTGGGAACCTACCAAGACCACGTTGCCCGGTGTGCTACCGCTAGCATCATGCCGTACAGCGAACCAAACCGAGGGGCTTTATCAGCCCGTCTTCGAACAGTCGAAGCACAGATCCTTAAACCCTCGGCAGCTATAAGGGGAACTACGGTTGACAGATCTCTAGATGGTTTCTTGAAGGATGGCCAAACAGTTTTCAACGAGCAGGGGATTGAATCGTGGCGCCGGACTTTTCGACGTTTGTGTGAGACTCGCGGCGAAAAGTCGTGGATGCTAAAACGGAGAACCAACACGGCCCGTTACAAGCAGGAATACGCTATTGCGGAAGAATTCTGTTATGAATTCATGCTACTTTCTAACGGCGTTGTTGTGCGTGTAATCAGACAAGACGTGGACGTAAGATCCGGCGATCTTGTATGCCTTTTTATGGGTGCTGACCGAGCCAGTGTTTTGCGGCCCTCCGGACAAGACTATAGGTTGATAAGCCAGTGCGACATAAGAATTAGTTTATTTGCGAATGAAGAATACGACAGCAAATTTTGGGAGACGGAACAGACGAGAGGGTTCAGTCTGATATAGTCTTAATTCATCTATATGAATCTAGATAGGATGATGGTTGGAGTCTCATTAACATATCGTATGGTTTGGGACATCCCTTAACATATACTGCTATTAAGTACTACCAATTCGCATCGCTTCATCTTCCGTATAAATTGATACCTAATTCACGAAACCTATAGCGGTCGACGCAAGGAATAAACCAACATACCGTACGTGGATAATTCCCCATACCTGGAAGTAAAGGGAACCAACCCTTTTGTAAAAGATGTTTAGCTAGAGTTGGAGAGACCAGTAAAAGTTGCTCTCATTTAGCATACCCAAGTACCTACTGGGCGTTCACCGCTTCCGCTAATTTCGCCTAAAGTCATGAGTGGTAGGGGACTTGTTACACGTGTTACAGGATGCTCGTTGGCGGAGCCAGCGGCTATGACAGGGGGGTCATTGGTTACCGACGCTGCACTGCCAACCCACCAGGTCGCATGCTCAAATCTACCAACAGCCTGCGACCCGATGGATGCAACCTGAAATTCAGCTTCTACACATATTATAGGTAGCAAGGATGACACGATGCATCACCCCGTTTACGATGATTTATAGCGATGTTGATAAAATCGTTAAACCGGCATCTCAAATCTGGATATGAGAAATTTACATTCTGGTCGAAGCGGCGAGGCTCAGAAGAAGATACTGAAGAATCTGAGGACGATGACGCTGAAGACTCGGAAGATGGTGAGGACGAGGAAGAGAGCGAGAGCGAGGATGATGAAACCGACAGCTTTGTGAGCGTCGAGGAGCCATACCGGGCGCCAGCGTATCCCTATCGAGAACTGGAAGGCGACGAGATTCGACTGCTTCGTATAGTACCTGGGACAGGAGCCGTCGAGTGTCTTCTCCATCAAATCCCTCTGGCTGAGGTGAAGTTCTTCTACGCTTTATCTTATGTATGGGGCGATGCGACCGAGAAGAGAACCATTTTTCTAGAGGGGCAGCCATTTGAGGTTACCAGGAATCTGTTTGAAGCTTTACATCAGTTCAGACAACAACCAGGAGCTCCTAAACGGGAGCGACTGGACATCGGCTATCCAAATGATTATTTCTGGGCTGATGCTATTTGCATTAACCAGGCCGACTTGGATGAAAGAGCGCGCCAGGTGCCACGTATGATTGAAATATACCATGCCGGCCATGTTGTCATCTGGCTTGGCCACGTCAGGAAACGACGACCGCCGGAAAGCCGCCTCAAAAGACTTATCCGGCGGGCCCCAAGGACCGAATGGTCTCAATCCGACTTATTGCTAGATAATGGGATCAAGACCTTGTTCAAGAAGACCAACTCAATGTGGGAAGACTGGGAACCCATAGATGAGGACGACAATGTGGTCTTAGAGGCCGAGTTTGGAGATGATTATAACGGCATCATTACAGCAATTGCCAATGTTCTCAGAAGGCCATGGTTTGAAAGAGTATGGACCCTTCAAGAATCTTGCTTGGATACGTATCCGATAATATACATCGGGCGCTATACCGTACATCTGGAAAAATTGATAAAAATGTGGAAACTTCTCCTTGCGGAGCACAATAATCTGATTACACACCCTGGGAGTTTTAGGTTGACTTCCCTGGAGCAAATCGATCGATTATATAGGAGCGCTTTGTTTGATTGGGACGGGAACCCGAAGAAGATGAGCACAGCCGCGCTCCTCGCAACTTTAATAAGAATTACTGGCAGGAAGGGATCTTCGGAGCCTCGAGATCAGCTCTATGGCCTTTTAGGTCTTGTCAAGTATCTCGGGGACCAAGAGCTGCCAGAAGAATTAACCCCAGATTATCGCTTACCATATGAGAGTGTATATTGGAATTATGCAGCATTCATATTTGAAACGGCTGGAGATCTGAAGCTACTGGACTGTGCCCGCAACGAGCTCCAGGACGTACCATCATGGGTCCCCGACTTTCGGTACTTCACAGTATCACTTGATGTGGGACATCAGGTGTCCGCACGAGTATCCCTCGACAAGAAGATTTTACACCTACAAGGTTCTGTACTGGGAACATTTCGCAATTTCATCAATGGCAAAAACCTAGCGAGCCGTTTGCCCACCGGGAAGAAAATACCGGTCGAATTATCAAGACGCCTAAGAGAGTTTGACGAGCGTATCCTCGAACCGTCGGCGGCTGCTAGAGGAATTACTATCGAAGAGGCCTTCAACAGCATGATGGAAGACGCAACCAGAATTGCCCCAGAACGTAACGGAAAGAGTGCCGACTCATTCTATCAAGTCTATTGCTGTCTACGCGACTCGCGCTGGGCTAGGAGACCCCGCGGAGCTAGAAAAAGACGAACATCCACCTTCCGTCAAAGGGAACAAGTCATCGCGAGCCGATTACATCCCCCTTGTCTACTTCTTACTGACGGTACGATACTTACTATGGTCAGAGAGGACGCGCAAGTCAGAACTAGCGATCTGTTGTGTATATTCAAAGGGGCCGTAAAGATGAGCCTCCTGCGACCCTCTGGCGATGACTATATGTTTATAGGCCAGTGTCGGGTACAGGATGGACCCATGAAACAACAGGGATTTGACGATGACTTCTGGGCCGGAAGGGAACTACAGGATTTCAATTTGATCTAACAACCATTTGGTATATATTTATTTTGGTTATCATCTTCATGGGGCTGGCGATGTCTCGCATACTGAAATGGACACATACTAGACGATTCTTGGCGCAGGGGACATGATAGAAACGAGATATATATAGACTGTAGTTAGGGTTTACATAGAGCATATGGCGTTGGTATGGATGATATGAAGCTACGACGTCACGATGTTTAAATCCAAAAATTCCTAAACCGCCTGATCATAGGTTCTGTTTCTATGTTAAGTCACCCATGGCTAAGGTGAGTCATTCAGTCTCCTTTTATATGCATGCTTAGATATATACCCGCGCGAGAGAAGACTAGACTCCACCTCTTCCCTCTCACAGCGCCCTCATATGCACGAATCCTTCGCGCCCGGTGGCAACACCTTGGCGAACTCGGCTCGGCACTCCTCACGAGTTCCATTCACAGAAACCTGCGAACAAATTAGTACCCATAGGCACATATACATAAAGGGATTACATACAGTTGTGACATTTTCATCATAGTGCTCCTCAATAGCCTTCATATTCTCAACGTATTCGTCATACCGCCTGTTAAAACGTTCTTCATCGTCGCTTGTCTCTCTTCCGCGGGCCAGGAAGCGACGCATGGCGACCTCGCGTGAACAATCAAGGACGATGACCATTACGGGCTTGGCAACCTGTGTAGATAGTAAGTTAGCACCTTCAGGGTTTCTTGACATTAAAGATCGACTTACCTTCGCCTCAAACGCCAGAGCGGTCTCTATATTGCGCGGAAACCCATCGATTAACCAAGCATCCTCCGGAGCGGTGTTAACCTTGTGCTTGAGTATTGGGATGAGTACTTCGGAAGGGAGTAGCTTTTGCTCCCGTAGATGGTGGCGAATCCTGTCTAAATCGAGGTTCGTAGCATCACAGCGCGCATTGGGAGCACACAGCTCGCGTAGGTGGTCCCCCGTCGAGAGGTGTTTATAGAAACGGTTGGGGCCTGGGGGGTTGGTGGCGACAGACTTGCAGAGGGTACCTTTACCACAGCCTGGAGGTCCAAGTACGAAGACTATGTTGCGGGACGGCGGTTGGATAGTACTATCCGTGCTAGGTATCTGGAGAACCATCTTCAAATAGAACTAGAAGATAGGTAAACAGTATGAGTTAGTGTTCCTTGATCTCAGAGTGAGAGAAGTATCGGGCAATATATACTCACTAGCTACAGAGCTAGTTTGACATCACAACCAAGTTTTCGTGGTCGGAATGGCGCGTACTGCCTTTGATTGTTAGATGAGTATGTTGTAGTTGGCAAGCTTGTGACTGATATTAGAACAAAGAAGCCTGAGAAAATTAGATGTCAATGTGAGAAGCTCTTCTCGCCTCCACCTCCTCCCTAACCATGGCCGATCGATACTGTAGCATCGTATTTGATGAATGAGAAGTTGAAAAGTAAGAGTCAACGTATATCCCAGCATTGTCCCTGCTTCTTCCCGCTCTTCGGGTAGTTACCGGCGGTACTGGCGGTATGTTTTAGGTAAGTACTACTTCTTGTCCTAGATTGTTACCCACCTGCTCTGTCTGGTGTTTACAACGGGCGTTTGCGTTTATGATCAGTAATATCTCAGATCAGTATCAAGCTCATTACTGCCCAACTACCTAGGTATGCACTGTCCAGATACGCAGGTACAAGGCGGGGGTATTGGATTCCATTCATTTACTTCCTGGAGAACTGATTGGCCGATCGTATCGCGCTCTTGCGAGTTGTGGCTTGCGGTGTGAAGCAGGCACCCAGAACTTACTCACATGTCCTGGAGTTTTTAATATAATTAGAAAATAGGTAGAGGTGTCGTCCTCTCCGTATAAAAGGCACGCTCAGCATTCCTGCTTCGTACATTCTCTCTCCTTCCTATCTACTACAACAAGAAGGTTAAAACGAACGAATATATCGACTATGCTGTTGAGTATTATCTCGGCGCTGCCCGCGTTGGTCCTCTACGCTTGTATAATTTCGACAGGGGCTTATCTTGTGTATTGTAAACGTTGTTCTGACAACGCTACTAAACCGGTCTCAGTTAATTATTTCTTTACGCGGAAATGCAACAAGACGTGTGGTTTCTGTTTCCACACTGAGAGTTCCTCCTACGTGGCCTCGGAAGATGATATGAAGAAGGGGCTCCGCCTTCTCAAAGAGGCTGGAATGCGCAAAATCAACTTCGCTGGCGGTGAACCATTTCTCTATCCTGAAAAGCTTGCTATGCTCTGCCGTTTCTGTAAAGAAGATCTCGGCCTAGAAAGTGTTAGTATTATCACCAATGGTACGAAAGTGACCGAGAGGTGGATGGAGAAGTATGGCCAATGGGTTGACGTCATGGGTGTGAGCTGTGACAGCTTTGATGAGGCTACAAACATAGCTATCGGCCGCGGCACGGGTGAAAATGTTACCCAGCTATTCCGCATCCGTGACTGGTGCCGCAAGACTGGCATCAAGTTCAAGCTCAATACGGTAGTGTGCACATACAACTGGCAGGAGAACATGGCAGAGACGGTGCAACGTCTAGACCCATTTCGATGGAAGGTCTTCCAAGTACTATTTGTGGAAGGGGAGAACGATGCGGAAGAGGATGCGCAACTGAAGAATCGAAAGCACAACGCCAAGAAGCTCCTCATCTCGGACGAGCAGTATGAGGCTTTCTGCAAGAAGCATCGACACCTGAATTGTTTCATACCAGAGCCGAACTCGGTCATGGCATCAAGCTACCTAATGATCGATGAATTCCTCTGTTTCCTAGACAAGGGTGCGGGAGTAGAGAAGCAATCACGGTCGATCTTGGAGGTTGGGGTACAGAGAGCACTTAGAGAGGTTTATTGGGACCAGGAGGCTTTCAACAAACGGGGAGGGATGTACGAGTGGACGAAGGATATTATCAGTGATGGGGTAAGCGGTTGCGGGTCTGTTGACAAGAGGTTGACGGACTGGTAAGGTTGTCTACCTACCTAGGTAGGTAGGTAGTTGATGTTCAGGTGAGGGAGAGTGTGGGGGAAATGGGATGGGATGGGATGGGATGGTAGAGACGGGAAGGGAAAAGGGAACTTGCATTAGTGCAAGAAATGAATGGATAGTGCATGAAGTGGAGCTATATCTCGTTTGGCGGTGTTCCGATTAGTGGGTAGACCCTATTAAACCCTGCTAAATCTAACAAGGCGGGGGTGTACCTACAGCGCGGATCGGATCGGATAAGGCACTAGTCTAGGGCTACTACCACTATAGTATCCCTTTTCTACATATGTAGAGCCGCACGTTAAGCTTGTTAGCTGATCTTATTCGTTTTCTTTCAAGTATTTTACATGTATGTTTCCCTTCATTAAAATGGAGTTTGATTAACTCCGGGTACTTGAAGGACAGTAAAACTTACGACTTACGACTCAAGGATATACTCAATTAATTAGTGGTAATATATTATGTGCCTGGTGTTTACCAATCAAACAGCTCCCTAATATGTATTACCGGTTCCCTCCCCTCCAGCTTATGTGCTGTACCTAGAACATCTACTCACTTCATCAAACCTCTTTCCTCTATACACCTCATAATTCAAGCGAAGCAGTCCATTCTATCCTAAAAAAGATACGAATCAAATATTCATGTCATTAGATACATTTCAACAACATCAAATGGCGATGAAAATTGCTACTTCAACGCTTAAGCGTCTTGTATCAAATGTCGAAGTTGAACGGAAATTCAACCCAGGACCAAATTTTTTCTCATATCTGGCGAATCATGTCTGGGACACAAACCAAGCGCTACGCGCTAGGGGTCCCTTTACCGTTATAAAATGTCCGGGACAGCTTATTCGCGACACATACTACGACACTGAGGACCACCGTCTTAGCGGGCTAGGCCTGTGGGTTCGGCGGCGGGACGTCCGCACGCTGCCGACCGATTCCCCCCACGCTTTAGCGCAAGCCACCAGTACTCAAGATGAGGGACAGTGGAACGCCAAGTCACGACTCGCAGGTCACTATAACAACTCACAATTTGTCGAATTGGACGGAAAGGCGAAGGTTTCCCAAGAGGTGCTGCGCATCACTGAGATGAGAACAAAGCTTGAAGACTTGCAGATCGTCTCAGATCTGTTGACGAACCGTTCAATATGGGAAGTGAAGGAGCTTATGGATGGTGTGGCGCCGTCGGCCAACATGACGATTGTCCTGGACGCTGTCACTGAGGCTGAGGCCAAGACTAGCGAGGATGGAAGTGATGGGCACGACGTCTTCAATCATACCATTGGAGAGGTAGAACTCTTCGAAGAGGTTATTACTGAGGACATGGAAAATCAGGAGCATAAGGCTCACCGCAAGGAAATTGCAGCACAGAGGATGAAGGAGCTGGAGCAATTCATCTCAGCTCATCCCGACCTTTTCTCCACGAATCCGAAGCCAATTGGAAAACTCACTGCGTATGATATGTGGAGAGCTGCACATAGCCGGCATTAAGCACCTCGAGCCCCCATGTTATCTCCCAAATTTTAACCACACGTACTCGGCCGGTTCGAGCAAACACACGTGGCGCGTCGTATCCAATTACGGGGTAACCGGTCAAATCTTCTGCTGCCGATTCCCGTTGATTTGGCGCCTTGATGTAGACATCATATCATCAAACCGCCGCAAATGTCCTTACCCGATGGTTCTTGCAGCCAATACATCCTACTGACTACGTACCTAGGTACTCGGCGACAATCACAAAATCTTTCATCATGTAATGGACTCCTCATTCCTCTTCACTGAGGAATACCTAAAATTTACTGTACGAGAATACAATACAATATCACGAAATAAATCTCGAGCATATCATATACCACCATTATTACATAGAGGCTGTTATATTTTAGTGATTAGAACTGTTTCGCCCCTAGTGGATTGAGGTCTTCTGGCCTTCCTCTATTCTTAGATACTTGAGATATTCTCGACCATATTCTCTAGGCCAAGACTTCATTGTGCGTTGACATACCAATCAGAACCACTTCACCGCACATAATTCAATTCCATCAGTAAACAAATCTTGATTATGGGGTACTCTCCGAAAACACTTGCGATTATGTCACTAAGCGTGTGATGCGACGGCGTAGATGAAAACGGGCACGCCTAACTTCTCAAGAACAAAAATCGCGAACGCCTTGTCCGTGCAGTATATTGACTTTACTGAACCCTGATCCAGGAACGCCTTTAGCTTCAAGATGTTGAAAAAGGCATAACGCGACATCAAAAATACACACGTAGAATTCAGAAGTAAAACCTTTCCCCTTTTTCCTATCATGACGAACCGAATTTGAAACGCCAAACTCCTCCCCTCACCTCATTCATAGCTTCCTAGAATGCCCATCGCAGAGTAAGAATAGTAACAATCGAAAACCGTTTCCGTGTGTCCATTTCCATTTCCCTATTCATGGCGTCCCTTTCGACGAGAAAACAAAATTAAGGGGCCCTTCTCTCACCTCTACTCTTTCCCTTCGAGAAAGAGCCCAGGTATTCGTAGTATCCCGCTCACACGAAGTAAGCATCCAGACGTAGACGTCAACCGAGTATCAGTAATAGGAACAAGAAGGGCAAAGGCGTAGCATAGAGCAGCGCAGTGTAGGTAGTGTAGGTAGTGTAGCGCAGGATACCGCACCATAAAAGACTCTTGTAGAGTGTAGCACGATCACCGACCAACAACCAGAGCGAAATCTAGACATCCTCTCTAAAAATCGATCTCCGCTCTGCCGTCGACGTCGGGCTATCATGCAACACCGGTCCTTTCTTCGCCGCACTCGCATTCGCCAAATTCGTATCAATCGGTCTAGGACTGACGCCCCTCAGACTAATATTACTCGGCTCGGCCGCATCATCATCAAATGGATTCCGTCCACCTCCACTAACGCCCAAACCCGCATCGCCATACCCATCCCGGTTTAGAGTTCGACCCCTATGTTCTTCCCCCGCACCGGAGCTGAGATTCACGTTACTGTACGCGCCGCTATACGAGTTATCCGCCTGTTGCCCTCTATTTTGGCCACGGAGTCCGAGTTCTTGCTCCTCGTATCCGTATCCGTAGTCCGCTTCGTGGCCGACGCGTGTATCCCACGCTTCATCCGGATCGAGGGGTCCGAAGCCGCGGCGCGAGGGGCGTTCGTATGCGCCAGCAGCCGAGCGGTTACCGCCACCACTGCTGCTGCCCCCGCGGATGCTGCGTATCTTGTCGCTGATCCATCCCTTTATGCCGCCTGGTGCCGGCTGTGGCCCGTATGAGGATGAGGGATCGGATCGCGCGAAGGGGATGTAGGATGAGAGGGGTGGGGCAGGTAGCTGATGCGATGGAGTTCGGTTAGCTAGCTGATACGGGCATGCTGTAGGCTACGGTATATGCCATATGTAAAGGATGGAAGTACGGATGATATTGTTGGTAGGATATACTCCGGCCAAGTCCGAAGTCTGAGACAGACATGATGCAACGATAAGGGGAGAGGGGATGGGGAAGCGTGTATGGAGTGAGGTGTATAGTAAGTTGGGGCCGGAAGGAGTAGGAGTATGCACTTACACCTAACCGCCTTGCGCGTAGCTGGGTGAAGACGATCCAGCCGACAGCGCCGACGATCAGCAGTACGAACAAGACTATGAAGAAGGTTCCGACGGGGCTGACCATTTTCGGTCGCGAATTCGGAGTTGTTGTCCGGCCACTATACTATTGTCTTATGTCTTGGGTGGTATCGTTAGGCAGGACAGAAAATCGAACCGGGTCGATCGAATCGATGGGGGTTCGGGAAGATCAGATAAACCTCAATAGATTGGAAGAGGGTGGCGAAGCTAGGGGGTGGGAAGGTGGAGGAAGAACCAAGGAAGGAATTGCGAAAAAAAGAATCGTTGGCTAGTTGGATGGTAGGATGGATCGATCGGATGGAAGTTGGATGGAAAGAGTGATGTGGGTCGACGTCGATAGGTTGACAGAAGCAGTTGCGACGTAACGAAGTAACAATTCTTTCCGTGTTCGTCGTTAAAAGTGTCAAGTATGTCTTAGAATGGGAAGTTGGAAGTTGAGGCTGATTGATGACATTCTTTCCATTTTTTCGGATCTACTCCCAGTTTAGTTGCGTTAGTCACTTTAGTCGCTACACACTAGCTAGTTTATCGGGTGCTGCGGGTCCTGGAAGCTTTAGGTATCCAGCCTAAATATCCACTAAACCGCTTGAAATATCCTGGTAAAGCATGCGAGTTGCCCAATTTAGGTGCTGGCCCTTGCTTTCTTCAGTGGATTCGGCTACATATGCACGTTTACGATATGGGGGAGAAACCCAGAATATCTCCACTAAAATGACGTTAAACTAACGGTTTTGGTCTGTGCATTGGTTATCTTAGGTACATATCCGGGTACAAGTAACGTTGGAGAAAAAAATCGCGCTTGGGGGGGAAATCGCGCCGACAAGCCTCAAAAATTGTTAGTATTGTCTCACTTTATGGCCCTACTCAAGCCTATCAACACCCATTATCACCTTCCTGCACCACTTCCAAGCCTCTTTTTTGTCTCACTTCTCTTATTTCTCTTACGATTTCCGCAGAAAATCTGCCTTGCAATAACAGAAAGAATTACAAATGTTCTATCACATCTTCCGGGTCATGTGAAGATTGACGGCATATCCGTCGTCAATGACAAGATATTTTAGTTATTATTAGAATATTTTGTTGTCATGCTTTGAAAAGGGGTTATGTTTGCGAAATCGGATGCCTGAATACCTAGGTATGTTTCTTGTTAAAGATTCTGCAGTTGACGTGCTTTATCAGGCTCCATAATGCGTTCGCGAATCACGGATATACACATCGGATCAATCAACTAAGGAACAGCCACGATGTAAATCTTGTAATGCAACCCTCTATTCATAGACTCATCGATTCGTTAAGGATATTAGGGGTATTAGTAAAAGAGAGGCTATGATATCAAACAAAACACTGATCCCAATGTCCACCATTCCTGGCAAAGCTTTGGCTTTCGACGAATTTGCTCACCGTACAGCGGCCCAGCTCATCGGCATCGCAATTCTGCAACGGTACAACTCGGTCATTGACCAGGATTCTCACCAACTCCTCTGTAGAACCCCAACAAACCATCTTTTCCACGTAGAGTCTTGCAGCAAACGGGACGACCCAGCTGGCTGAGAATCCCTTAGCTTCCTGTGCACTGACTCGGTGGTCACCAGGTAGTGCATCTGTTAAGTTATATAAACCTAGTGTGCTGAAGATATCCATCATGTCGTTATCATGGCTGAAGTCAGCGTAAAGAGCATAATGCAAAGGGAATGTGGATTCCGATCTATCAAGCGTTGAGTTGGTGGTGGTATGATCGATAACTGGCTGGCCGGTGAGTCTCGCAATCAACTCATTAACAAAGCCAACTCCCTGAGTCGGACCCAGAGGACTTCCATTACCATACCCATACCATTTGCCCAATGATTGATAATAGTCGTAATCACGCCACTCGTCTACGGTGAATAAATTGCAGAACTCCGAAAGCTTGCCCTTTGCATTAGCGACAGTGTTGAAGGGACACAAATCCATCATATAGATCGTCTCTTCATCAGACAAATTCGCACCTGGAAGCTGTCGATTCAGTCTTTCGGTGAGGGGCGGCACGAACGTCTGGATCCATGCGCTCTGCTCATCATCATTATCGTGCCGGGTGTTCTCAAAGGCGGGGCAAAGATCGGGACTGAGCGAGTTGTTGAAATTATCTTCTTCGGGGATAATTAGAATATTATAAGGATATGGATCCGGGAAGTTGTAATCGCTGTCTGCCGATCGCGCCTGATGGAAGCCCTGTGTCCAATTCTGTGCCGACTCGACAACACGTTCTTGGCCCGAGGCACGTATAAAAGGGATAGATATACCAGCCAGGTTTCGATAGCGCTCATAAAATTTGACGCCAGAATCCACCATCTGTTGCTCACCGTAGAGCGTCAGTTGGTCGGCACCAAGAGTATACTTGTAATCCTTGATAAACTTGAGGTTCCCGCTATAATCCTTCACATCATTCTGGATGCGATCTATGACAGCAGCATACGCTAAAGATTTATGTGCTGTGGGGTCGCGAGCTCCGTGGCGGGATAATAGCTGTGCGAAAGACACTACGCATTCTCCAGGAATAGACGCCGGAATTTTCGAAGGAACCGAAAATGAGGATGAATACTGGCCCCACGAGCGAGAAATCTCCTTCTTACAGTGACGATCATGTATGAAGCCACGACACTCTTGCGTTGATAAGGATGACCTAAATATTTGTGATCAGCAAAAAAAAGTGAGTTATTTATGGCGCAAATCTTCGGGATTTTTTATGGCATACATAAAACTCGTGGAGAAGGCTATCAAAATAACTGAGAGAAGAATGCATAGCATGAATCTTATTCCGACTCTGTTATTGTCGACCCAGTTAGCGAAGCGCTTCTGAATTCGCGAGCGTGTGGCATTTCCAGGGAGTGGAGTGTAGTTGTGTCGGCCTCCAGTGACGAATCCCGTCAACTGGCGTCTCAAGTCGGTGAAGACCATTGTAAATGAGGGCGACCCTGCCGACTTTTCTTCATCGCCAAATGTCCGATGTAAATTAAAAAAATGACCGATAATAATAAATTAATGAATGGTTTGGCTTGGGTCGTGGTATATCCAACACCGAGTGTAGGTGAAAGAATTAGGTTGGCGCAAATGAATGGATAATCATTTGCTGTTGAATTATTTTTGAAACTTTTGAAACTTTGACAAGAAAAGGGTCGGCCATTTTTTACCCCCAACTGTGAAACTACCAATGACAATAGGGACAATGGGGGTAGGTACAGTACCTGCCACTTGTCGCCGCCCGCACAACCCCCTGTAACCAAGGAATCAAGCTATCTTATTTGTTACTGACTTCCTCCCGCGTACTTCCTTGAACTGATCATAGCACAAACCATGGCACAAATACAAGTACTACGTTTCACTCAGGAGTCAATCATTTCTTAGTGTATTCCAATAATTTTAAGGTTTATTTGTGTTATCATTCATTAGTTGTATGTTTGGGGGGGAGCTTCTTTACTGACAGCTAGAGCTGAGTATGCAAGTACCTACACGCAGATCCCATGTGTACCTAGAAGTCATATCCCTCCACCAAGACGAGGGGCACAGGGGATACCAAACAAATTCGATCCGATCATCACTTAGCACAAATTAATGAAAAATCATATTTGTCTTGATAATTAAGCCATTCATGAATTACAGTAGAAACATGAACTAACCTCGCTCACACTACCTATTGGGTATCATTTGCACATGCCAGCAGCACGGGTTAGTAACCCCCTAGAGGTTAAACAAAATCCACCTCCTTCCGATTCTATCCCCATTACCCTAGCATCATGATTAGTACCTGCTTTTGATGCCCTTTTCCCGAGTCCAAATCTATGCCTCCCAATAAATATCCCCGCCTCGCTTGGGCAGGATAAAAGTATATACACGGTCCCTTAGTACCGGATGGTATCATAGAATGCTATAACACAGAAGAATCGAAAATTAGACGGCAACGCCAACACTCTGCCGTTGTGGAATCACCACCGGCCGCTGTAATCCGGACGCGATTCCCATCGGAGGCTCCAGCCTCGCTCTCAAAGTCGCGGTACTGCTAGGTGATAGACTAGTCGGTAACGTCTGCTCTTCCTCCACGGTCCAGTCCGAGCTGGTGGACAAAGTGTCAAAGCTGCACCGTTCGTCCGCCTCGGGATCGGCGATTTGATAAAACCCATCTGCACCAGTTGTCGGTTTGGGAACATTGGTAAGAGAATCAAGACTGATGTCTTGCTTATTATACTCCTCTCCAGGGAACAGCCAAGTAGAAACACGCGAGAATGATTTCTTTTTTCGTAATGGTGGTCGTAGTCGAAGTGGTAATGGTGGAGGAGGAACCCGCCCCTCTACCTTCCGCGATGAGTTCGCTTTATATGGGGTGCGACCCATGGGTTGAGATGGAGCAGTTTGCGGTCGGTCGCAACTGAGACGCTCGCTAAACGAGGGAGCATTAGGGGGCAGCGCCGGGATATCTGGCATGGGCTCCAACTCTGTATATCTGTTAGTAAGTATTACAATGAATTAAGATGCGCCCGCAATGCACTAACCCGGTTGTCCATGTGCAGTTGATGGTCGGCTGCTGATATAAATGCTCTGCCTCTCGACTACGTCGTCAATTTGCTCCTGTAGTTTGTCTCGTTCCATCATAGCGGTTGCGACCCTTTCGACAAGATCATCCATCATAGGACTCGATGATGCCGGCGATGTGTAACCCCGAACCCTAGCCGGTTGGGGTCGCTGTGGTGTACTGGTATTGGACCGCGGGGAATCAAATACGGAACCGTCGTTGATTGGCCTACGGGGAATGTGGAACGACATAGATGAGTAACTACGCGAATGTGGGATAGGAGGACTATCTTCACTATGGCTCGAGAGAGTGAAGGCACGCGGTGGGGGTGTGACTGGGGGCGTAGGATAGTCTATATGCGGCAGGATCGGTGATAATCGATTATCGGTCATGTATATGCTGAGTTCAAGAGGGCGAAAAGGTGGTTGCGGTCTCACTTGGGCTGGGTAGTAATCCGGGAAACGAAAAGACTCCGAATAAAGATGACGGAAATTAGTAGGAGCTGATATTTGCGGCCGGCGCGACGATGATGAACTGGGTCGTGATAGTAGTTTTCTCGCGGAGAAGCCACTGCGACTAGGTCCATGTCTCTTCCTCGGAGCCCGCTCCTCCCTACTCGGCCTCGACGGTGCTAACGAAGGAGGAGGCATGAAAGAAGGTTCTTGATAAATAACATCAATATCGAGCGACTTGCGGTCGACTAATCTGGTCAGAAAATAGTACTATAATCGTATGTATATCCTCCAATGCTTACCGGGTTGATGAGGCTTCTCATCGAAGTAAGAAGTTAAAGACTGACAACACTGAGAAATAGAGTAGGACCATGATGCATAAGCTTCAGAAAGTATCCCACCTAAGGCTTTCATGGTGATGACTTCATGTCGCGCTGGGGAAAAGAAAAAAAGAGCAAAAACGACCAGCGGTTGGTGAGAGATAAGAGAGCTAAGAGAGAGCAAAGAGAGCAGCTGGTCATGAGATCAATGAGATCCATAACACCTTTATGGAAGATATGAAATACTAGTAGTAATACTAATACCAGTAGTACATGGAAGACGCGGAAAAGAAATTAGCATGTGTGTACCGTGTGTACCTACCTTTTAGGCTCAAGCAGCTGAGCGGGCGCTGACTTCTTGGGCCTCGCGGGCTCTCATTCAGATGGCAAGCGTTGATGGTTTGGATGCAGACGTCCGTGACGTTGATAGGCTGTAGTCTAAAAGTCGTGGTCCAGTCGGCGCTTACGAACCGGGGTGCTGGAGAGGAGTCGGATGGTTGGCGGCACACACCAGATTGCAGGACCCCACCACATGTATTATGAAAGGTTTCTGCACAGCCAGTCTTTTGTCTTAGTTTTCCTTGCTTTGTGATCCATCTAGAAGGACTCTAGTAGCCCACCATCGTAGTCCTCGTAGTTTGTTTTGGAGGGGACGGTGCCACAGAAATCCGGGAGGGGTGTCTCGTGGGCTTCGTAGATTGGCCTTGACTATGTAACAACGCGAAGTAACATGTAGCAGCTAAGGCCTCGAGTCGGGAAGGCCTGTATGAGCATGTCTCTCGTCATCCCCGACGGAGTGGGTTTTAATGGACGACGAAGTCCCGTTCTGCCTTGCGCGAAACTATGGGTTCGTCCGACTGGGGAAAAGGTACCTGAGCTTCCGTGGTAGTTCTGCGCGCGATACATGTCCCCACTTGGTAACATGTTCGAGAGGCCACACTTGATTTCCCACGTTGATTTCTACCTACCTAGGTACTAGGTAGTTAGTGTTGACGATGAATAAAAGAAAAGAAAAGAAAAAAGGGTGGAACCCCCGATTAGGGTTGGTCGGATATCCGCAGATTGCAGATGCAGAGTCGTGGCTCTGTTGCGAAGCATTGCCTCCTAACCAACTCTGATGGGAGTCGAGAGCGTGTTTATTTGTTTATTTGTTTGTTTGTTGATTGTTCAGTGCTCATCTGTTTCACATCAAGTTTCTATTAATACCTACCTCTTCGAGTAGGTGGTTATAGTTACTCTCTCACACACGCTGTGGTAGGAGTATGACATTGTAAGCCGTAGTAGTAGTGTGTATTGTGTTATTGTGTATTCGCGTTGTTCCGAAGGCAAACCATCATGTGCCTACTAATAATCTGCAAAAGAGGCGTAGGCGCGTCATCCACCAGCGTCATCATTGCGATTCCACGGGCCTCAATTAACGCCAAACTTCGTGTTTATAAAAGAGGCGGGGGCAATGCTGTCGGTGAAGGATTTATTCGGTGGCCCCAAGTCCTGATGAATGAGGTGCGATTGTATTGGAAAGAACAATTCAAGTAAGACGGAGACGACTAAGATGATTGAGTTCATTTGACTGCTTGATTTATGATACAATCATGTTTAGGTGACTGCCCTCTATTATTCAGCTGTTGAGCTGCTGGAAGGAATTAATTGACTAAGATAGCGATAGGTATAGAGGTAGGTGGCTCGTGCACCTTATCAATCGGCTAATCTATGGAAGGGTTTTCATAAAACGGAAGCACCTAGTAGAAAGTGGCTACATTGATGGTGGCTAGGGTAGATTTAGCTTAGTGCCAAAATTTTGGGTTAAGGCTGAGAATGACAGGTTGTTCGCTTTTGCGTCAGTCCAAAATAATCCAAATAATATTCCTCCATTTGGAAGAATACGGCCAGATCTCATCGTCCCTTTCGTCCCCTTTCCAAATTTATTACTATTAATTGTTTTATTCCTTTTTCCATTCTACCATAACAGCCACTCATTGGCAATCACTGTAAAAACATAGTAATCGCCATGCAAAATCCCAACGGTCCTCCCCCGGGAGCAATCCCGATACCCATAGGCCCTGGCGGCCAGATGCCATCACCTCAGCAGATCGCTGCTATGCAACAACAGCTAGCTGCTGAAGCTCAGAAGCATGGCATGACTGTCCCCCAATTTGTCGAACATATCAAGGCGCAACGTATAGCACAGATGCAACAAGCTCAGAGACAGCAACAACAACAAGGTGGTCAAGGTCAACAAGGAGGACCTCAAGGACCACGTCCAGGTCCTCCTCCGGGTGCCCAAGGTCAACCTCAACCTATCCGTCCCGGTCCCCCTAACCCTGTCGCAATTGCTCTGGCAAACTTCTTAAAGGGTCAACAGTTGAAGCCACGTACATGTATTCTTAATGGAGAGCGCAAGGATATGTTCAGAGGTATTTTTATTCCCGTACTTAGGCCCCAAAGAATCTTAGCTCACGTGTCATCTAGTCAAGCGAGCTCTCCGCGCTCTTGAGTCTCCTGCCTATGCAAAGGCCCGCTCGAAAAACCCTGCGCTCCCCGAAATCACAGATCGCGCATCGCTCGAGAATACCTTCAAGCTACTTCCCATGTCCATGTTAGCCCTGCGCGTTAGTAAAATTGACCCCCACGAAGGTCACGACCATGCTCCCAAGAAGGGAAAGAGAATTAAGGGACTCTGGACAGTGAAGATTGAACAACAACAGGATGCCCATGATGATATGTATTATGTCTGGCTCTATGAGGGTAGCCAGATTATGCGCAAGGTCTATGGTGCTCTCGCCCTGGTTCTTATCTTCACGGTTGTCCTCTATCCCTTATGGCCGCTTGTTTTGCGACAAGGTGTCTATTACCTTAGTTGGGGATTCCTAATGCTTCTCGGTCTCTTCTTCCTCATGGCAATCTTCCGTGTCATTCTTTTCTGTATTACGTACTTCGTTGTTCCTCCCGGACTATGGCTCTACCCCAATCTATGGGAAGACGTCTCTTTCATGGACAGTTTCCGACCGGTCTGGGCTTGGCATGAGGTTTGTTATCATCCAATCTCTATCAAGAGTATACCCACTAATAGACAATTAGACAACGAAGCCCAAGAAAAAGAAGAAGGCATCCAAGTCCGTCAATGCTGAATCGGCTGCTCAGCTTGCGGGTCAGACAGGTCACCCCCCTCCTGCGACTGCTACCACTACCGCGACAACTACACAAGTGCAGACTGCCCCACTGCAAAGATCTTATGTTGCACCGAAGGTCGAGGAGCTCGCCGACGACGAATAAGCAACATCAGTCGTAGCATATTTGCAAGGCGTTCAAGGAGTTAGGTCGATATGGAAAAACGAGTGTAAAATAGGAACAGTTGCTCTAGAACGCCGCATCATATAATAGTCCGGAATGGGATATCGGCCAATTTCTCTAATTATGAACTTCATCCAATGACCCTCAGTGGCTAGGTTTAATTCACAAAGTCATTGAGCATTGTGGAGCTGTCTCGCCTTATGCATACCCAAGTATGTAATGACGATCGCACTACCTTCTGCCCATAATTATAAGGTGATCTAACAATTCAAGCACCTAGGCAGTGTAATTTTAAGAATCAGATGAATACCCAGGGAAGCACGCAAGGCACCTCCAGTATATTATGTAAGGGTATCGTACAAAAGATTGAGCTGAGATAAATACATCATATCCACCAGTAACCATGTTTTATGGAGTTTCGTACCCCCGGTCACTGACTAGCAGCATCTACGATAGCATCAACCACCAACTTAGCATTGGCCTCGCTCTCTAGAAACGGAAAATGACCAGCTGCGATCTTCACAATCTTGGCTCCGGCCGCCTGTGCCATACTTTCCTGGAGCGCGGCAGGTAAGGACTGGTCGTCCACACACACGACATAAGTCTTAGGAACTGTAACATCGACGGCGGTAAATTGCACCGGCGCCTCTATACTAGCTTTGCTCTGGTGCACCAAGCTCCGCGTCAGTGCCAGCTGCTCTTCCTTCGGGATATTGGTTTGAGTCGCATCAGGTGCCAAGCCCTGTTCAGTGAGAACATAGAACGGTCCCTAATCCTGGTTAGCAACTTCATAGCCCCCAAACCCAACAAAAATAATTAGAAAACATACCTCAGCGCGGTAAATCGGCGGCGGCGTACCACCCAACAATCCCATCAGACTAGCTCCCTTCGTCGGGATGGCAAGAGCCGTGACATAAACAACACCCCTAACACCGCCCTTCAAGCCCTTAGTTTTACGGTCTTCGATTGTTTGGCCCTCGGTCACGGCACTGGCTGCGATGCCGCCTTGGCTGTGGCCGACAACTATGGCTTCTCGGCCCTCGTCTAGGTATGGGACGAGGTACTCAAGAATGCGCTTCGCGTCGTCGACGTACGTCCTGCCCGCGACAGAGTCATCGAGACCAGTTGTAGGCATGGGTGGTGCGATCACAGTGTACCCCTGTGTGCGAAGGGGTTCAATTAAACGGCGGTAGTGCACGGGCGAGAAGAAGGCGCCGTGGATTAAGGCGATGACGGGTTTTTGGGAAGCCATTGTAGGTTGTGATGTGGTTGTCTAGGTTATCTAGAAATTGATGTGTAAGTTGGATGCGGTTTCGTCTCAATGTGATAGAAGCTATGAGGACAATGATCAGAAAATTCAACAACTCGCAGAGCCATCACCCTCATTTTATATAAAACCTCATACCACATAAAGCTCTACACATGACAACTAAAACCGTATTGCTGAAGCTACTAATCTGATAGATCATGGTTGAAAGTTGCATTCTAGAATAAAAGCCTCATAGCTTCCATCACCTAGTCCGGGGACGATCTCGTCGTTGATTCGCCAATTTTATACGAGAGGTTCGAGCGAGCGAATTAAAAGGCAAGGATTGACGGGAGGGATCTCAGCTTGGGAGATCCGTTCCTGACCGGTTGGCGATCCAGAAGACCGAGTTTCGTCTAGGACTTTAGCGGCTGGGTCACGGGTCAATGGGTTCGGGACGACTCGGGTCGGTTTTCTGAGTCATGCTTCGAGTTCAGACTTCATTTGTACATATTGTACGAAAAGCTTTCCGTTATATGAAGTGCAATTCAATTTTATGCACACTTGGCGCAGTGATGACTTAAGTCTTGCGTTATTCCAATACAATGATCCCGGTTATTATTAGACTGTTATTATCATGGAGACTTACAGGTCCAACTCGAGGGTCTGGGCTGAGAGATCTCCAACTTTCGGATCAACATCCTAAGAGAAAGAAGAATCATATAAACACCTCAAATACGATATAGCTAGCAGAAACCAACTCTGTCACTAATTTAAGGACATGTAAAGTCTCCTACATGAACCCATAGTGTCGCGATCCCTTTATTTAGCCCCTTTTTCTCAATTTCGATCTTAACTAGGACGGCGTAACTTGGACAACCTTAATTCAATGTCGGGTTCCTATCAGAGTAGGTAATTATTCTTTAATTTTCATATATAAATGGGTACCTATTCAGAGCGGACGGTTACCTGCGAGTTGTATAGGTCATCGATTACCTTCCTCTTTCACCTGCAAATGCTTATAATAGAACACCTCATCTTTCAACCCTCCCGCAGGGCTAATCCCATATCTAGGAATTCTGCCCACTTCGGTGAACCCAAGTCTCGGGTACACTTTCTCAGCCGCGCTGCCAATCTCGGTATCAAGCATCTAAACATAAGTTAGTACGAAGAGTTCACAGGCTCTCAACTTGACATATACATACCAACAATGTTCTTCCCCTTTTCAACGCTTCCGCCTCTAGATGATTCATCAACAGTCTAGAACCCCCCTTTCCTCGAAAATCAGGACTGACGAAGAGCTTCTCGACGATCCCACGGAAAGGACCAGTCTCGCTTGGGGGCATGATAAGTGTGATAACCCCCACGAGCTCCGACCCCTTGGCCTTGGTGCCTGATTCAGATTCGTTGAGCAAGATGCTGATAAATCGCGTTCCCGAGTCTATTTCCTTCACCACGTCCTCCCAGTACTTCTGAAGTTTCGCATCCTCAAGCGGCGGAAGGAAATAAGCGATGGTCTGGTCATGTATGATGCAAGACTTGTGCAGGGCAGCGAGATCCGGTATTAGTTGGCTATGTTCTTGTGGCGAGAAGAGGTAGGCCTTGGGAGTTGGCATTGCGAAAGTGGTTGTCAATTTATGTTGAGGCTTTCTACTTCATCTCAATCAGTGGTGTAAAATGGTGGTTTCGTCCAGGCAGCAATGCATCGTACGTACCAACATTAAGTGGGGACATGGCTATAAGAATCGGTAAGGCGTCATTTGAGTGAGTCATTCCACATGATATACTCGATAAAGCGCGAAACTTGTGTCGCAATTCAAGTGAAGATTTCACACTCCAAAAGATTCGCTAGCAACCTCCCGACAATGGCGGGGCTCACCCGCGAGAACCAGCGGAGAAAAAGTTATAAACGCCTTTCGGGACGCCGTCCTTCTTTATTCCCAGTCCAACCCGTAGAGAATGAAAACCGGCGTTTAAGGTCGATAGAAATAGGACTTCGGAAGTGTCCTCCACCGTGCCGGAGTGAGGAGGTGCTCGCACTGACTAGTGTGCCCTGAAGAATGATATAGCTACTAATAACTTGAAGCTCGTTTTCACCCGCGGCCAATTCTTACTATAAAGTGCTAGCAAGTGGCAGCGGCATTCCCTATATCTCGTCAATACAAACACGCAAGCGCCAACAACATTGGCCACTCCTCATTACCTCGATAGCGTCAAAGGAAAACGAGCATCTTCTATCAAGCAAGCGTATGGGCTTGGATTTTTATAAGGAGAAGAATAAAGCACTGACCATTGATGTAATGGTGCTAGTCCCTCTCCATAGACTTCAGTACGGGCCGTTGCCGAGAGTTCGAACGTTTGTGTAGCTGGGGCGGGGAAATCGTCAACGTCGCTACTGGAACCGTAAACTCAACTCAAAACGAAATATTCTCTGCTTTTCGTGTGCGATTGATTTATTATCGAGCTTCAGGTGTTGACCTAATGTCCGCCGGATTACGGAGTTCCCGAAGCCTCCTACGTCTGTGGATACTGGAGGAAAGCTATCGCGATCGTCATACTATGCAGTCACTCGAACGCCTTTCGCAACCATCTCGTCACCACCAATACATAGGTAGCCCCACGGCAATTCAATTGATCAAACACACTCCTAAACCGCCTGTTATACGAGATATATTCATCAGTATCAGTCAATTGAAAGAAAATTTTAAGCACAATTCTACTGCGTATATTAGAGTACAAGAAGGAAGCTCTTCCCAAACCCGCTATTTCCTAAGAAAATCCAAGCAACGGGCTACTAGGTAGGTGGTTAGCGCCTGTGCCGTATTCTTTCATCAACTCTTCAATCTTCTCTTTACAGCCAATGTGCCTGTTTCTCTCCGCACGCCGCATAGCTTTTTGACATTGTTCGTCATCGAGGAAAATACCAAAAGCATCCCAAAGAAGCTGTATCATATCGAACCGGCCGTTCTCGGCTGCGCCCTCCAAAGGCCAACGCCCGCGCGGTCCATCGGGAGGTCGCACGTCATACGAAGCCCCAAGCTCTATAAGAACGGTCGCCATCTCGCAATTACCATGAATTGCTGCGAATTGGAGTGCTGTGGCCCCTTCAAATCTTGAGGGCGCAGCGTTGACGTAAGCACCGCTCTCAGGTAATAAACGAACTATAAGGATATCGTTTTCTTCCGCGGCTTTTTGGAGAGGAGTCCGTCGTAAACCAGTCTGCAGCGGTTCGTTAATATTTGCCCCTTCGATGGATAAGGAGCCGGACTATCTCAATATCGCCTCGTTCAATGGCTTCTAAAAGAGCAGTCGTCTTAGAATATATATCTCGAAACTCGGACTTTTCCGAGACGACATTGACGTTATTACCGGCGTCAATGAACCTTTTAACAACGCAGCAATCGCATTTTCTTATTGCTTCGATAAGGAGATCGTTCCTGTTCCAACCAGCTTGGCTGTTGACGTTCATAGAGACAAGGCCCCAATCAAACACTTCTTCTATAGAGATTATTTTTGGCCGGCCATGGATGGCATTTGAAATAAGAGATCTTCCATATCCAAAACGACCCCCCGGGTGAAACTTCTTAAATTGGGCTAAAAGTGGCTTAACCATTGAACGGTGATCCCGTACCGCCCTCATCAAGATGAGCTCATCGTCCGCCAGGGTTCCGAGGCAAAATAGTTTGTCAAGCACTGATTCATTTTCGCTCTCAACCGCGACTTCTAACGCCTCTCTTTTGTAGCCACCCCAACTTTGGGAGTTAGACTCGACGATTTCAAAAAACAGGTCTATGCGCTCTTTATCCAGTGCAAGTTTGTATAACCTTTTTGTTGGGCAAAATTCATCCGGGCGGGCTTTCCAAATTTTGTCGAAGATAGAGTTGTCGGAGTATTCAAGGGCTGCCTCGAGAATCGGCCATTCCTTGTTCCAAAATCCACACAGGATTTCAGGAGCGAAGCCGAATTCGAAAATGGATTTCCCGAATTCTGGTCGATTTTGTTCTACTGCGACATATAGTAACGGAGGAGACGATCGTGGGGCTCTGGTTGTAAGGCCGATGGGCAGAAGCTTCCAAGCAATGTCATCGAGACCATGAGCCAAAGCATCTCTCAGTGCATAGCCCACATCGAACATCTCGTTATCTACAGTAAGCCGTTGGCCGTCACAATATGTCAAGTCGGGATCAAGCTCCAATAATTTTATCACATATTCTAAATTCCCTACTCTAAGAGCTGCTGCAAGCGCCTGGCCAAGCCTCGTACCATGGAGATCATTAAGGGTACCACTATCTTCTAAAGAGTGAAGGCGATTTTCGTCTCCAGATTCGAGAGCGGAGATGAAATCATCGTCGGCTTCTGTACTTTTACCTAACCCTGGCCATTTCTCTAGGATCAATTCGACAACTGCCTGATTCCCCTCCGACTTTGCTATTTGGAACGGTTCACTTGGAGATGGTGCGTATGGAAGAAGGTCTCTCACGAGCGCGTTGTACCCACGCTTTATGGCCTTTTCCAGTGCCACGTCGACACCTAGTGGAAAATGGTTTGGGCGCTTGTCTATAATAAGTTGGATACTTTGCGCTGCATGTTGTTCGTCAAGGTTTTCGACGATACATCCGAGGAAGAACTTGGACGAATCGGCTTTTCCAGGCGTTTGTGAAGCGAACTTTTTTATAGTGCGGATTGCGGCTCGGGAGTCGACGAGGAATAGCGTTGAGATGATGGTATTTATCGATATAGTCGCTTCGGTTTCACATAAAGCATCGACCGCAAGTAAAAAATTGTCGCTAAGTGTTGCTTGGCGGTTTTTTAAACCTTCGAATAATAAGCATAGCGCATTGGAATGGCCGGCCCTTGGAAAGGACTTATTTACGTCGACCTTTTGATCAATAAGATACCGAAGAACTTTGAATGATTGGTTGAACGCGGCATGCTCCAGTGGTGTGTATCTTTCCCCATTGCGATAACACACGGCGTTATCCATCTTGATTGTCTCATGGAGCATGAATCTAACGATCTCGACATGGTCAGCTTCTACATGTGCTTGGAAGGTATTCTCGGCGAATGATTTGGTCAAAGGATTCGATCGTGAGGTAAATATCATGCACTGCCTTCTCTGCGGCGGGGTGTCTATTCAAGAACTTTAGAATAGCAGCTGGCGGTATACCTTCGAGACCTGAAAATCCATTGACGAGTGACGCAATTAATCTTCCAACAAACAAAGCTTTAAGCCGCACATCAATTGGTAGTCTAGTAAGTTGACTCCACTCTTCTCCGACGAAAGGTTTTAGGGAGGTAAGGTTATGGGGAATTTTGATGTCCACCGAACGTCTAGAAGCTGGGAGTGATTCCCTGACGATATTTGAGAATTCGAAGAGAAAGTGGTGATCACCCGTCTCCATCAAGGCACCGGAAGTAGGAAAAATAGGCGATTTTGAATAAACACCTGTAAAAATTGGAAGTGTTAAAATGATATAATCTATTTATCCAGTACATTTAGATTTTGACTCACTTTCAATAAACTTAGCTGAGAACTGAGCGGAAGGGAGCGGGGCTCGCAACCATTCGCGTCGGCTGAAAATAACATGACTAGAAGGCTCGAGAGGACTTGACATAGAGGAGGACTGATTATTGGCAGGGTATTGATATGTGGTATGCTCGTCATTGTTTAATGGCTGCAGTTGGACACTGAAAGGGGCTTCGGGGGGTAGGGAAGGGAAAGGCTCCCACGAGAAGCTATCGAGATCTTGTAATATATTGGGGGTGCCGCATGAACCACCCATAGGTATATTGTAGTTAATATAACATCGACCCCCGGCTACCCCTAGAGAAAGTTGGGTATCGTGATCTGACGGGATGTAGTTGTCCCCAACATTATAGGTAATGACGTCTGGAATAGCGCTCTCTAAACCGGGTCCGGGCATATGTCCAGCCACAAACTGAGTTGTATCCTGAACATTACGCGAAACTATGATAAGTCAGCGTCTGGGGTGAGGTTATTAATTATTGATGGCTTCACGAACCCAATTCTTCTTCCTGGTGCTTCGCAGATGCAAATTGACGCCGTTTCCCACGGCTTCGAGTTTTGTACTTGCTCACATCCCATTTTCGGAATTGGTGTTCGTATTGCGCGACTCTTTAAAGGGCATTAGTCAAGTTATTCTACACCTCAAATAGCTAGATAATTGAGATTCATATTAAGAGATACTTACGAAGCGAAGAATCCTTCTCTCTCCATCATTTCGACAACACCACGAGAGCCTTTAAGTCTACGTTCGTCGTACAATTCGATAATACGAGATTTGCGTTGCTCCCATTCCGTAGTCGGGATTTTTCGGGTGTTCATTAAGGTAGGCATTGCAAGTGACTGTTGGTGAGAACTATCAAGTATCAATTAGGTTGAAGTACCTAGATATAGGGACAGTCTCGAGCCGCGCTTCCAAAGCTGTTGGACAATGTTGAGCAGGAACAACATCGTTAGATCAGTAATAATGGACGGGACGGCACCTGGCTCATTAAATATTGAAGCGTGGAATCACTTTGACTGAGTAGTGGCATATCTAACGTCAGGTTTCAATTGAAAGAGAAGGCTGCCGGCTGCCCTAGGTAGGTACACCTTGTCCTACTTATCGAGCAAAAAAGTCGAATCGCGACTTACGGAGATACTCCAGCCAATGAATGGCATCGTACTTTGATGATCGCAGCAGGCTCTGTTATAATTGTCAGGTTCTCATCAGGTTCTTCAGGTTGTGCCACCACACAGCGTCAAGGTGCGGTTTAAACCTGGAAAATACAACGCTTTAAGCACACCATCCTCAACTAATCCGACGGTTAAGTATTTAGGTGACTGCTAAGTTCTACGGCCGTCTTTCTAAAGTTGAAGTCGGGAGTGCGGCGGCGTTGTATTTGCCGTCGCCCTAGCCGAGTCAAATCCATCGATGGCCGAAATGAATGAGGGCTGGAGGGAGGCGCTCAAAGTGCGTACAGGAGCGAGTCGGGGAAAGGAAAGCTAAGGATACCTATGAGATCGCAAAGTTAACATGAAGACAGATGACGCTAGACCTGATGGGGAAGGGAGCAGGTTGGGATGAGGAATCAATCAATGCCCATCGCCTGTGGCGTTCGGGAATAGTCTGAATAGCACCGACATGCACTGTTTATTCCCTGCAGCGAAATACCTAGAATTTACAACAGCCTTTTCTATCACCTTAGGTACTCCCTCTTACTCACTTACGCGAATCTCTCGCGATAGAAGTAATCACAATGGAGCAATCAAGTAAGAAGTTCGTTCGGAGCACCAGTCACCCAAGTCCTCCATCATGAATTGCGGACAGCTGAGAACAGCGCCGCTTACCTTCTAAAAAAACCTTGGTGCTATGAAGCAAGAATCCCCAAAATTGGTTTTACTAGATATCGGCGCTGGCCCAGGCACTATTTCGATGACATTAGCAAAAGCCATCCCAGATGTCAAGTCGTTGCGACCGACCTAAATGGCGATATCTTAGAACACACACAGGCCATCGCTAAATCGGAAGGCGTCGGCGATATCAAGTTCCGACAAGCGGAGTACATTGCCACCAAGTGCTGTGTCACCTCAAAACGCCACGGGAAGTTTTTCGTGAGATGATGCGCGTAACTAGACTGGGCGGCCTAGTGGCGGCGCGCGAATGCGACCGGGTGACTGAGTCCACCTGGCCGGAATCGCCAGGCCTCGTCAAGTTTCATAATATGGCTGCCAATCTCATGGAGCTTGGCGGCGGTAGCTCTAAGGCTGGCAGACAGTTGCTTTCTTGGGCACTCAAAGCTGGAGCGAGTCGAAGTTAGGCTACGTTGACTTACAGTATGTGGTGTTATAATACAGATTACGAGAAGAAAACATGGGGTAAGCCCACTTATAAAGAGATAGGCTATCAATAGGAGGCAACCTACTACTAACACGATTGCTCTAGCCCAGGCAATGTCAGAGTGAGTTCGAAATGGTCGGGTGCGCGAATCAACTCCCAGAGCTAGGTTGCAAACAGAAGATGATCTTGAAGAAATGGCTCAGGCTTGGGAGGAGTGGTCGAGTAAAGAAGACGCAAGTTTAGCCATGTTACACGGCGAGATCCTAATCCAACTATGACGGTAAGAGTCAACGGTAAGGCTTCCCGTGATTGAACAAGGTTAAGTAATCGGATGGGTCCCATTCGTGACGGTGATAAGGACGAGGCTCTATAGCGATATGCCGTTATAAATGCCATCGACCTAGCCAATTATAATCCCACATGCTGACAGTAAGATGCTATACTTATTATCTAAAGTAGTACGACAGCATGCATTACGACTTTAGATACATGAAGATGTTTATTCACAAGAGTGCTTCGACGATCTCTTAGCATATGAGTTCCTCGCGTCGCGCCATTGAATTAACTCGTCGTTTCACAAGAGACTCAATTTGCCCTGTCGTATAATACTGTGGGACGATCATGTATGGGCATTACTAACGGACGGCCTGTTTTAGGATACAAAACCCGACATAGATATCGTCATTGGACAATACAGAATTTGCCAAGGTTTTCTAATTGACAATTGTGTATGACACGAGAAGGCGGGGTGAATATGACGAAGGCATCGCCTATAAGATATATACATGATTCCGAGTATATATAACTAGAGTACTTCTAGTTTTCTGACACAGCTGCAAGACTACTCATTCAGATTAATTCCTCATTGATATCAGTTGTTATGGCCGAAACCAAAGTGTTCCAAGCCGATCAAGCGCCCGTAGCTGGCGAACCCTGTTCGACGGAGAAGAATCTGATAAACTATGGCGCTCCAAATGTAAGGCTCCGGCAATGCAACGTCGTGGTGTTGCAACCCAAGCAGACGCACTAATAGCAATTTCAGGTCCCTTTCTATACACCAATTCAAGACCCTCCTGCAGGGACTCCTTGGGACATCCAACCGGAAGGCTCACTCTTTTCACCCTTGAAGATTAACGAAACGGTGATCCACAACCGTATCATCGTCTCTCCTATGTGCCAGTACGTATCCTTTATTCCAATATACCGTATACCGTGTGCCGTGGAAAAGACATAACCAATTGGATTTAACTATATAGATACTCTGCGAGAGATGGATACATGAATATGTGGCACCATGGTAAGAACTCCCTTTATCTTCAAACCCCTATCCAACAGGTATTTATTGATCACTGCGAACGTAGTCCACCTCGGTAGCTTCGCAGCTCGGGGAGCGGGCTTGATCCTCACCGAAGCCACTGCTGTTGCTCCTGAAGGGCGCATCTCACCTCAAGACGTCGGTCTCTGGGAGGATGGGCACATTGAGCCACTAAAAAAGATCGTCGATTTCGCACATAGTCAAGGAGTGAAGTTCGGTGTTCAATTGGCTCATGCTGGCCGAAAAGCTAGTACAGTTGCTCCGTGGATTGATCGTAAGGCCGCGGCGCGCGACTACGTGAGTAGACCCTTTTCGAACAAGAATATTTTAACTAATCCATCCACTGCGTAGTCAGAGGGATGGCCCAAGACAGTCATAGCCCCATCTCCCGAAGCTTATAGCGCGCAGACACTTATCCCAAAGGAAGTAACAAAAGAGGATATTGAGAAGTTCAAGCAGGACTGGGTTGCTGCGGTTCGCCGTGCATTGAAAGCCGGCGTAGACGTAAGTAGTCCTTATTATATCCCTCGAAATAACTCTGAGGTTAACCAACGAAACAGACCATAGAAATCCACGGAGCTCGTACGTACCCATACTCCCCTTCCCCCAATGCAGTAGGACCATCAATGACACTACACTAGACGGCTACCTTCTCAACGAATTCCTCTCACCAACCGCCAACAAACGTACCGACGAATACGGCGGCACCTTCGAGAACCGAGTTCGCCTATTCCTAGAAATCGTAGACCTTCTCAAAGCCGAAGTACCCACCAATTTCCCCGTGCTAGCCCGCATCCCAGCAACCGACTACTTAGAGTACGACCCCAGCCTACCGCAATGGGCGCTCTCAGATGCAATCGAGCTAGCTAAGCTCCTTGCCGCGCGGGGCGTGCACTTCCTTGATATTACCGGTGGCGGCACGGATGCCCGCCAGCGCATTACCGCGAGCCCTGGGTACCAAGTTCCGTATGCGGCTGCCATCCGGGAGGCTGTCGCGGGTACCGGCACATTGGTCGGTACTGTAGGTGAGATCACATCTGGAAAACAGGCGCAGGGTATCCTAGAAGCCGGGTCCGCCGATGCTGTTATCGTCGGTCGTGCATTTCTGAAGGATCCGGATTTGGTGTGGCATTGGGCGGATGAGTTGGAACTGGATATTCATGTCGCGAGTCAATGTGAGTTTTCGCGTCTCCTTTTAATGTGAAATGCTGATGCTAATTCGTATGCTATAGATGGTTGGGGTTTCGGAATGACCAGGACTCATAGGCATAAGAGACGCTAGATTTTCATTTGAAGATCTGTTTTTTTTTTTTTTTTTTTCACGACTTTATGATCGACCTCATATTCTGGTTATCAGTCTCAAATCCGCGCAAAGTCGAGTTTTTGCGTTGGAATCTGAAGCACTCATAATAATTATTTTTATTTCTTCTATGCGACAAAGCATTGTCTAAACCTAGGGTGACCTACACATATGATAGCAAGGGGACCAGCACTAGAATGACTTACTACCCATCCGCCCTCGTTGCTCATGCCACCTTTAGTGGATATTTAACCAATGGATGTGGCGTGGGGGTGGTAAAGTACAAAACAGTCCAAAGAGCCTCAAGGTGGGCAAGAATTCGCTCGCCTATGGCTGAAACTGGATTTCGTCTGTATAGGGAAATGGATACTATGCTTCGTCTTGAGCGAGCGGATGAATCGATGTGCCTTCCCCTCTTGGATTTTGACCTTCTTTTCCTTCTTGGTGGCTTTAGGGGTCCTCCAATGTGTCTTTCTCGGCTTCGGCTTCGCCTTGTGTATGCTTCTATCATTCTTCGAGCGTCGTGACTTCTGCATCTTTAATGTCGCCTTGCCTAGTTTCTTCGGGGACGGGATTGGATTGATGACGCTATCGAAGCGTACCTTGGTGCGAAGACATACTTTCTTGATCCATTTACCAAATCGGAACTTTTGGATTCGTCGAGCGAGGGTCGTCGAAGATCCATTGGAGTTTTTGCAGCGCAATTCGGGTAATTGAGCCTCTTCGGGATAAGGCGGGACGAAATCACCAGGGCATCCTGTACGATATCCCTTGGTATGCTTTCGTAGAAGAGACGCAGGCATTGTGTTATATGGCTTATCTTGGTTCATCCAACGTATCCTGGTAGGACCTGTCCCATCGGCGTCTGTGCTTGGGCGTAGGGGTCGAGTGGAATCTGCATTGCTTGGTCGAAATGGTACATAATCCTCGGATGAACTAATGCGTGTGAACCTTCGAAGTTCAGGATAGCTACCATGTATAGCTGATATGCTAGACCCCTGACCGTCTAACATAGCCGTAAGGTCCTCTTGAGAAGACGAGCTTGGGGCCTTTGATACTGCCTCAATAGGAGTGACGAAGCCACTATTGTTGCCAGTCTCAGGTGATTTATCTTCCTCTTCCTCATGGGAACTTATTGAGGTAATGTCTGAAAGAAGTGGTTTAGAAGTATAATCCCTACTTGTTGTTCTTGTGTCTGTATCTGAAATTCCACCAGCCGCAGCTAGTTCTTCCATAAGACACTGTCCCACTCTACCATCTTGAATTGACGTGTTATTTGCCGAAGCGCTCGATTTGGTCGAGTTATCTCGCACCGGGTATGTGCCATAAGGGGATAACTCAGAGATGAAGCTATCCGACCAAGTATTCAACTGTGGCGAGAGGCTTTGATCCGGTGGAGAACGTATACCTTCCGATGGATAGGATGATGAGGTGCTGCGAACTCTAGTGAGGGATACCGACGATACGATCGTTTTTGAATTGCTTCCCAGTAATTTCGCGAATGGGTTCAAATGTGAGGGATTGCTTGTATTATCTTTCCTTGGTACATACTCTTGTTTAGGGGAGACATTACCAATTACTCTGCGTTTGGGATTTGGATAAACAGGCGTAGTCAGACGTTGTAGCCGAGCATCAATTTTGTCGAATTTGTTCCTAGGGACTGATGGAACATTCTCGATTCGAGTTGAAAGGGGTTTCAATTCTTCCGTAGCGAAGCGGCTACCATCAGAGGTTATGCTGTTCACACGATTCTCATCCTTATCAAACAAACCGGTAAAGGCGGATGAGAGATTAGCGCGTCGGCGGTTACCGGGATCCCCGATGTGAACCGTTAGGAACTTGCTGCTTTGATTTGTATCATCGTCACTGGTTTTCTCACGGGCGAAAGCCCTACTGGGCAAAGACCATCTGTTCAAGGACATAGCAATAGGGGGGAACTAAATGGGCTGCCCTGACGTAGCAATACACCTAATCTGTATTGCGATAGTTTTGGTAAGTTGTTTTTGATTCACAAGTTTTGAGGAGTAAACTATGCGTTGGGAATGGTTAAGTAGGTGAGTGGTTTGAAGAGAAGGGGGCGAGAACGCAACCATTTCGTCCCTATACCAGACTAACGACATTCTGTCAACACCTGTACCTACCTTTACAGGTGAATCGGTCTTTCCGGGAAGTCTCTGTATTTGTCCTAAGGGAGTCGCATTGAGAATACTCATTTTCTGGAAATCGTGTCCCGGCCTCTTCCGGTCTTGTGGTCACCCACCTAGTCGGAAAAGGGGGGAGAGTATTTGCTTGAAAATACCAACATCATAACACTTGTCATTGCGCGGCATGTGTACATCATGGGACCGTGGTTATTATATCCTGAGATGTTTAATTAAGGAATCGTATGTTGTAAGGTGTGTGTTTTTAAGAAGAGAGAATTGTACGACTTGAAGGTTGCACAATTGAATTGATTTATGAATATTTTATGAAGTGGGGGCTGTATCAATTGATAACGCCCAGGCGCTTAGTAACCTAATCTATTGATTATGCCGCTCTAATAAATGATGTCACGATATCGTACCATGAAAATAACTGACCAGGTGCGACGGACTTGCTTTTTCGTCCGGAATTACAGAAATGCACTCCAAAACTTTCTCACTTAAAATATTCACATTTAATTTGTATATCTATCTACATATGTAGCCATGCTTTAATCCGTCGCCAAGTTCAGTCATGTCACAAATTCTATCCTGCCCCGCTGACAAGGCTTATTATATCGGTTTCCAACTATGAGGTCTTTCCGAACATCTCAACAATTAATAGCGACTTTCTATGCGAGAAAATCATGTCGGCTAGCTCAAGGGGTATCTCGATTGGACCTGGTGCCGATTCGCGCCAATATAACCAAGGCCATCGGTCGATCATCATGGTTGCAGCAACACCAATTCCCACGTGGCTTATTTAGTTCCAGTAAACAGCAGTCCTCCAAGACCGGTTCCGGTAAAGGTTCCCTAGTAGTCGTCCCCGTCGCTTTATCCATTCTAGGCGGCTCGCTTATATACTCGCTCTATCCAGGCGATGAATTACGACAAGCTCGACTTGTTAGACAGACCAAGAAATGTCCGAAAAATACTTCCCAGGATGACTCGCAATCTCAAGCCGGTGACACAGCATGGTCGGCCTTTTGTCGCCGATTTGAGAATTTCTCCAACGTTACCGACCTCGAGTGGTCAGCCTTTTCTGATCGTATTGTAGATCTGATCTTACCAGAATGGTCTAAAGTTCTTCCCGGTCAAATCCGCAAACTCCAGCGTGAGCTTTCTTTGGCGGACGGGTCACTAGCTAATGAAATATGGCGAGAAGCTCATGACCCTTTCATCCACCCTGAGATTCAATACTCCGCTAAGGTGCGTGTCTCAGATGAGTTATGTGCCGAAGAAAAGGAATTCTTAGCTCGCCGAAAGAAAGTCGCAACAGCAGCTTTAGCGAAATATCTCGGCCTTAATGAAAAGGACATTCATCCTGACGATGTACCTACAATAGCTATGTGTGGTTCCGGTGGCGGACTTCGTGCTTTAGTGGCCGGAACTGGTTCCCTCCTTGCTACTCAAGAAGATGGATTATTTGACTGTGTCACATATACATCCGGAGTTAGTGGCTCATGCTGGCTTCAGTCTTTGTACCACTCGTCTCTCGCAAATTCCCGATTTGATCGCATTGTCGATCACTTAAAAGCAAGAATCGGAGTTCACATCGCTTACCCTCCGGCTGCATTTTCATCTGTGATATCTTCACCAACTAGCAAACTACTTCTTAGCAGTCTGGTTGAGAAGCTGAAAGGAGATCCGAATGCAGATTTTGGTCTTGTCGATGTCTACGGTATTCTTCTGGCAGCAAGGCTCCTAGTTCCAAAAGGTGAACTAGGTATTAACGAAAGAGATTTCAAACTCTCAAACCAGAGGGAGTACATACGGTACGGACAAAGTCCATTGCCCATTTATACTGCCGTGCGCCATGAGATCCCGGATATAATTGGCAGAACATCCAAACCTGCCACCGATGGTTCAGAGAGGGCAAAAGAAATTGCCAAACAAGAAGCGTGGTTTCAATGGTTCGAATTAACTCCGTATGAATTTTTCTGCGAGGAATTCAATGCTGGGATACCAACATGGGCACTTGGTCGACGATTTAATAACGGAGAAGATGTACCTCCTGAGGGAGATGGCTTTCACCTGCCAGAACTCCGTATGCCTATAATGATGGGTATTTTCGGTAGTGCTTTCTGTGCAACTCTGAGCCATTATTATCGAGAAATTAGGCCTCTTGTCAAAAGCCTAACTGGCTTTTCCACACTCGATGAGATGATTTATGGATATAATGAAGATTTAGAAAAGGTACACCCAATTGACCCGGCTCAAATACCCAATTTTACATATAATATGGGAGGCAAATTACGATTTACGACGCCTACTACAATCTACGATAACGAATATATACAATTGATGGATGCTGGCATGTCCAATAACCTGCCAATTTATCCCCTGCTTCGGCCCGGACGGGATGTTGACGTTATTGTGGCATTTGACGCCTCTGCTGATGTTAAAACGGATAATTGGTTATCTGTAACAGACGGTTATGCCCGCCAACGTGGCGTTAAGGGTTGGCCCGTTGGTGTTGGCTGGCCAAAGGGCACTGACTCAACACAAAAAATTGAGCAGCAATTAGAAGCAGCGCAAGCAAGTTCGTCATCCGAGGCGGACGCTAAAATACGCCAGGCGCAACCAAATCAAGAGACACAGCAGACCAAGAATAATAATGACGAGGCTAAAAAAATAACTGAGCAGAGTGAGAAGACAAAACATGATATATCGCACCCAGAAGATTCTGAATTAGGCTACTGCACGATCTGGGTTGGCACCACAGAAGAACGATCATCCGAGCCACCACCACCTGCGGGAGCGCTCACAGATGATGCACTAGCATGGCAACTAACTGAACCCTCCGCGGGTATCACCGTCGTCTACCTACCATTCCTAGCGAACCCTAAAGTCGAAGGCGTCAACCCGGCGACTAGCGATTACATGAGCACGTGGAATTTTGTATATACGCCTGAGCAAGTCGATAAAGTCGTAGCACTCGCCCGCGCCAATTTCGCCGAGGGCAAGGACCGTATCCGCCGATGTGTCCGTGCCGTTTATGAGCGCAAAAAGAAGATGCGCGAGGAGCGCGAGGCAGCTCTTATGAAAGAGAGCTATAGGCGGTTAATGCGCCTTGGTATTGCGGATAAGTTAGGGGAGGGCGATCACTTCAGTTGATGTTAGAATTGTACTGGATATGGAATTGATACTCTCCCCTTTTCTTCCCTTTTGTATACCTATTATATTATGTTTGTAATTAAATCTTCCATGTACACGATATATAGACCGCGCATTAGATAGATATAGGTGGGCATATTCGGGTGGATGCATCTAGAGAAAAAATCAAGGATTTATACCCTCGAGTAAATATCATGCAGATGAACTTATATTTACACTCGGTGGTAAAGTGGTTATGGGTGGTGCGTCTTTGTATGTTCTACACGGCCATCTATCTACCTAGGTGTGTGTTCGTGTGGCTGTTGGAATATAGTACAATGATACACATGGTAGATGGGACGCCTCCCTGAATCCAACCCACCCCCTGCAACTTGGGCAGCGGCCAGGTATCAACCCCCCTTTTTTTCTTCATGACCTTCCGGCCGCCGTAATCCAACGGTAGGCGTATCGTGTTTTTTTATAACCTAGGACATGCCTTCATATCCCATTCACATACAGTCATTCCAGGGCTAGGGACCTTTTACGATATTATTTCGCCAATATCCACATACGACGGCTTCCATGGCGCAGCATCTTCAGCAAAGGTATCGCTTGGCACACCTACGTTGCCGGGGCTGTATAAGTACCACGACTTTAGCGTATTGATCGCGGCCGCGGTCCTCGCAGCATCGAGGTTCGGTCCCGTGCCCTCGCCTAGCTTATCATGGCCGCTGAATATTCCCACCACGTATACAGGTGTCCGACTCGCCCGACCCGTCTCGCTTAAGAGTCTAGCAACAGGCGGCTCGAAGTCTTCTCGTGCGCATAGTCGCGCTAGTTCCCGAGTCGGCAGTTTGAACAGGAACAGGTTCTCGATATCAAGTTTTCGGGAGAGAACGTGGGACTTGACAAACGTCTTCGTTGTATCCCGCCCACAATATAGGTAAATAGCGCCGACCACCGCGCGCACAAAATTAGCGTGCGCGTTCTTCAATGGGTCGTCTAATACGAGGTCCTTCTTGTTCCTAGCATCACTGACTTCGAGTTCGATGGGCTCGTCTTCCTCCTTCGTCACTATTTGGCCGAATGGGTCGTCGTATATAACTGAACTACTTAGACCCCGACGCCATTTATACTTCAGTAATTCCCTAGACTCGGCTCGCACGTAACCCCATGAGTTCATCGCGACTGAGGGCTTGTCCCGGTTGAATTGTAATAGACCTGGATCCACCTCCTCACCAGGCGCTGCTGCCTCCTCGACACCCCACCCCCGTGCGACTTGGTGTAGTGGGAATACACCGGCATAACCCCTCATAGCGGCGAAGAGAATTGCCATTGGTAACCGCGGAAACCGGGTGACGAGGAATTCCGAGGTGTGGTAGTTGAGCAGCGAGGCGCCCACAAACGCTAAATTCGCATTGTTGAAGCGCGGGTGGGCGTCGGCTGAAGGGTCTATTAAGGCGCGTGCGAGGGTCTGGAGGGGAATCTTGGAGGAGAGGGAGAGTCGTGCGTGGAGAGCCGCAAGTTTGGCTGAGTCGACGGCTCGTTCTGGCGGCGGTGATGGTAACGGTGGTAAACTGCGCTCTTCTTCTGGTATTGTTATATGATCGTCCTCGAGGTCAGCATCTAATGCTACCGCCTGTGTTGTCTGCCACCTCCTAGTTTGGGAACATAGAGGGGTGTGTAATTTTGAGGTTCGGGTCGTTCGACATATTCTTGTGTTCGTCGAGTGGGATGTTGGCCGGGCCGGGGCGGGGGACAGGAATTGGGTCGATAATCTGTCGAGCCTTATTCTCTTCATTTTTGCTGTAAACCCAGATTGATCACCTTCGGCCCAGGGTGCTGGGCGGATTGAGACAAGACACGGTTTGTGGGGAAATATTGGCGATTGCTGTAGCTGGTCTCGTGTCTGTCTGGCTCCGAGAAAAAGTTTCTGAGAATTGAAGCTACCGCCGCTTGTGCAGGGGACCAATGATGGGAACCGTGCACGTGCATTGAAGTGCGATAACTGATAACGCGGATTAATAAGCGCCGCTATCCGAACCAATCGGGTTGCATCAATTAAGATGTGCTAATTCAATGTATCGCTGTACCACTGTATCTAATCGTTGTACATCAACGGAACATTCAATTCAATCTTCAAGCTACCTCATCGTCGCAATTCACTCCAATTGAACACCCTATAGTACCTTGTTCATCACATACTTGAACAAGATGGTAAGACTTGCCCCGATATGTTATAAGTCAAGAACTAACCATTTATAGGGTGGAGGTCCTCGAGTTCCGTAAGCGAAACCACCCCAATATCCCTCGATCGATAAATCTAACCTCTCACTTAGCTACCCCAAGCATGTCTGGTCTCCAGCTGGTGGTTGGTATGCACAGCCAAGCAATTGGAAAGTAAACACAGCGATATTTATGGGTGTTATCTTCGGTATCACAGCTATGACATGGAAGCTTAGCGCCGACCGAGAATTCCGACATAAGATGCCAGAGCCAGACCGATTCTACCCAAGTCGATAGTACGTCACGAGCATATCTCTACTTAGGTCGCAGGATATAGGCTAACTATTTTATAGCTGGAGCAAGCAAATAAGGGAGCATGAAGCGGCGCAGAAAGCGAAGAAGACCGAAAAAGAATCGTCATCATAGAAATGGCACTACGGCCGTTGTACATATGCTTATGTTTTAGGAAGGAAAATACAAGGCGTCAACTATGTTCCATCTAGGGATCTGATGAAATTTGAGGAAAATATGACTTCCACAAGTGATGCTATCGGGATGACAGTTGTTGAGTAAGATCCTGGATCGGAAGTATTTGATGGGTGTACGATCTGGAAGGACTCGCCATTTCACGCACACCCGATATAGATTGTACATCTGTCTAGTTTACGAGAGAAAGGGGACCAGGATCAAGTAAGATGAATCAGTTAACCAATTCAGTAAACAGACTCATCGACTGACTCTTAGTCCAACCTGCGCTCACGCCTCATGATGTTCTATGAAAATACTGCAGCATGGTTGGCACACAGCTTAGGCATCATAAGCCGGTTGTATATATACCTAGGTATAAAACCAACTTGACTATAGAAGCTTACGAAATCCGACAGAAATTTGTAGATGTTTGACGGAGCTAAAGTATTAATCAACCAAATGCAAAATTATTAAAGAAACATCATTGAACTTAGTACAATGGCCTATAATGGGTCTTGATGGCTTAAAGAAAGATATCTAGGTATCATTAGATCATTAGATCGGATTCAACTCTTGTCTAGGTAAACATATAGACGATGTGGAAATCGGTTGAAGGACAATTAAGTTTCCTACTCAACTACCAGAGCTTAAGAAAGTGTACCGCGTACTCTATGGTGTAAATACTAATAGTCCCTTCAAAGTTTATGCATCGTTCAAATTGTTGTTGTCATCTAGGTACATATGACCATCAGTGACAAAAATTAAGGGGTCCAGGGTTAGGGTTAGGGTTAAATCTTCAAAGTTCATTGCATAACCCCAAAGGACGTTATTACCTAGGTAGATTATCGTGTACGCGTACGATGAATAATGCGTAATCTTGCCTACTTGGATACCTAGGTACCTGCTGGGATATATTTGCACATTCTTATCTATGATCGCTATATGAAGTAAATGGCGGGACTGTATTGAAGCTCTGGTATATTTGTCGTAGGCATCTTGAATACCCACGGTTTAGGATTCTACCAACCTAGCTTTGGGACTAAACGTTGGGTATTTGTTCATTTTTATACGCCCATTCTAGATATACAAATGATTGCTAATTCGAGTAAATGAGCCATAACTAGGTACCTTCGGTCAGAATGTTGAATTCAACTCATAAATTCGAAACTGAAGATGCGGGGCAGATCGGCGACCGAGAAAAGGTCTCCTAACTCAGCCCCCTTGTTACCCAGCATTCTGCATCTTGAAGCGCTGGGTATTGTGTTAATTTAACGCCACTGACGTCGATATCAACCGAGTGGTAAGTCCAAGTATACCTAGGTGAGATTTCTTACTGAGAAGCTAAACCTCGAGGGTTAACATAAAACAGTCGGCATAAGCAACATCTTGGAAGTATCCCCGGTTTTACTTCATGCGCCGCCTTCGGGCGCATAAAAGCTAATCAGAGTAGTTTGGTTCAAGCCGGTAGCTTCCCCGACGACAGCATTGATATGATAGGATATTGCCGTGTGGGTGATGCAATCGCTGACAATCGCTGTACTGATTTGAGGCCTTGCTTCTACCGTTCTACTGGAGAGAATTCTGTGTATTTACAGATATACCCTTCGAATAGTTGACGGAATAAACCACTGGGCTCAGATCGTGTTATCTGCAGGAATTCGATATATATGTGCGGGCTGACGTCAGGTGATTTACCTTATATTAAGGTCTTTGACGCGGCGGAACGCCTTCGGGAATGTCTTGCAGAATTCCCGCTGGCGGGATACCGAGCCAATACGCGACCGAGCAAGGTGAACAAGCAAGGGCGAAATATTCCCAGTAAGAATTATACCGGTAGAGTTTTGTTTGCTTCGCAAAATTACTATGGAGCTTCTTCCTTTTTCGTAATATTCGTAATTACTTTAGCACAAAACCAAGTTAGAATATTGGGTTGAAAATAGGATGCGAGTGAAAAATGCACAACGCGTATTCCTATCAAAACTTAACGTATTTCAACCGACTAGAATCAATCCTGCAGGTTCAAAAAAAAAAAAAAAATAGCCCAAAGCGCAGGACTGGTGGGTCGAAACGCGGTGCGTTGGCTGCCCCTTTTATTCAGTCGGATATATGAGGCCATCGTCATTTCGTATCAACGCCTCTTGCCAGGGCCGAAGGAACTATTTTCGGAGGCCACCTGGGATCTAGCCGGGCCCCCCTGATTAACGGACCGGATAGGCGAAGTAGTACGAACGCCGTCTGAATCTGAATCAGCAGGCATGGCAAGGTGTTTGACCAATCGACGTGGGAGCGCGAAATATGAGACAAGCGAATTTCCCAAGGAGGGAAATAAAATTTGACCCGTCCCCTATGTTGAAAGTTATAACGTGGAAGTTTCAGATAATCTGATCGGCGGCAAAAAAATCAGAAACAGTGAGATGAATCCATCGATGTGGTCTAGGATTCCTCAGAATGTTTCTATCCATGTAAGTCTTGCTTTCTCGTAGCACATTAGGGATTTTGATGTGTTGTAACAAGTCACCGTCATCAGATGAAAATGTGGAAATTGTAGACTCGTCTGAAGAGTCGGCTTGTCTCTGAGTTTAATGTGTGTACATATTGTATGTGATCTAGCTGGGGAGTGCCAACAGACTTAGGTAATTTTCATAATTTACCGAGTGGATATGAAGCACCCAGCTGGGTGTGTTCTCGGTGTCTGTGGTTGAAGGTGTCATCATGTTAACGTCTGGTTGCCATTCAAGGTTTCCGTTCTGAGAACAATGACCGAAAGAAGCCATATGCCTAGGCAATTCTTGCCTTCACCATCTTTCATGTTTGAGTCTCCACCATTATTGCGATGACAGCCGTTTCACCGATAAAAGTATGTATAAAGTCAAGGTGATGCCATCCGATAAGATGATGAGGCCAGGGAAAATGTCGACTTCTAGAGGGATCGACGATTCACTTGTGGATTATTGGGGATTCCGGGAAAGGTGTGAAAGGTGTTTTGCTTTCATTCGAAGCTCTTGGCCGTTGCGATTGGACCAGTCAACCCATGTCTATTAATTTTAAGGTGCTTCTGAGGCCTTACCTATTTTGTAAAGGACCGTGGCTTGACAGGGACCCTAGCTCAGGTACGATGTACTTTGCGTACTATACCGTCCGTGCTCTTCCAACTTCCAATAAATGTAATCAGAAAATCGCTTCAGGGATTATTCAATATTGTTCTGCAATGTGCATGTAAGTCTTTTTCTGCTGTGTCAATGATGCCTCATAAAGAATCCATAATATAATATAACGGAATAAGACATGCAGAAAAAAAGAGTATCGCCTTGAGAATTGAGATAGATCTGGAGAAGATGAAGCTGGACGGTTAGGGAAACGTCTAATTTGAAGTACGTGGCCCGCAAAAACCACAAAAGGCAAGCGAGTAATAAGCTCGAAGTGGGTCGTAACCTTGGTCGCGGGTTGATAGAACTTGATAAAGTATTCTAATTCAGTCCTATTGGATGGTCTCGAAGCCAAGGCTTTTGTGCAGCCTATGGAAAGGATAAAGTGCAAAGTGCACCTGCTATTGACCTGGGAAGAAAAAACATTTCTCTTATACATGTAATTTGTACCTACTACTTTAGGATAAGGTGGTATTATTTAGTGACATACACCTGCAGTAGCTCAGGTACAAGAGGTACAAAGTACAACCTTACTCACATATACCCATACGAGCAAGGTAGAGAAGGGCCCGGCAGGTAGGGGGTTTGGAAGGCACAATTCATCAACGATCCAGGAGTTACGGAGTAAGAGCATCGCACCCCCAAGCCTAAGCCTGCAAAAGCACGAGCAGTAGCAGTAGCAGTAGCATTAGCAGTTTAGCAGTTTAGCAGTTTAGCAACAGGCGGCAGTAGCGACTAGCGACCACAGCCCAGCAGCTCGGGGCACAATCTGGCTACGCGCGAGTTTCTTCCCCCGTTTCCTGTCCTTTCTCTTCCCTCCTATCATCGTCGCATATCCAACCTTCAACCTCTTTCTTACTCTTTTCCTTCCGATCCTTATCCTACCCATTCGGATCTACGGTTTCACGGCGTACGGTCGTGACCTATTTTCTTTTCTTGTTTTCCTTGTTTTATTCTTCAATTTTTTCATTCAAGCACTCGTTTAGTTAAGGAGCCTCTGCTGGTAGATTATTCGCCATTCACCTTAGTGTCTAACCCGACCAGCCACCTCAAATTCGACTGGATTATCGGTACCTCTGCAACCGCCACCGTCGTGTCCTATTCGACGACCTGCATCTAAGACCAGGAAACCACACAGCATGTCAAGCGCGACCTAAGATCCACTACCACATCGATTTTCTTGCACTGGCTCCTTTCTGCCCAGTCTCACCTTCTCCAACTATAGACATTCGTTCGTCACTGGAAGCACCAACACATCCGATCCTCTCGACACCACCATCTTAACGACAAAAAACAACCTTCGTAACAGAATCACCATTCCCTCATTTTCCACTTAGAGTAATTGAATCCCTCAGAAAGATACTTGTTTTTTGGTTACAGTTCCGACTATTACTGCAACCGATCTTGCACATAAAATTTACCAGCAAAAAAAGAAAACAAAAAAAAAATAACAGACTACTTTCCCTACGAGCATCTCAGCAACACTTGCGAACTAATAATACTCGACCGGCCATTGCGACAGTTTCGAGGCGCACAAGAATACCGATCGAAATCAGCCTTAACTCCGTTTATTCGAGTAGCATGCAGTGTTAAGAGCAATGATAGGATCAGAACGTCATGCATCTACAGTGCCAGTGATCGCTACTTTTACCACGAGTTCGAGGAGGAATAGCGGCGAGTCGCTCGACCTGGGGTCCTTCGAACAAGCCAGCCGAGACTTCACGATGGCACCAACCCATAGTGGAAGAGCGAGCGGCCGAGCGGGATGGAAGACGAAAGCTGTTTTGCTCTCGGTCTTTTCCGCAGTTCCAATTTCGTTGGCACAAGAAACATGTGTACCGCTGACAGGTTCTACGACCTGCCCAGCTTTCGAATCCTCGTCAGTATCAACAAACAAAAATCTGACGGATTTATTGTGAGTTGATTCTCTTTTCCTGGATTTCTTTCAAAATGGTCCAGGTTTTTTTGTGGTTTGTCTTGGGTTCTAATTCATATCTTAGCCCTTTTCTCCAATACGTCTCAGACACAGCTTCCTTCGACAAGCAATTAAGTCAATACGTCCAGACCGATTATGTTCAGACACAGTAAGTCGAAAATGACAGTGTGAGGGCCTCTAGAATCTTATTGATTTGTCGTTATAGGTATCAAAACTTGCTGGGATGCGGTAACATTGACCTCGTCAACACAACTAATTTATATGCACGCTTCACTACTTCGAAAATATGTAATGCTATTATCCAGAATTCCATCAAGCCCTGCGGTCTTTCAGACGACACATCGAAACCTTTGTGTGCTGACTCTTGCGCTCATTATGCCGAGAGTGAAGCCTATCTCGCCGCCGACACTGATCTCTGCCCGAGTTCGAGCGCTGGCCGTCAAGATCAGCTAAGGGCTGATTTCATCAACTGTGCTTTGCCAGCACGCTCATTATCAAGCAATACTTGCATACCAGGCATTACTAATGAGCCAGATAATTGTGGATATGGTACTAGTACTATCGGGTTGTGTTCGTACTGTGCTTCGGGTGGTATCAATTCAACTGATACGTGCTGCTACAACTCGGATATCGAGACGAGATGTGCCGGTGTCGTTTTACCAGCAATTACACCAACTATGACCTTTAGCGCCCCGACCGTAAGCGCTACTGCTTCGCCGGCTCCAGACAGTTCTTCAGGTCACAGTGCCTTGTCTGGTGGCGCCATAGCAGGAATTGTTGTTGGATCCGTAGCTGGTTTGGTTCTGTTGATCTTCCTTATATTGATGTGCATTAGGCTCGCACGACGAAGACGCGGCAGCCAAAAAGGAAGCGTCTTTAACCAGCCGTCTCCCTCTCGAAAAGGAATACCACAGACGGCTCAAATACCGGCTAATACAGCACCTCAAGAATACGAAGTTCTTCCCGGAGGACGAATAGCACGCATGTCAGCATTAGAAGGTCACACCGGGGCGCCAGCTTCGCGACATGATACATCAAGACGTGGAGGATCAGCAGGCGCGGCAGCAGCCGGTGCAGCCGCTGGATACGCGGTAGGAAGGAGGAGAGGAGCTGATACGCACTCATCTTCGGATTCATTTGGAGATAGTCCCGGCTCAGAAACACGTGCAGCTATATTACGGCCACCTCCTATGAACATGCGTAGGAACGGTTCGCTCTCTAGCAGTTCGGTACTAGCGGGTGAAGACCCCCAGTCTCCCACTAGTGCTGGGGGGATGTCATCGCCTCCTGGCGTAAATAGCCAACAGTCCGAACAATTGCCCTTTTTTAAGGACTACTACTCGCAAGACGATATTCACCCTGGTGAGCGTGTTGCAGTTTTATGGGCGTATCAACCGCGCGCAGCAGATGAGTTCGCCTTAGAACGTGGCGATATGCTGAAGGTCGTTGGCATCTGGGACGATGGTTGGGCGACAGGTGTTATGTTGGACGAAAGGGCAGATGAGTGGGAAGCGCGGAGGCAAGCCCAAAGGGATAGTGGAGTTTCGAACACCTCGGGTCGCGGACGCGACACGTCGCCTCCAGTTAGCGGAGAGATCAAGGCTTTCCCGCTGGTGTGTGTTTGCTTACCCGAACATTGGAGGAAGACCATTGAAGGCGATGGATCCACGGAGACCGGGTCTAGTGCCCACCATGGTGGCCACCCTACTTGAGGTTAATAACGAAATCTTTCACGCTGTTCATTCATATCTGACGGATTGACGAAGATGTCTGTGTTTGCATTGCTCCGGCGTTCAGGGACTTTTCACTTGCAACTCACTGGTTTCGAGCGCAGCACAGTATCGCCTTCTATATCCTCAGGGGTAACTCCTTCGTCCATATCCGGCTAACTCCTATGCCGACCATTCCCGGTTTGTCTCCTGCCTTCTCATCCTCGTCCTGCATATAGACACGACGATTTGCATTGTCGCGATTGATACGCCTAATGCCTTCGGTTCCACAGTAACTACATAATTCTATTCGAATGAATACATCGCCTCGGATCACGACTTGAACCGCAGGACCATTGGTGGTGTTTACCAGATTGTCCTGGGGTGGATTTTTGATATGAAGAGACGCGATCACACTTAATACGACTACACGCAGTTGCGCCCTCCCTTTTCTCTTCGATTGTTGATTCTATATACCCGGTGTGTTAGCAAAGGTGTTTTTTGGAGGCGGGCGTGGTCGGGGAGGGCCACTGCGATGTAATTCCTTTCTTGAGGAGAGGCGGGTGAGAGGTTAGGGTAGAGCTGGAAAAAGCATATGAAGCTAGTTGTATGTCTACTATATGCCAACTAGACGAGCAAGGGACGGGGAGTTTGAAGATGGCCATATTATCACCATAGGCGTCGTCAGAAGAGTCCTCACTAGATAACATAGCATTAAATAATGTTTCTAGTGTTCCCTAAGTAAATGCTAGGAGCTAATTATCTTGCTTATCAAATGGAATCTTCCCCTGAATAATAATTCTTTGAGAGAATACAAGCCTTGATAGATCGAATAGGGCTCATTAGGTAACCCCAGCAAGATCTAATCCATACAAAGACCAGCATATTATACTTAACATCTGAAGTTCGACAAAATTGTAGAGATGTAGATATTTTCTTATTCATTATTTTACTTAGAATTGTTTATAATAATATATTTAACATTTTATACAAGTACCTCAGTATTCATGGTGATGAAGGTTGTATCACGAGCGCGGCTTACCAAGGTAGGCTTGGACCCACCCTAGCTTCCAGGGATGACGAGCACCCCGTGCCAGCTAACCAGGTACCTAGAGTTAGTACCTAGAGTTACCTAAGAAGCCCACTATCTTTAATTGAGCTCCTCCTACCACTCATCCATCGCCGTCATCAAAAAAGAGATCCATCACGCAGCCTTGCTCGCTGCCTCGTGAACAGTTAACGCATATTCGCATTTGCTAATACATCCACCGACGGCGTACATTCTCGCATATACTGGAAACCAAAGGAGACGTTCGGACATATTGACGCATTTTGAGCAAAGCCTCGAATCGAAGATGACCGATTCTCTTCATCTTACGCACTTAGCTAGGTAGCACCGTCACCACCATCTATTTGCAAGATGGGTAATAGCTACTCCCTTACCACGCCGTACGCCGGCTCTGCTGGCATCGACATCCCAGAACTCGCCGACCTAGTCCACGAAAGATCGATTGGTAGTGCTCGCTTTATGAAGAGTATCCGCGCCCGCCATCACGATGGTGTAGTTTTAGCAAAGGTCACTGTGAAACCGTATACCCCGCTATCTTTACGTGACTACGGCGAGAAGATACTGCGTAAGGAATCCCCATTTCACCAAGATGTTGCTTCGCTAACTACGTTCCAAGAGGAGAGGGACAAATTAAGAGACGTACCTAATGCTCTAGGCTTCGAACGTGCCTTCGAGACGGACGGAAATGCATACCTCGTGCGACAATATATATACAGTTCCCTGTACGACCGCATGTCAACACGACCTTTCCTCGAAGATATAGAGAAGAAATGGCTAGCATTCCAGCTACTATGCGCACTGCGAGATTGTCATGCTCGGGACATATATCATGGCGATATCAAGACAGAGAATATCATGGTGACATCTTGGAACTGGCTCTACCTCACCGACTTTACCGGCTCGTTCAAACCCACGAAGCTCCCCGATGATAACCCCATGTTTTACTCCTATTTTTTCGATCTTTCGGGCCGACGTACATGTTATATTGCACCAGAGAGATTCATCGAACATATTGAGAACCCACAAACCCAGCTTCAAGGACACAAACTCACATGGTCAATGGATATATTCAGCGCTGGTTGCGTTATCGCCGAATTGTTCCTAGAAACGCCCATCTTCAACCTCAGTCAAATGTTCAAATATCGCCGAGGCGAATATGACCCAGTGATTTCACATCTCAGTAGGATACCAGATCAAGGCTTAAGGGAGATGCTGTCAAGCATGATTCATCTAGACCCGGAGAAGCGATACTCCGCAGAACAGTACTTAGATTTCTACAAAGGAAAAGTCTTCCCCGAGTATTTCTACAATTTCCTCCATCAGTATATGGAACTCATAACCGATTCTAGCTCTGGCAGAACTCCGATCTCGGGGTCCATGAAAAATCTAGGAGAGGCTGATGAGCGGATAGATCGAATTTTCTACGACTTTGATAAGATCTCGTACTTTTTGGGCTATCACGATGACAAGGAGCCTTCTCAACTTATTCATTTCACCCCTCGACTCGGCCTAGGCCTTTTCCCTGTACGACTAAATATACCCAATAATGAACATTTTACTTCTGCGAAAAAGCAACCCCCTACTGATGATGGGACGTTAATCTTCCTCACGCTTGTTGCCGCCTCACTAAGAAATACTGCTCGAGCAGCATCAAAGATTAGAGCATGCGATATACTATTAGCTTTCTCGGAGAGATTATCAGACGAGGCAAAACTCGACCGAGTTCTACCTTACCTAATGACCCTACTGAACGATGACGTTAATCTTGTTGCTATCGCAGCTCTCAGATCCGTCACTCAGCTCTTAGCTCTTGTATCGGTTGTTACCCCTGTTAACGCCCACGTGTTTCCCGAATACATCATGCCTAGAATGCAGGTTTTTCTCTCGGGCGCTTCAAGGCAACCCATCATGGGAAAAGAGCGCAGAGAGCCAAGCGCATTAGTCCGAGCCACATATGCATCATGCCTGGGGAGTCTTGCCACAACTGCCTCGAAGTTCCTGGAGTTGACGGCGATCCTAAGAGCAGAAGGATCCATCAGTACAGCTGATCCAGAAGTGGAAGCCGGAAGTGACCCGAATGCTACATTTGACGGATTATTCGACAACGCGCAAAACGAACTCGTCGAACTATTCGAAACGCATGCCAAGGCTCTAGTAGAAGACTCCGATGCTTCTGTCCGAAGGGCATTTCTCACCTCTGTTCCAGAACTCTGCATGTTCTTCGGCAGTGCAGAATCTAATGATATCATTCTCACACACTTGAACACATATCTCAACGATCGGGATTGGATGTTGAAATGCGCTTTCTTCGATACGATTGTCGGTATATCTGCCTTCTTAGGTAGTACAAGCCTGGAGGAGTTTAGTCTGCCCTTGATGGTGCAGGCTGTAACCGACCCAGAGGAGCACGTCGTACAAGCTGCATTACATTCCTTGGCGGAATTAGCCAACTTGGGTTTGTTATCAAAGGTGAAGACCTGGGAGTTAATTGATGTTGTTGGTCGGTTCACTATGCACCCAAACCTTTGGATCCGCGAATCGGCCGCGGAGTATATATCTAGTGCCACCAAACTACTATCTCCCGCAGATATTAGGTGTATCGTCCTACCTCTTGTCAAGCCATTCCTAAAGCCTGCGATTATCCCCAATTTTTCAGAGTTGGATTTACTAGATGCTTTGAAGAAACCATTATCGAGAACCATCTTCGACTTAGCACTTTCTTGGGCACAGAAGACGGATAGAGGCCTATTCTGGAAAGCCGTTCGACAACAAAAGCAATCAACTTTTACAATCGCATCTACGGCATTAGCCATACGTTCATTTCGGGAGTTGCAACCTCAAACGCTGAATAAGGTACAGCGAAACGACGAGGATGAACAATGGCTCGGCCGACTTCGAAACATGGGTATGTCGACTGAAGATGAATCTAAGTTGCTTGCTCTACGAGAATTTATATGGCGCTTAAGTCAAATGAGAAATCGCGACCTGATTACGCAGGATAACATTGCTACGTCCTTGAATAGTATAATTCCGTTGAGGAGCTTAAACGTCAAATTGCAAACAATTATGTTTGATGAGACCTCCGCAGAAGAAGAGCCGGTATGGCAACAGCAGATCTCAGATCCAGATAAGGGACCGTATACTATCGCCGATGCCCTGCTAGATGCGTCCATGACAATTGACGAACCCGTTGGAAGGAGGCGTCGTGCAGCGATAAATAATCACCGTTCGCGTCTGGGTAGCCGGGGAGGCGCAATTTCACCGAGGACGAGAGATAATCGGGCGTTATCGCCGATGCAGACCCAGGCCTCATCACCAGTTGATGGTGCAGGTTTTGATGAATCACGCCGAGCTTCATCTACTACACGCGGACGAACTTCCCAAGATGATGACGCATCCGTGTCAGATGCTCCGTACTCCGCGAGACGGGCTATTAGGCACCAATCAAGTGCGCTAGATCTTCTGAAGAGGAAAGACAGCGGGAGATCTGTTGCAGAAACAGGAACGACTGAGGCCAACGCATTTGGACAAGTTGAGGGACCATTCGCACAGAATCCGCCGCCCCAAATAACAATTCCCGATACCGTTACAGAGGGCGGAAAGACGGGAATCCGGACACGAGCTGCGCATACCTATGAGGGTAACGACCCTAGCATACTAAAGATGCTCGACAATATGTATGTCGACAATTACCCTCATGACATAGCCCAATTTGGACCGCTGGTTGCACCAATAATGAGAAGGAAATCTAGCAAAACGAGCGGACAGTCGACCGATGAAGCATGGAAACCAAATGGTAGTCTTGTTGCTACCTTCTCGGAGCATACCGGAGCAATTAACCGCGTTCTACCGTCTCCCGACCATTTGTTTTTCATAACAGGTAGTGACGACGGCAGTGTGAAGGTTTGGGACTCATCACGACTTGAACGTAATGTTACACATCGTTCACGTCAAACTCATAAGCACGCACAAGGCGCGAAGGTTGTTGCGCTATGTTTTATTGAGAATACCCATACCTTCATCAGTTGTGCTACCGACGGCATGGTCCACGTTGTCAAGGTTGATACTGCAGTTACAGGCGGAGCGACTAAGTATATCCGGCTGAGACCACTACGCGAGTATCAATTACCTGCCGGCGAGTATGCTATCTGGTGCGAGCATTTTAAGCAGGAATTGAATTCCGTGCTCGTGCTTGCCACCAACCGATCCCGAGTCCTGGGCATTGACCTTCGTACGATGACCCTTCTCTATGTTCTTGAAAACCCAGTACACCATGGCACGCCAACATGCTTCTGCATTGATCGAAGGCGGAACTGGTTACTTTTGGGCACGTCTCACGGTGTCTTGGACTTGTGGGACTTACGATTCAAGATGCGGCTTAAGGGCTGGGGCTTACCTGGCAAATCGGCGATCTACCGTCTCAGCCTTCATCCAGTAAAAGGTCGCGGAAAGTGGGTATGCGTGGCGGGCGGTACCGGCCTCGGTGAAGTCACAGTTTGGGATCTCGAGAAGACGCAATGCAGAGAAATCTACCGAGCAGGTGGGGCAAAAGAGGGGCCAAAAGAGTACAAATCGTGGGATGTGGATGAAGACAAACCCGAAGGGATGCTTGGCCACTTCGCGACGAACATTGAGCCTACGGCTAGTGGCAACGGGGATCGTGGCGTCCGAGCGATGGTTGTCGGCTCAGGCATTATGGAAGAACAACGTGAAATACGATTCGGATATATCCTGACCGGGGGTTCAGATAAGAAACTGCGCTTCTGGGACTTAATGCGGATCGAAAATTCATGTGTGTTCAGCGGTCTTCTGGGCGAAGATGCGAAGCCATCGTTTGGAACGGTTCCCACGCCGAATCAACCCGGGTTGACTCTTAATGTCGAGAGAGTGTCCAAGGGAGGTGATACCGATCGGAAAGGTGGAAAGAGCAGTAAGTCAACGAGTTCAAGGGAGAAGCCTCCTAGGCATACGGTCATCTCCGCGGAGCAGGGACAGCTGCTCAGAAGCCACCTCGATTTAATCCTCGACGTCGCAGTGCTGGAGATGCCATATACGATGACGGTTAGCGTCGATAGGTCAGGTGTCATTTTTGTCTTTCAGTAGTTATGATAGAGTCGCGGATGCTTGAGTTGGCGTTGATCGGTAAAGGTATTTGACTTTGAGACTACATAGGATACCACCATGGCTATATCAGGGCGTTGTTAAGAGGACTGTCAAGATGTGTATAGTTCTGCTATTTGCAGTATAGTCTATACTCTGAAGTTGATATTAAATAGATAATGACGTCGTGTCGTACCAATTATTTACAGTGAGTTTAAGGTTATATTTTAGCTGCATGTGGTGTCTGTATTATAGGGCGGGAGGCGTCGCGAGCACCCACTGAATAGTGGAAGAAATGCGGGGAAAGTGGGGAAATGGGTATGACGTTGATTTTTGCATACTTAATACGACACCGGACCTGCTTCAAACATAGAAGTATATCCCGATAATTCGTTCGCCGGTATTGAATAGGTAACTGATAAGGTTCCATCCCACAAGGAATTTTGTGGTGCACGAATGAACCCTAAAAGTAAACATTGAAAATGTCGACGAAGCAGAAAACGCTGAAGGCTTTCCTGGCTACAGCTCGTGCAGCGCTTACGGGACCACCGTCGAAAAGACCGGTTCCGCTGCACTTTGTTGTTGGAAATGAATCGGCTGGTATGTATTCTCACTAACCCACGGTGCATAATCGCATTTATATCTATTAATAAAATACCAACGAGAATGCAGACCTCGACTCTCTTTGCTCGGCGCTCTTCCTAGCATATTTTTGGAGTCACACCCCACCCCACACTTTACACGTCCCGCTGTGTCATTTGCCCCGCGAGGACCTCGCCCTGCGTCCAGAGTTCAGTGAAGCGCTGCGGCGCGCTGCGGTTACGCCTGATGATGTGCTTACGCTCTCGGAACTTTTCAAGGCAGATGGGTTGAAGGCGGAAGATACGCGGTGGTTGCTAGTCGACCATAATGTACTAACCGGAGAGTTGGAAAAGTATGGAAAGCAAGTGGTTGGGTGCGTGGATCACCACGATGACGAAGGAAAAGTACCCGAGGACGCCGAACCAAGGGTTATACAGAAGACGGGTAGCTGCATGAGTTTGGTTGTAGAAGAGTGTCGTGGAACGTGGAACAGCCTAGCGGAAGAGGGTAAAGAAGAAGCGCTGCAGATTAATGCGCAATTGGCATACCTTGCGCTCGCATCGATTCTTATTGATACGGCGAATCTGGGGAATAAGAATAAAACGACGACACACGATGAGCAAGCTGTGGAACTCGCGGAGAGCCGGGTCTCAGCGGATACCTCTGCTGGGGAAGATACGTACGACAGGAAGAAATTCTACGATGGACTGTCTGCGCTTAAGGAGGATGTCTCGGGGATGTCGTTTCGGGATATCTTCCGTAAGGATTATAAAGAGTGGGATGAAGGGTCTCTGAAATTGGGAACGTCGTCGGTGCCGCAGTCTTTTGCGTACTTGGTGCGCAAAGCTGGGGATGAGGCGGCGTTTGTAAGGGAGCTTGGGAAATGGGGTGAAGAGAAGGGATTGGATCTCGTGGCTATTCTTACTACGAGTAAAGAGAGCGGCGAGTTTAAGAGGGAATTGCTTGTCTGGGCACGGACGGGACCTGAGGTTGTGAAGGCAGCGAAAAAATTCTCCGAGTCTGATGGAAGAGACAAATTAGGGCTAGGTACGTGGGCTGATGGAAAGTTGGATCTGGAAGACGGAAAGAAGGAATGGAGAAAGTGTTGGACACAGGAGAGAATCGAGAATAGTCGAAAGCAGATTGCGCCTATGTTAAGAGATGCGCTAAAGGGAGTAAATGCGTGAGTACCCTTCGCGACATCACGGCATTTTAGAATGGGGAGCATTAGCGTGACATTTTAGCATTCAATATACAATACTCAAATACTTTTCAATTCATTCCTCATAACTCTTCATCGCCATCCACCCACCCAAGCCATCAGATCATTCGCTACTGCGCAGCGACAATGGCATCGAGCCATTTAGCAAGACGGTAGCCCTGCTTGGCGATTTGGAGCTCAACAGCAGGCTGGGCGGCCGTGGTGTAATCACCAGAAACATCTGTATTCTCAATTGAGCTAACGCCATCCTTGAGCACGATCGAGCACACGTAGGCATTGCTTTCAGTAGCCCACTTCAACGCCGTGCTGATTTGGTCGTCCGAAGAACCCACGCTTAGTCCGCTGATCCAGCCGGATGCTTGGGACTTGTATTCGCCGGAGTCGATTTCTATGAGTCATTAGTTCATTTCTTGAATGAGGAGAATGAGAGATGTAAAAAATGGATTGTTTACTGGTAACCAAAGTCGAAGCCCAAGATTTGGCAGAAGACTCGGAGCTGCCGCCCGAGATGGATTCGGGGATGTTGCTATCCCAAACAGCGTGCAAGTTCGTGTCATCGCCGTCATATGAGACGTCAATGTCGTTACCACCCACATCTAGAGCTTCGCAGTGGAGCGGCTGTCCTATATCACCAGCAAACTATCCTGTCATGTTAATTTCTCCTGCTTCAGTGCACTGCTACTTCGTCTGACGTCCCCTTGATTTTTGCTTACGTGAATGACCATCTATATCATATGTTAGTACCATTTTTTTCCCTTGAGAAAGGCTAATTTTACTCACCTTAGCAGCGATCTGCAAATTCGCATTGCTAACCTTCTGAGCGATGAGCTGAGAAGTATAGTTCTGAAGGGCGTACACGACGCAACCCTCATCAGCACAGTCGCGGTCGAGATCAACACCACAGCTAGACGGCGGGTTGTCGTTGGCGTCGATGTAGTGGTATGGTGCCGAGAACTTGCCCGCTGTCGTGTACCGGTAGCTATCGGCCCATGCCGCAACGCTCGCTAGGTAGTCCGCCGACGTGTCACCTAACAGGTCCTGGAAGTATGACTTCGCGGCCGATCCGACATAGTTGCTAGCCACGTAAGCTACGGTCTCGTGGCCCATTGCACCCCAGGCCATAGCGCCTGGAAGGGCGGCGGCGGAGAGCAGAGCTAGCGGTGCGAGGCGAGTCATTTTGATGTCCTGGTTTGAGGAGATATTGGATTGACTCTGGCGATGGTTGTTGGGTGGAAAAGAGGGAAGATCGCAAAGCAGATCAAAAAGTCAGGAAATGAGATGGGCACATGTTATATACCTACCATAGCTTTACTTGATTACATACATGCAGTACCGGGATCTTTCAGGTACAAATCGCGATCATTGGCAATTTGAACCGGTGGAATTGACGTTGAAGCTACCTATTGGCTTCGTAGGCGCGTTCCGAACCACCCCTAAGACAGGGTAGGGTGGGATGCCGGGAACATGGCATAGGTTCAGCAGCGGGACGCGAATCTTGCGTCGAAGCATAAGAAGATTATAGAAGGTGATTTTGTTTATCACCACTCAGCTGCGTCGTTCTATGGAGTAGATTCAAGGTAGTATTTAAATACCTGCAGCTGGTATCATCGTCATGGGTGGTGCGGCGTATACCTTATCTTGGAGCTCGTCCAATCAAGTAGGGCACGTTGATCAGAAACAGGCTCTCCCCTGAGATGAGGATCATGCTGAGGGTGCTTTTCGGGATGGTGGTTGGACAGGTTGCCCTTTTAGTCCAGGCCACAGTCGACGACCTGCCTTGATTGGACCTCGGTGAGGTACAGCTTTTAGGTAGTATTCTCCTGGCAAATCGGGTAAAGCCGCGCTACTAATCTTTCAAGATATTCTCTATTCAAAATACGACCTGGGGACTCTTCGGTACTTGGCCTTGGCATGAGATTGATTTGGCGATAATTATACACTATGATTGTTTTGCTACTTGTCGAATCCGTCTTTTGAGAACGTATCAAGAGAATGTTGGAGTCTGAGCTGTCATCTCAATCTGACTTAATAATGTGTAGCTAGATTGGCATAGAACAAGTACGGATGGCTTGCCAAAAGGGGAAGGTCGCTGAGGCTGGCACTACTGAGCCGACTGGGGAGGTGAAAGCCAATTCCCCATCCTCGTGCTAAAGAAGACGAGACCGAGAGGCCTATTACTTTTCTTGACTAGTTTACAAATATATTGTGCTTATACAATGCCGCGCAGATTGGCCTGCCAAATACTTAGGCCAGGTAGCTATATAAAAACTACGTGTTTCTAGCTGAAGTTGAAGGACCGTGTTGCGCGAGTGATTCGAGCGGGCCTTACGAGCGTGCACCTTCTACCGCATAACGGTCTTTAGTTAGTATTTGAATCTTCCTGACGAGTTTTACAAATTCAGCCTGCCCTCGCCTGCTATTCGGTGGCGAATGTCTGGCGGCTTCCTCAGCATGCGGATCTGCGACACGAATGCACTCTAGGAGGGCCTTCAGTACAGCTCCAGTAGGTGGTACTGGCGGATTCTCTATGAACATCTCCTGATAACATCGCCTTAGCGTCGTTGTGCAAATAGAGGCGGAACCCGAAGCTGCTGATAGTTTATACATATGAGTATACATGGCGGCCGAACGCGGGCGTAAATACCTTGGGAGTATACTCCAGGCCTCCCAAACTCTAGCCCAGTCGCGTAATCTGGCATACGCCCCCATGAGTGTCATTATTAAAGACTCATCCATGCACGGTAAATGCGCATGGCGTATAACATCATCCAACCGTTCAATAAGTCTCAAGTGATTGTGGGAATTGAGGCGTTGAGCACTTCGACTCGCTGCATCGATGATGGCGACTAAAATATCGTTGGAAACCACTGGCTGTCCACGTTGTTGCACTGTTTTTAGAAGCTGAAGGGCGAGCTCAGTTTGAGCGTTGAGTTCGCTTCCGGAGTTATAAATACATGCCAGAAGCTGAAGAAGTTGTTGCCGAGTAGCCTCGACACGATAAAGACCCATTTCTTCGACAAGTTGGCGTACGCTATTGTATACTTCCCGAGAGTCTCCCTTCCCTAATTCGCAGATCTTTGCCTGGATGGCGAGCCGGAACTCCCAGGTCTGGTGAGGGGAAAGAGCATTACACGCACGTTTAGATAATTGAAGGAATGGGGTTGTGAGCTGCCCTTCATTTGAAAAACCAAGGCATTGCTGAGCGGAAATAGGCGACTGTCCGTGAAGGTGTGCTTGTAGCATTGCCAAAACATGATGTTTTTGCTGAACATCAAATTTGAGGGTCTGCTCAAGCTCATCCCTTGACTGAATATGTGTGAGCGGGTCGGACTTGGGTTGTTCGCTTATGGATGCTTGTTGGGTTGAATAAAATCGTGTTTGCTCAAATGGTGTTCTTCTGGAGGTGTTGTTGAAGGGGTTCTTATTAGCATTCGCAGACGGACGTGAACTAGACAAGATGGCCCTTTCTAATGGATGTAAGTTGTCCAGGGGATCTTCTATCTTAGGCTCCGGGCGATCTTCAGTTGGCCGACCCAGAGCTTGTTTCCAGAGGGCTTCAAGGCGCAATTCAGATCGTCGGGACTCAGTCATTATTTGGACGACAATTGTAAAGCCATTATCTTCTTGAGGGACACCAAAACCGGCAACGCGTCCATCTTCTCCAACTATAGAAGATACCGAATTAGTACCGCCCATAGTTCCAAGATTAACACAAATCCAACCAGTCTTGATACCGTCGTCGGTATCGTCGGTGCCTCCTAAAAGCTTCGCGCGCTTAGCTTTCCGACGCAATTTAAGCTTGCGCTCATTCGGCGAGATCAGACCATCGGCGTGAGCCCAAACTCGATGTTTACCTCGCAACCATCGCACCAAACGACCGGCGGACACGTTAAGATGGCGTTCGCTTCGTGCTGTGCCAAACAGCATAAAAAGATTTGGACCCAAAGCTGCTGGAGGATCGAGTTCTCGAAGATCCAACACAGATAGTTCGTCAAGACCCAATTCCTCAGAGATATACTCTAATAGTGAGCCGACTATCTCTGGAGAATCTGAGGGAAGCTCTGGTAGTGGCGGTGGTTCAATAGAAGCCACATGCCTTGGAGGTTCCACTTGGAGATACCAGGGTACCTTATTCGGGGCTGAATTCTGGGTAGCTTCGTTATGATTTTGATCATTGGATTCTTCGTCATTTCCTTCTTCTTGTAAGCCCTTTTCAACCAATCCCGGGCTACTTGGTGGCTCACTCCGAGTTGGCGGAGATGAGAAAGTCCGGTGTGGCATTGAGGTGACTAATCGCGAACGGCATTGAACTGAAGTTGCTCTTGTTATGGGAGAAGTAATGGAGGGATTGGTGAACAGCTTTAGAATAGCTAAACGACAGTGTGAACAGCCCGCCGAGGCTAGAGTAGGTCGAGCTACCATCATGTCTCTGTAATGATATGAGAATATACGGATCGACAAAGAATCACTTCTTCAATTTTGCGTCGTAGCTCCAGACTGTCTCAGAAAAATCAACCAAGACAACTCACTCCCCCTCGATGAGATCACATATGTGTGTATATAAATGGGGAATTAAAGATTTAGAGACTTAGTGTCAAGACTTTAAAAGTTCCAGTACCGAGGGATATAGGGCCTGGAATAATAGTAATCCGCACGCTAGTGCTATTTTTGGTTAGATTAAACTGATAGAGGTGGGATATGCGGGGCGATTGTAAGTTTCCAACCAATGAGCAGCTATCTTTTATCTAAACTGCTTTCTTTTCTGCAATGGCAAAAAAATTTAGAAAAGAGACCCTCATTGAAGCTCGCCTCGCCTTCCAACACTACTAAATAATTCCAGTCGTCTTGACTACAAGCAAACTTCTTCCTAAATGTTTATACAATCTATAGAATTATCTATTTAAACTTGATGTTATAATAACCTTACGGATCTCTCGACGGCTTCCAAAGCTCGTTGAGAACCAACCATTACTTTTCTTTTCCTTGAGATACCCCATCCCGTCCCATTTTGTCCCGCCGCCGCAATGCTCGTGCGACCTCTTCCCGCTCAACGGAGCCTTTCTCTGTCACGACTTAACATCCTAAGACGACCTCAATTACCGTCTGGAAATCGATATCCCCAATCATTTCACACAAGTCGTAGATTTTTGACAGCTCAAACGGAACTGTCACCAAGGAGGAAAAAGATATCACAAGACACTCGTGGGCCGGTTTTCCAAAGATCCTTGGCTACAACCATTAGCGACCCTATACGACAGGATGAAATACGTTTCGATCACCTCCAGTCATCCATACCTAGCCATTTTAGCCTCCCACTATCCAATTCTCGGCTATACGATATAAAACCATTCGACCCTTCCGCACCATTGCTTGTTAAAGTCAACAATGATGACCCCATCCCACGTGCAAGAATCAATACCCATGGCATACCCGGCGGCGTCGATGAAATGCTGTCAATTTTTGACGCGTGTTTACAAGTGAAAAATTTAGACAGGGCCGCTCTCGTGCTGACTCGGTTCGGCGACATGGGCGTTATGCCAGGCCATGAGTTGATAGTACTTCACAATCGATATCTTCGTGCAGCCATCGAAAAAGCTTTCGAGCAACCCGATTCCGAATGGGCCCAATCTCTTCACAAATGGTACGAGGTACACATCAGGCGCAAGGATATTCCCCAGACGTCCGAGACCATCGCCTGCATGCTAAAGGTCTCACTCATATCCTCACAAGGGTCTCGACTAGAAAGGCTTGTAAATCGGTATATGGATATGTTATCTGAGGATGCTATATATCAGGTTCTAGAAGAGGAAGATATCTTGACCCAACAAGACTTCGGTGTCATCGCAAGCATCTATCAGCCCGCTTCCGGTCTCTTGGAGAATTGGGAATTCTCATCGGAAGACGAGGGGACGCAACTACCAGTCGAACAGGTAGATTCTTCTCAGGCGGAACCAGAACCGGACACTACGCCCCAAGTTAGACCTGTACCACAAAAAGGGTTGGGCCTCAAATCATTGCGTGGCGTCTTATCCTTTTTCTCCGAGGTTGAAGGCCAAGATCTTTCCAAATTATCCCTCGCCGAACGTCGGGAAATACAAAGACGACTAGAGATGGATTGTGTCGATGCTGCGATTAACCGATGGAGGGAGGAAAATGACAACCTCAAGAAAATGGGATTGAACTCCGCGCTTTCTACAAATGCTTTAAACTCGCAATTGTATGAATGGCAATGTGCTCTTGAAAGCAGGCTAGAAAAGGAATTTGCGTTGTTCGCAGAGTCGGAACAACGTGAACGAAAAAGTATGGAAGACCAAGATCGATGCTTATATGCACCCTTCCTAAGACTGTCAAACCCGGCAAGACTAGCTGCGGTCACGATTATTGGCGTACTCAACACGCTTTCTACGAGCGGTGCTGACGGAGCGGTCCAGTTATCTTTCTTACTGACCCAACTCTCCAGGGCTGTAGAGGAGGATATTAGGTATATTCTACGAAACCAACAGTCAACCTCGCAGAAGCCCAAATCCAAAAAGCGAGCCAACAAACCAGGCGTTAACCAGGCGCAAGAGAGTTCAAAAGATGCTCCACAGTCCGCCAACATCGGGTCTCAATCTAATGTTGTGGAGTCATCCGCTTACGAAGTCAAATCATGGCCAGTTTTAATTAAAACGAAAATCGGCGTTGCTTTATTATCTGCGTTGATGGACACCGCAAAAGTGAACGTGGTCCGGGAGCACCCAGAAACGAAAACCCTTGTTAGCCAGAACCAGCCAGCTATGACACATAGCACGATGCATCGGAAAGGAAAGAAGATCGGTGTCGTTATGCCGAATAAATTCCTAGTCGATCTTTTGAAGCGGGAGCCCCCGGCAGAATTTCTTGCGAGACATCTACCAATGATCGTTGAGCCAGAACCCTGGACAAAGTTCGACAAGGGGGGCTTCCTTGAATATCCCGCCCAACTTGTACGGGTCAAGTACGGCGAGAAGGATCAAAGAGTCTACACCGAAGCAGCCGTGCAGAAGGGCGACATGGAACAAGTTAGCAAGGGCTTAGATGTTCTGGGCCGAACAGGATGGCGGATCAACAAACCTGTCTTCGATGTGATGCTTGAAGCGTGGAACAGCGGCGATGAGATTGCGAACATCCCTCCACTTAACCCTCAAATACCCCTACCAGAGGAGCCGGAACCATCCGACAACCCGATGCAACGGCGGGAATGGCTGAAGGCTGTAAAAGCCGTGGAAAACGAAAAATCGGGTTTGCATTCCGAACGTTGTTTTATGAATTTCCAACTTGAGATCGCTAGGGCATTCAAGGACCAAACATTCTATTTCCCGCATAACATGGACTTCCGAGGACGTGCTTATCCAATCCCAACCTACCTCAACCATATGGGCGCCGACCACGTCCGCGGCCTACTTCGTTTCTCCAAAGGGAAGGAGCTTGGTGAAACTGGTTTACGATGGCTTAAAATTCATCTGGCAAACGTTTTTGGTTATGATAAGGCTAGCCTAAAGGAACGGGAGGCCTTTGTCACGGACAACCTTGACGATATTTACGACTCCGCTAATAATCCCCTAACGGGAAGACGGTGGTGGCTTCAAGCCGAAGATGCATGGCAATGCCTGGCAGCTTGCTTCGAAGTCAAGGCGGCCTTAGAGTCTCCTGATCCTACTCAGTATGTGTCTCATCTCCCCGTGCACCAAGATGGCACATGCAATGGATTGCAGCATTATGCGGCTCTTGGTGGTGATTCATGGGGTGCTCAACAAGTTAATTTGGAGCCCGGTGATCGGCCCGCAGATGTATACTCTGCGGTTGCCAATCTAGTGAAAGAAAGCGTTGCAGAAGATTTGAAGGCGGACAACTTTCTGGCCAAGGCAATCGATGGCAAAATAACAAGGAAGGTTGTGAAGCAAACTGTCATGACCAACGTTTACGGCGTCACCTACGTTGGGGCCAAGGCTCAAGTGTCCAAGCAGCTCGACGCAGCTTATCCTAACCTGCAAAAAGAGGCAGAAGTACCTGTAGACGTAATCGCGGCTTATGTTGCTACAAAGATTTTTCAGGCTCTGTCTACTATGTTTCGCGGAGCTCATGATATTCAATACTGGCTTGGAGAATGTGCTGGAAGGGTCTGTCGTGCTATTACTCCAGAGCAAATGGACCGAATCGCTAATGGAGATGCCTTGAAATCGGTCACAAGTTCCCGTTCCAAGAAAAAGACGCTTAAGGACCAGTTACTCAGTCAATTCAGGTCGACGGTTGTCTGGACCACGCCTCTTCGCATGCCAATTGTCCAGCCGTACCGTAAGAGTGGTACTCGCACTATCTGTACCTCTCTTCAGGATCTTACCTTACAGGTGCCTGAGCGTTCCGATCCTGTGAACCGACGGAAGCAATTACAGGCTTTCCCCCCCAATTTCATCCACTCGTTAGATGCTAGCCATATGTTACTGTCTGCATTAGAATGTGATGAACTAGGTCTTACATTCGCAGCGGTACATGACTCCTTTTGGACACATGCTTCTGATATTGAAGTTATGAACCGTGTTCTGCGGGATTGTTTCATTAGGATACATAGCGAAGACGTTGTTGGACGTCTCGCAGCTGAGTTTGAAGCGAGATACAAGGGATCCATTTACATGACTAAGATTAAAAGGGGTTCTCCCGTTGAAGCCAGGATCGTAGAATGGCGCAGGGAGAAAAAACTCACATTGTCAAGCGAGCTTTTAGAAGAACGCGAGAGGCAACGACTATTGGTATCTTCGGATCCCGAGGAGGTCGAGAAAGGCAAGAAGATGGTGACACCCGCTAGCATTTATGAAGAGATGTCTAGTTTTCAACCTGTCACGAGTACTACCGAGATGGAGTCGGTCGGATTGGGCAATATTCCAGGGACAACCACCGCTTCTGAAGCCGAAGAAAACGACGATAACGACTTAAGCGAAGCCGCCAGCCCCGGAAAGAATTATCATACGAACATTGAACACGTCAAAAGCCTGTTAGGAGTAACTCTATTCGAATCAGAACTTACGGGCGTCGCCGGAAAGAAATTAAAGAAAAAAGCAGATCCGCAAACTGGTATCAACATTTGGCTTCCGCTAACTTTCCCCAAAGTTCCTGAGAAGGTTAGTAATCCTGCGCCATTAGAAAATCAGATAATAGGCTAACTAATTTACCCAGGGTGACTTCGACGTGTCGCGACTGAAGGATAGCCAATACTTCTTTTCATGATCATGAGTTTATACACTTTAGAGACGAAGCTCAAATTTCTAATGACTTTCAGTTTACGCGGCGTTATGAGTAATGTTTACTGTATCATTAGCGAATGCATCATGCGGCGTTTGGTGATAAAAAAAAGGTGGCATATTTGGTGGGGAGATGGAAAATCATGGGCATTATACTGTATATGCAAGACGCTTGTATGAATCTGTACATTACACTGGGGGTACGTGATCTAGAAGGAGGTACTAGATTACTGGGCAGATCTGGACGGATGGGGACAAAAAGAAGCCATCCACTCCAATTGATGTACAAAATTAGCATCAAATACCAATTTAAACACAAAGATTCTTGGATATAGGTACGATAGAGCTTTTTTTTGCGTTGTGAGCAACCAATGGGTCTTTTCCACGAATTTATACTGTTATCGTACGACAACGACAACACGACGAAACCTGACTCCTTCGAGATACTCCATATAACTCCGATAGCCGTATTACTTTACGTACCTAACTTATTAACATCACGAAGACGGTACGTAATATATTAAGTCAACATCGCCAATCCGTAACAGTAGTTCTAAATTAGGTCAGCTGACGTATTAGCGAGATGTGATACCACCCTGGAAAGAGATTTGAGGCTATTTGTCTCTTGTGTCTGGTAAGCGGCGGGGACTTGGGGGACCTGGTTCCCGCCTATGGGAATTGCGGGAATCAAGGACCCGAGCAGAGTGCCAGGAGGATGACTGGGTTAATATCCGGGGGTGGATCGCTATTTTTGGATTGCATTAGGGACTATCATTATGTTCGAAAAGAAAAAAGAAAATTGCGAAGGGAAACAAACCTGCATTTAGAATTTCCCAGTTTCATCCCGGAATCCGGCTATCTGGTTGCTAATTGTAAGTGCGAACCATCCACTGAGCATGAGACTGGTCATAAGATATATCAACCACAACGCCTCTCAATCCTTAGTTTCACTCAGCCCGAACGAGGGGAAAGCTAGAAAAATCAAAGGGGCTAGATTCAGCCCCGTACGTGTACGATTCGTTCTTCACCGGGCTAGCTGAGGATGCGGTGTGAGAGTATACGAGGGTAACACAAAGCAAGCGTAGTTCTAACCAAGCGCCCAGGTACCAGAGCTGAGGATCAGGCGGACCCGGGCAGCTATGCCGATCCTAGGTACAATTTTCATTCATTCTCCTCTTCCGTTCCTTTCTCAGTTACGAACAGGATCACAATTTTTTTCCTCCAAGATCCGAATTCCAACCTGTCACGACCGCGCATAGACCATCGTGTGCACATAGCCAAGAGTCGCGAACTGGCGGAACGGTACCGCACGTAAGATGAACGAACCACGGTAGGAAGGATTTTTCATCTATCTCGTTCGTACGACTTGAAATAGGTAAAACCATTACATATTTCATATTCATAAATCTCTCCATTTCAGCACAGGACTCTATTCGGCGTCAGCAACAACGTCCAAGCCCCTTGGCTTGCCTCGTGCTTTTCTTATTAACGCTTGGCGGGCGGTGTGTTTGTGGACAGGGATAGGCAATGTGATTGAAGTAGATTGCGGTTGTAGGAGAATAAAAGGAGCTTGGTACCCTCCTTGGGAATATCAATTCCATTAACCTGGTCCATCAACGTTGTAGAAAGTAATCGAATACGTCGCTAAGATGTTGTTCTCATCTCGCACTTTAGTTTCCGGCGCCGCTGCTCTGCTGGCACTATTGTAAGTTTCTCATCCCAACATACCTAGTGACATTCTAACAAGATCCCATAGCAATGTAGTCGTTGCCTCCCCACAAGGAGGACCTATCTCAGGATTGTCCGACCCAGCTACTATCCCAGGGCATTGTTCGACGACAATGGATGACTTTGAACATACTACAGCTTGGGTCAAGACTCACGAATGCTACACCTACACCAGAACGGTCCAATCTGGTGAGTAATCCCTTACATACCCGCGCGGGATTCAGGTTGCTAATATAGGGATAGCTGCTTGCCCGGTCCCAACGTGCCCATCGCCAGATCCGGATCAGATCTGCCCGGAATACATCAAGGTGTCGAAAGTGACGGTACCGTGCTCCACTGACTGTTGCCCAACAACGTCGACTACGTACGTATCGGATGGTCCTTGCTCGACCTGTGATCCGTGTCATATCCCGACGCAATGGATTACTTACACCACCGGATGTGCTGGAACGCCTACTATTACGTCCGAAACGATTGTCACGCCACCATAAGCAAGACCTAGTTCATTAGAATTAGCATGAATGAAAACTAGGGCGATTGGTGGGAAAATTGTAGTTGATAGCTTTAAATCGAGCTTCATTTTCATCCTAAGTATAAATCGGATATTATGCCGAATTTTGTAGCTTTTTTTTGGTGATTATCGCACCGTAGCTCCCTGTAAGGACTTAACTGTGCAAACACCTCCAGTCGCCGTAGTTAGCTTGCCAACCAATTCCTTGCCCGCCTCTTTAACCACGTGCCCATCGAACACGACCTCCAAGTTATCTGTCGTAGTGAAGCCTGGTTGGAATGTTTCCCAGATCTTTTTCTTGGGGTTGAGTACGCCCTCAGGCTCACCTCTATATCCATCGAAGCATACTCGATCACCAGCCTTGGCATCCGCAGGCGGAGTAACAAGTTCGACCGGTCCCTTATGGTCATCAACCTCACCCTCCTTTAGTCGCGGCGACGCAGCTAAAACCATAGCGCACGACTTGATACCCCGCATCTTGACCGGTTTCAAGTTAGCGACAACGACAACCTTGCGGTTTTGCATCTCCTCCAGAGGTACCAATCCATTCAAACCAGAGCAAACTGTTCGGCAGACCTGACCCTCATACTCACTAGTGTCATCGGTACCAGGCTTATCACCCATAGCAATCGTAGACACATACAAGCTATCAGCTTCAGGGTGCTTGATAGCCTTTAGAATGTGACCAACTCTCAGGTCGATGAGATGAGGCGACGGCGGTGTAGTAACAACAGGAGCCTTCTGGGGTTTTGGCGCCTTCTCTTTCTTCTCCTTCTTAGGCTTCTCGGTGGTAGCACCAACGGCGGCAGCAGCCTTGTCCTTGGCATCAACAGCGGCGCCCTTGACTGCCTCAGTGACGGCCTTTGTTCGGTCGAAAAGTGTAGCAGTAACCCCTTCACCACCCGCAGCGGCGGCGGCGGCTGCCTTTTCTTTCTTTAGGCGTTCCTTCTCAGCCTTAGCGTCGGTGGGGGGTTTAACGTAAAGGACTTCGTCAAGGTCGACCTTGATTTTGTTCGAATCGTTGACGTTTAAACCAAAGACACCGGAGTTTTGGACGAAATCAAGGTGTCGGAGGATGTGAGGGTGGCCTTGTTCGCCTGTTCGCTGCTCGGGGGTCCACGACTTGACCGCGGGGGCTAGAGATTCGTAGATCGCGACATCGGCCTTAGAAGGTTTAGTGCCGAGGAGGGTGGTTCGGGAGGTTAGGTGGGAGTTGAGTTTATCAAGGATTGAGGTATCAGAAGGTGAACTCTTGAGTCGCTCGGAAGTGGTGATCCATTGCTGGACCTCAGTTTCCTCGGTGGGGGAGAGCTTCTGTGAGTCTAACGCGGCCATGGTGAATGTTCGGAAAGAAATGCCTCGTGAAAGAGGGCGAAATACACGATATAGTGACAGTTTGGTAGACTTATTCTAACTGCGACTCGAGAAGTGTCGCAGAGTAGAATTGGTAGTGTAGAATTTAGGCGTTAAGGTCGAGTGGAGGAGGAGTTCACTTATTTTTTCGAAGCTTGAAATTCCAATTGCCCCTCCATCGAATTGACTCACTATGATTATGTAAGAATATCAGATAATAAGACTTGCTTATGTAATGGAGCTATTACATAAGCTTTTGGGTTAGGTAATCCAATGTGAGGATCAAATCACGGAGTTACATCGGGCCGTGTTCCAGCTGACGGGTCGTTTCTGCGGGTGCACGGGTGCGACCGTGGAAGCTCTCCAAGCTTGTAATGTAAAGAAAGGGCAGCCTAAGCCTCAGTAAACGTCAATCGCGACTTATCCTATTCAGCTCATCCGAGCTGTTCTAATGCTCCATCGAAATCACCAAAACATAATACAACCATCAACCGATATATCTCATTAACATTTCTTCAAGATGGGCGCTTTATCATATGGCGCTGGAGGTCTTACCTCCTTCGTAACAGTCGTCGGACTTTGTATGTTGCAGTGATTGGATAAGACGTGTTGAGACACGATGGCTAATTGATCGAATATAGACATGCTATTTACCGGTAGTGGTGAATCCTTTAATGTCCGTCCCGAAATACCTCGCGGATAATCCGATCGATTTCTGATAATTATATAGGTTGGAGCTTTCCTCGAAACGGTATCACCATACGTATGGGCGGATCTCGGTATCGCACTCTGCATTGGTTTATCAGTTGTCGGTGCGGCATGGTACGACAACCCCTATCGCGCGTATACGAATCCAAAACCACAATTAACAAATGTATAGGGGTATCTTCATCACGGGCTCGTCTATCCTCGGTGCCGGTGTTAAGGCGCCGCGAATCCGAACCAAGAATTTGATCTCTATTATCTTCTGTGAAGTTGTCGCCATCTACGGCGTTATCATGGCTATCGTGTTCTCCGCCAAGGTTAACTATGCTTCCGGCATCGACATGTACGACTCGAACGCGTATTATACAGGATTTGCTCTATTCTGGGCTGGGTTAACAGTCGGAGGATGTAACTTGGTCTGTGGTGTTGCTGTTGGTATCAACGGTAGTGGAGCTGCTCTAGCAGATGCTGCTGACCCGTCACTGTATGTCCCAACTTAGCTCTCTATTACTGCACTTAAGCTAACACTCTTCAGTTTTGTCAAAATCCTCGTCATCGAAATCTTCAGCTCTGTCCTCGGTCTCTTCGGCTTGATTGTCGGTCTCCTTGTTTCGAGCAAGGCTAACGAATTCGGCGAGATCTAAACTTCGACTATATGTAAACAGAATACAATGTAAGAACAGATGCATTCACAATCCATCATGGATTGTTGGCGTTCGGAAAGACGGTTTCAAATTGGGGAAAGTCACGGTTTGTCCATTCATGGGTAGATTACTGTATGTATGTACTAATAGGACAAACCCGGGCATGGTCACAGTTCTTTAGGGGCTGCTGGAATAGACACCTCCCAAGCAAACCTCGGCAGACCAGGAAGCAAGCCAAGCCAATGTCTGCTATCCATCAACGCAGAACGTACCAGAAAGCTAATCTAGCTACTTTGCGAATAATACTACTTATCAAGATTGTTCCGTTTGTTCTTGGCCTAAATGAGTTTTGTAATCGGAGAATAGGAGGTTCCTCCGGGTTTACTATCGAACCACTATTGAGGGATTAAGTAATCCCTCCGAGAATTGGTAGATCCATGATCTCAACATGATGTCTTCACGTACCTAGGTAATTATCTAATTACAAATACACCTTATCTATGGTGAAATTTTCGGGCGGCCAATTCTCAATCAATTATTCCTAAGGCTAATAATGAAACCTACCCATCTAGATAATCTCTAGGTATGTGAGGCTATTCTTTACTTGAATTGCTAGGTAGAAAATACCCCTGCTTAATAATTGGAGCTCAGATGGGTGCCAAGATGACCCCTATTGTAACACAGCCCCGTCTATGGTCTATGGAGGGTAACAATCCCCTACCACACACCGGGCTCGATTTTTTCCGCTGCTGAAAGAATCAGCCCCAGGAGTTCGAGATAAACGAACAGTAGCAATAAGATATGAATCAATTGTATATTGCTACGTTAGCTGCCGTCACTATCTCTAACACGCATATGTAGTCACGCGGAAAGGGTAAGCGATGGCAAAGTCTAAGGTCGTTTATGACCACCTAAGTATCTAAGCAGATATATCCCGAAAGCTTTCCATGGAGATCGACTGTAACATTGAATATATCTGGTCATATGTCCATTGCTTAAGGTAGAGTGCTAGTCGCAATGACTGAAGTGTATTGAACGTCAACCCGACCCCCACACTGTCCATTGTGGCGGAAATACAGTAGTATGACACGGCGCAGAGCCCCCAGAAGCAGATAGCAAAGAGATATCATTCTGTCTAATTCGATGTAGCTATATCGTATTCTATGACTCGAGAAACACGTCATGTATAATTAGGTATTGACTGCTAAATGAAATGCCATTCTTCTCAAGCACCTGGGGCCTCTTGTGTAGACTCGAGTGCCTCAACGATACATCTCCGTTCAGCTTCTATAAGCTCTTGTGGGCGACTTCGCTGCGTGAGAGCCTTATCTTTGAAGACAAATATGCTGAAATTATGTTTGAATATTTCGTCCATGTCTTCGAGTGTTCGACGTGAGGTTTCCGGATAGAAGAGGAAGACAATTGGTAGAAACGACCAGCAGAATCCAGCGAAGACTATTAACATATAGGTTAGTATAAAATAACATCCATAGGTACGATGAATAGGCGTGGACTCTTACGAAGGTAGAATCCCCATCCAAGGTTATCCACACCGACTTTCGTAAACTGTACGATGACGAACCCGCACATCCAGTTCGTCGCGGTGGCAGCGGCGGCTCCTCTTGTACGCCACCCGAGACTGTTGATCTCCGAGTTGTAGACCCAAGGGACTTTGGCGAAACTAGTTCCATAACAGAAGTAGTAGAGAAAGAACATGGCGACAGTAACTTTCCCTAGAGCTACCTTCTGTTCCGGGTGGAGTATCGCCTCTCTCAACGTAACTGCGGCAATTAGGTAACAGGACCCAGTTGCTATAGAGCCGTACATCATCAGCCTAGAAAGGCGTAAGCAAGTCTACCCATCGAATCAGTATAATAGCAGTGTCGTAGCCTTACTTTCGCCTTCCGACTAGGTCAATTAGGAATAAGCATGAAAGAGCCGCTCCCAAGTATAGGCTTGCATTAGCAGCGGCCAGTAACCTTGCATAGGAACTCGAGACTCCGACTGATTCGATCAAGAGGGTGGGAAGGTAATAACCTAGAGCGTTGACGCCACTGAACTGTTGCATCAACTGCGTCCCACAACTTTCAGGATGTCAGCATCTAGTTGCAGCACACCCGCAGTCTCCAAAGCGACTTGCCTTAGCAGCAAACGGCGAATATTCCGCGATGGGTCTCGGCAGAGGAGAGCGTCTCTCATAGGTACGCGAACCGCTTGTTCTTTCTCGAGTGCTTTCTGAATGGAAACAAGATCGTCGTTCAAGTCCTTATCGTCAAGGTTATGCGTTGTCCCTCGTACTCGGCCGAGTGCTGCTCGGGCTGCCTCGAATCTTTCGCGAAGTAGTAGCCAGCGGGGTGACTCGACTGTAAGCGGCAGAAACGCTAAAACGATAATTGGGAAAACAAGCTGAAACGCTAAGGGAAATCGCCACTGGAATGGGCCGTTATTGTCAAAGAGGGCGTAGCTCATCCAGTTCGCTATGCAGAATCCCACTGTGTTGCATAGGGAGCCTATAATGACAAGTTTGCCTCTAATGCGAGAAGGTGATGTCTCGGCCATGAACACGGGGCAAGTCGAGGACGTAATACCCACTAGAGTAAGGGGTTAGTACATGGAGAGCAAGGTAGGCAGGCAACTAGGGTCGTATCCGATATCGTAGAAGTTTCAGGGGTATTCTCTCGAGGCCATGTGTAAATGTCGAGTAGGCCAACCGAAACCGGGAATATTAGGAGCTTGTAAGGGGGTCGACCTACTGCCGAATCCATTGAAAAGGCGGCCCACGATCATCTGAGGTAAATGGTAAGCTGCAATCTGCAAGACCGCTCCAATAATGTTGACAACGAGCCCAACGAAGACAGACTTCTTACGCCCTAACCTATCGCCAAGTAAGAACGCTGCAAGGCAGCCGAAGAAAGCACCGAGCTCCATGCAACGGTCAGCATCCGCGATTAGCAATGTTAAACGTCATGACCCACCGAGAAACAACTGGATGTAATGCCCGAGATACGTGGATCCTTCGTTTCTGGAAACGTCTCGAGGAAATCAGCCGATATTAAGGCTCCGGCAAAGACTCCCTGTTATTGGGTGGTAAGCCAATGGACCAGTAGAGCGGGTGGCAGGATGATAACTTGGTCGTAGCCGAAGTGTGCCATGGATACTGCAAGAAGTTACTCGCTATATCTAACTAAACGTGGCGATGAGGGGGGATCGTATGTACCAGAATTCGTCACTATTAAGCAGAAAAGCTGCCACTTGCCGCCTGGCAATGGTAAATAAACCATGTCTATTGGGTTTTTAGGTAAGAGGGGTCGATATAAAGCCAAATTCAGAGGCAAGTATCTGATAGGAGAAGGGAACGAGGCACTGTTGGCGTCTAAAGCAACTGAAATAAAGTAATCGGCGATCTTGGACACGACAATATACCTCAAAATGCAGGTTTTCCACGGAGTTTTTACCTGGTTACTATCGTGTCAACTTCGCGCCTCTTTGGAAGGTCTGTAGACGATCACCTTAAGTAGGTCCTTGTAATACCTCATTCCGCCAGTCTTCCACCAACGTTACGTCTTTGGTTCTCATGCTCGATCGACGTGATGAAGCCATTGGCGCATGACTAAATCTCTTGTAAGAATCTGCCATATCCATACTTAGGCCCTAGTTAGCAACCTAGCTAATGAACCTGGCACCGAGCGGCTTTTCCGACGTAAAGTGAGTGAGCCCCCACTGGGGTTGAGCCAGTAATCTTTTCACCGTCGTCAATTAAACTAGGTGGTTGTAACGTGTCAATAATATCATCACCCTGTCGGATAAGCTCAGGGGGTTCCCCTATATTTGCGACCATGTGTTCTGGAACCGGTGAAGGTCCGCAACAAGAAATCCAAAATTGTGGCCACGCCTCGCGGATTGGAAACGAATACGTCATCCGTAGAAATAATAGAAATGTAATTCAAGTTTGGACTCGCTGGATGTTACCAGAATAGCCTGTAACCAGTATTCTTAGCAATGGCAGTGTTGTATCTAGACCGGACCAACCTTCCGCTTGGAGTGCTAGGTCAAGTAGAGTCAAAAGCAACTTGGAATGAACGAGAAGACATCAACTAGGTAGGTAGGGGACGTCTGATTAATAGATATACTCGAAATAGACTTATAGAATCAGAGCTTAGCTTCTTGAAGCTAAGGGTGATGCTAGGGATGACGGCATATATATAGCTGGGTACGGTAAATGCTGTAGCTGAAGTGTATACTAATCTTAAAAGGCCAAGAGCCAAGATCCAGATCGCGATGAAGCCATTTCAAGCCGAATGACTAATTCCATGGATTCACACGAAGAAAAAATAGAAACATCGGAAGTGGTGATAGGTGGTGAGTGGTTAGCTCGGCTGAAGCAGTTTAGTAAATATTATCGCCGACGGCATTACGGCTTCGAGCCAGATTGATTCTGATGACTTATCTCATCGTCGGTCTTCCGGCATTGTCGGCTTTCTAGATAGCGAGAATTAATATCTCCCCGGTATTCTAAAGGCTAGAAGTTCGATGGAACCGATATAACGTCCCGGTTCACGGCGACAGCGATCCCGAGTGACGCCGGCCGTAACGATAATTGGTTGTAGTCGAAAGGAATAGTCATAAGTTTCGTAACCAGGGAAGTTGATTCGTTCAGCTATCGGGGTTTGTGACAGGGTACAGAGGTTTTCTGAGATATTGGAGATGTTAAGAGATTTTTGGTGGCTGGTTAATTGAATTATACCGTATCTGCACGGTGCAATTTAGATATTACCTAAGCCAATGGGAGTAACATTAGCCGCAGCATGTCACAATGCGCCTAGATGCAAACTAACCCCCACTGAGTCCACTAGAGCCCACTAAATCTCATACTATGAGATCAATTATGTTGGTGGTAATAATTGTAAATTAAAGCTGACACAGCATTTTGAATAAATGTTAACTCTTTAGTCCGAACTTTCGAGACATTTTGACTTTCGCCCACGTTGGAAATACATGTGTACTCAGCCCTGAAGCCCCATTAAATTTTCCCTTTTCGATCATCACTGACGTATGTTCGTATCCTACCTAGGTAGTGAATACCCGGTAGGGCTGCGAGAGATGGTGGTAACTAGCTATGCAGGTAATCATTTGCGATCTGCTGTTCATCCCATCCTCATCCTGCAAGTAGGACACATGATACTGATTACGAAAAAAATTCAATCTTTAAAGAACTCCTTTACTTCCGTTTCGATAATATTTGTCATTTTCATGTTATAACGACCTACAATACAAAAGTACGACAAAAGTGCCTGGTACCCACATACAGGTCTAGGAAAGGATCAAAATGTCATCGTGTGCCCCGAATCCACGGTAATCTAAATGTATGTCAGAAACGTCAGAATGCTAAGTTAGGTATGTATTGAACCAATATGTAAGAATATGCCGAACCAAAACTGCAATTATCAAGGCAAGGTTCGCCGGCTACAATGCCTAAAAAGGTACAACCATCTGACGGCGAACTTCTCAAGCAACAAAAGTTACTTATTCTATGTAGCTAAGACCAAGGATTATCATTGATTATCTGACCTTTATGTTGATACCCTAGTAGATACCTACATCAATACCTAGGTAGGTATCATAATAGCTACCTTAATTGCATTGATAATAGATCACTTGACATATGTACGTATTTTTTCCCCTTATTGTTAATTCGGAGTAATGAATACTTCGTACTCCGGTGATGTGCTAGGGTAGGCATTTTCTAGGTGCTTTTTAATGCGCTGCCATCGTGTTTAGTATCCCCCGTGCCCCGTTGTTAGCCGCCCCACCAAGAGCTGAAAAAGAAAAAAAAGCAGCTAACCTCACCTAGGCAGAGCTAAAAGATCAACTAGACTCTAAACTTTTAGTGCTATTTACCCCCATATACAGCATATACTCCCCCTAATTACATTACAACCATGTATCTCAATACTAATAATATCTTCTCAACACCATAGACATCACCAACTCGCCTCTCATCCTACATCCTTCTCTCAGAGTCGACGGCAATCGGCCACAACATCGCCGAATTTGTAATACGGGCTAGACTTGCTTTATTTTTATGACGTACACTTCGAGTCAGCCTATTCGATTCCATCTAAGTATGAGTCTTAGGTAAATATATTTTCCTTTTCTAGATACCGATCGTGTTGGATCATTTTGGCCTATCCAATTAAACTATAAACTCTTTCTCCTCTTACGAATCAACAATGATTGGCCATGGTTAGGAGTCAAAGGTAAGGTGTAGGCGCAGTGGATAGTGTTCCATTTGCCCCATAAAGGGGGGGGTTAACTCATTTTTTCTCTTAAGACTTTCCATGTGGTTGGGCAAGTGTCTTGCTACATGAAGACTATACTAAGGCTGCAACGCCTCCTGGATATGCCCGAGTTACTCTGGTATACGCTCCCTGCTTCACATATATAGGAAGTCTCTTGTTGGTCACGATAAGCGATCCGATTATCTGCGCGCAGTCGGTACCAGAACCAGTCTTGCGTGGCGGTCAGAGGAGTTCGTTAGTACCAAGTGGCTACGAAGAAGTTGGCGAGTGATATTGTGACATTAACTACCCAACATCTAGTTGTCAAAACCCCCGGCAAGGTCCAAGGATCTAAGACTAAGTTCCCAGTCATTGGGTCAACTCAAACGTGGTCAGTCTCTCCGGGCCCAGGGTATTTCAACGGAAGCAGCCGCACTTACGCGCTCGATTATCACGTCTTATTACCCTAGGTAGTTAATGCTTATCTACGCCTTGGACAATATCAGTTAAACCAGGGGGGTCGTCCGTCTTAGCCAGCTGCTCGGTTTTTGCCACATGAACTACACAAGGAAACGTAGGCCTACCTATTCTCTCACTTCCCTTTCCCCGGGTACTTGGTTATTGGGCTATGAACTCACCGAAATTCAGGCGCACTTCTTGCCTGCGACTTCTGCAGGTACTTCTCACCCCTATAGACCGGTCCAAATTCATTTCAACCTAACATAATATAGGCATCGTAAACGAAGATGCGACGGGAAGAAGCCATGCTCAACTTGCAGGGATTCAAATGCCGATTGTGTATACAAGGAGTTACCATTTGAAAGGTGTTCTAATGCGTCCTTTCTTATAGACTAAGACAACACACGTGCTAACCCAGAGAGGTAGAGTTGAAGACTCCAGTCCGACAGCGGTCATCGATCGACTTACCCGCATAGAATCTCTTCTCGAACACCAGAGCCAGCAAATCAACCAGCTCAGCACACGGTCTAGCCCCATTTCATACTCCGCGAGCCAGGCCGACTATTTCCCAACGTATCAACAGTCTTCGGAGTATTTACCTTCAACATCCGCTGGAATAGATCCTCAACTCGATTCGCCGCAGTTTCTAATCCCGAAAAACCATGCTACCCTACCAAGCACACTCCTTTCTTTACCTGGGGTACGTGATATCCTTGGGGAGTACCCGAGGGACTATTTCTTTGAAATCGAAGAGAAACTACCCTTACCAGGTCTTTTAGGAAGGTTATATGACAGCCCCTTAGTTTGGCCTTCTCTTGATCTTAAATGCCTAGATACGTTAGCCGAAAACTACTTCCGGAATGTCCACCCTCACCACCCACTCTTCACGCCAAACATGTTTAAAGCATGGCAGGCCCGACTTATTGAAGAAAAAGATATGGAAGAGATTGGAACTTCAATATGTTTTTGCGTCTATGCTTTAGGTACCATTTGCTCCGACGAAGATGGGACCTACGAGAACGACGAAGCACTCGGTCTTCACTTCTTCCAACCAGCGCTACGAATTATGCTCCATAAGCTAGTATGGGAATTTCGACCGAGTATTTGCCTATGCCAGGCGTTATTACTTGCCGCATCATATTTTGCTCATATGGGAAGACCGCTTCATAGTTGGAAAATGGCGCAATTCTCAGCCCGGATCTTCCTGAATTTAGTCGAGAAGTAATGAATTCCCTTAATAGTACCTACGACCCATGCTAACCCGTGGAAGCCGAAAACATAACTTATCTAGTGCCGAGTTTGAAGAGGCCGAATTAAGAACATTTTGGCAGTGCTTTACGGTGGAATGGTATGACAGGCTAAGGACTCGGGCTTTTGTTGCATGGACTAATACGACTGTTTAGCGATCGAATTGCCGAACTCGACGTCCATCGAAGCGGAATCGAGCCTCTCGGAGATCGAATGCGGCTTCCGCATAGCACGGATCCTTCCGATAATGAGAATACTATTTGCTTCATCGCCGAGCATGCCATCCGTCGACTCCTTAATCGTATACACAATTCTTTATATGGTCCAGAAATTAGTCAGAAAAGTCCGAACATAGCTTTTCCAACAGGCCCAAATCAGGCTTGGCAAAGCTTACACATTCAGAAACTTTTATCACTCAGTTCTGAGCTCAATAGACAGTTAGAAGAATGGTACTTTTCCATACCAGATTACCTGCGACCCTCGAAGGGAACTTTACCGCTACCGAATGATCGCTCCCGCGTTCTTAGGCTTCGGTATTACGCAGCGAGACATATTATCCACCGACCGTTTCTTCTCCAAATGGTATCTCGACAGCATGAGGACCAATCGCCAATGAGCTCCTCGGTTATGAGCCCTGACCCTTACACCGAGTCACCCGTCGTCTTAGAGAAGTGCGAGGCCTGCATTGATTCTTGTGTTACCTATCTCTACAATGCGATAGAGATGATAGGGAAACGCTCGCCGTACCTATGGACATTTTCGCAAAGCTGTATGGCATGCCTTATCATGCTATGGGTGGCTGAGAATACCCCTGCGTTACATCACATCGTTCCTCATATGCAACCACTCCAGGCCATGGTACTTACCAAGTTACGCAAATGGGCGATCAAGGATTCCACTTTCGCGGCCGAGGTACAGATTATCGAACAATTGAATTTCACCGACCCGATGGAAACTTGAAAATGATACCTTTCGGAGTTAGGTCGAGCTTTGAAACGCCGAAACAATACCCGAACCCATGCATTATCGTGAGATCTAAGGCTGCCCCCTGAGAATCACCAGCTTAATCAGCATGTTAAATCCCGAAACCCATAGAATACGCCATGGGAAATATTACACCCGGTACCTTACCGCCTGAGCAGGGCTCGGCGATCGAGCTTGGAGGTAGATGTTGAGTGGTAGCTAGTTACGACAGTAGATAGACCAATAAGTTTTGTTTTCCTCCTCTCATTGGATCTCCCAGAGAACTAAGCTGAAATGCAGTTGCAATTGCGGATACGGTGATATCGACACGAAATTTCCTTTAGGTACCTACGTAGTATTAGGTACATCTTGTCTTGCCCTTCTCAGCTACTGTACATGTACCTATGCATAGAAGTCAGCGAGAATATTCCCTACCTTAGCCTTAACTTTACCTCAGAGTATTAAGGTGCATCCATTTGATGCATAAGTAATTGTCAGCAATGTCTAAGAAAAATCTTCACGCAGGTATGTACCTAATGAAAGGGTGACATCATCACCTCCCCCGCTCGTCCGATACCATAGCCCTGGGACCGAGCTAAAAAGCGCGCTTACATAACTAAATTTATGTACCTAAAATTAAAATTCGACGGGCGGGATTGAATTCGTTTGGGTTGTTGATGGCTCCAGGGCTCCGACCCTCTCCCGACCCCGAAACAACATTTTCTACTCGCTATTAACGGGACCCATTCGGGATCGGCTCCAACCTGGTCGCGACTCGATGCGACCTCGCAACATAGGTAGCATTCCGGTATGAAAACATTCACTTATATTTCAAAATATTATCAAAAACGGTAGACTACCCCTACACGCCTAGAACTTTAGCAATCCGATATCGCCATAACCCACCATGACAACTCACGATGAGCAGAAGAATGGATAATGTGTGACCTCGACCTCGTTTTTGACTCAACCAGCACGAGCTACCGAATCATCCGCGGTTATACAACGGCGTACGATGAACTCTCGCTCGTCACTTGCTCGGCCATTCCGGCCGAAAGCAATAGAACGCATCGAATCATGAAAACAAGGAAGGCTTGACTAAATTATTACCCGTCTCTCAACATTCTCTATTCTATACAGAATGCAACTTCAAGATGCAGTCAACTGTTCTCGTGCCTCCCTTCGCACCCTTTCGTATACACACCGCCTAATAGTCATTATCTGGGTATCGTATCAAAACAGGTCTGCGCGTTCGATCTAAGCCTGCTTTACCCGCCTAGGCTCTCAGGCAAGCAGGCAGCAGCGGTAGCGACGGACATGCTGACGAGTTTCGCCATCTTCATATCATTTCCCCCACGCGAAGTAATTTGCAGATTGACGTCCCCCTTGATCCTATACGTGCGTGCGATCTGACCATACCCATCCTCAGCCCTAGGCCAAAAAGCTCTTTCGCCACGAGTCTTAAGCTGACCGCATCTGGCCTAGTACTAACTTCTGACGATATAATGTTAGGTAAATTAGAAATGTTGGGATAATGCGTACGTAATCACCTTAATATCGAAACCGACCCGGTCTACGAGGGATGCAACGCCGTGATATTGCCACCGGCCGTTCGATGTCGTCTTCCGATCTTTCCGTATCGAGTAAAATTTACCGCCATGCATTATTTTCTTCGAAAGAAAGGCGTATCCCCTCAACATTTAGACGTTTCGAGGCTTAGCTGTTCCAGACAGATACGTGGATTGGCACATTACGCCTAGATATTAAATCGCATCAGCAATCGGGAATAAATATGCAAGTATAGCGTATCATTATTCCAAATCGTCCTTTCTGTCTGCCTGCTTGCGTCGATCTCACGAGCTGACCATGAAGCTACGGAGATTGTCTCTAAGATTACTGATCGAAATGACAAACCGATAGCCATGACTATTGTACAAGTAACGTTGTAACTGACGACATGTGTCGGGATTTGAATCATATTCCCATTTCCAAAGTGTTGACCAGGTTCTCGGTTATGAGAAACTTGGCGACGGCTGCCTGTCGAATTCTGTCCCAAGGCTCCTTTCACCCGTGACCGATTTCCCTATGCGGTCGTCAAAACAGCGATAGCCACAATGAGCGCGGCTGTCGATAGCCTATTGCGTATAGCTGCGGAATCATCAGCATCTCCCGGAGCAACCCCAGCACCTGAGCCCGGTAAGATCGCGTTGACGCATTTGGCGACGTTTTGGTGGGTATTGGATTCGGATCGAGGTTCTAGGGTTTCTTCGGGCTGTGTGACTTCGAAGTTGTCGATACGGAGGGATTCTGCGAGACCACATTAACATCTGAAGTGCCTAGAACTTGGCGGGGATGGCGCTGATTACCGCGGAAAGACGAGCAATTACCGCTCCGCTCGAGCTCCCCCTTAACCGCGATGAGCTCTTCTACGGAGTAAGGGAAGAAAGCCTCAGATTCGTCGGCTTCGATTTCCTCCACGCTGTGAAGACATAGCTTATCTGCTATGGGCGACCCGTTTTCAATTGGGTTGCGACTTTCCTCTGACACATCGCGGATATCCAAGGAAAATGTATTGGATATTGTTGAATATGGCTCTTCGAGGATAGATGTAGGTCCTCGGTTATCAACGTTCGATGCCACTACTACTACGGCAGCAAGAGTAACAACGATAGCAAACTTCATGATAACTAAGGAGATAATAATAATATTCGATTAGAAGTTTAGGAGTGAGTAAGTCAACAAAAATCATGAATCGTCCAAAAACGCCATCTAAGCTTCCCCTATAGCTTGGTGGGATAATATACGCAGATAGGTTATATAGACGACAACCGAGCAACCACACGTCCTTAGTCCAAAGTTTCGATCAGGACGCACAAGTAATTATTTTGAAATCGTCTTCCTGCTCTGTTGACTTATATAAGCCTCAGACTGCCGATGAGCGAGCAATTCATAAAGGCTACCGTTGCGCTATGTCGTACCACAGATGCGATAGTGTCATTTTAGTAACTTAGTCAGCCGTTGGCAATAGTATAGAGTTCGCTCCCAGGGAAACGGGTCTTTGCTGATACCTAACTATATGACGGATAGGAGCTATTAAAGCTTCGCGGAAAATCCATGGGGAGGTGATGAGACTCTTCCACCATAAATACCTACCTAGGTGGGTATATCGTAAAGCATCTACAAGTCACAATTGTATAGATAGAGGTACGTGAAGCACTACATATAGTATTTCATTTTATAAGATTTTCTCCATGCGTGACTGGCTCGCCGCCGCCTGCATCGTTACGTGGGTCACTACCGCTAAATGTTGGGGGCTTTTGCCCAACTTCAGAAAAAAATTGGTGGGGTTGATGCGGTTCTCAAAGCCTACATGAGATGAAATACTTAAGCGTAGTATCCCAGGCCTCTTAGATAGGATTGGAGCTGTTTAGAGGCGGGGCGATTGGACTACATTGGGATGTTTTCATAAATTTCACACATACTCTAAGATATCCCCCGTGTGTGTATTGCCGCTTCACTACACCTAGGAGATACGTAAGAGGGAAACTAATAGATGTTACCCACTAGACAATTGAATGATACATCCGGTGTAGGACATGTACTACGCTAATTATATGTTCATGATATCGAGCGCGATGGGCGCTTTAGATACCCTAACCCACGAGCTTTAACTCAATGTAAATGCGTAACCAGGACAGGAATCGAGCAAATCGTCCAATGGATCTTATCGACTGAGCGCATATGTAAGGCGTATGTCAGACGTCGATGTCGCGCAGGTTCGAACGGCGCCGCTTAGATCTCGAAGGGGCTCAACACAAGTGGAACCGATACACCATTGGTGGGATCCATATAACCACACGATACAAATATGCTTTCAGTTAACGATCGCAAATCTGATTCCGCATTTACCAAGAAATTTCTCAGCAATTGATTCTCAGCCCGATGTTTCAAACATGATCAGATGAGAATAAATTGAATTTGACGGTTAAGAAAGTGACGTTCTTGAATTACATAAGTGCATATGTATTTGGTTACCAACAAACAAATTTGATGCAGAATCGAAATTTTGGAAGGAGGGAACTGAATGGTTAAATAGATGGCATGCGTAGCTCCGAGATGAAACTTTGTTACAGGGATCCTGGGTTGTGCATCTGACCAATCAGAGTCAACATTTACTTCAAATTTGGAACTTGTCCCTGGCGATCTCCTTCTGTAATCGTTAATTTATCTCCTTCAGGTATAGTAGGTCGGCATGTGTAGGTACGTAGCTCCCCTATAGCAAGCTTTAGCGCTCCTCCTTAACACTTTCCCCCTGCCTCAAGTTTTCCACCTCTCATTTGTTTTCCTTCTCAACTTTTTTTTTTTTAAGTCCATCTTGTTCCCTCAGAGAAACACCGAAGTCCAACCATCTTACTGACTTTGCTCATATACCAAGCCCGGCGAAGCTTGGCGACCATCGTATTGATACCTGTTGGCTCTTGTGTATTTGTCTATTGTTAGACAGCCCAATATGCCGACCTCTTAGTGGAGTGAGCGGTAAATGTAGCGATTGATCGCGCTTATTCAGGAATATCTCATTCTTTTAGTCACAATGACCAAGACATCGGTAGGTTCGAGGTCAAAAGGACGGCCTAGACAGCTAGTAGCTGCCAGATATTTAAATGTCTAGATATATCAAAAGCCAATCCTCAATCCTTTTATAAAATTGAATAGGAGGATGTGGGTTGGAAGATTGGATTACCGCATTCGATCTTGTCTGGCCATCCGAACATATCCCTGTCACGATCATTCATGCGCCCGCGCCTAATCACTGCCCTGCGCCTACCTGCAAGGTACTGGAAGAACCTGATCTGTTGGCGGGAGTCAAGGGGAAGCAAGATATGACATGGGTAAGCTGGGATGGGACGAAGTACCTATAGGTGTATTTTGTGTTGGAATCGGCAGCTTGTACTGCTTGTGATACAAGTTTAAATAACCAAGGGTGATCGCCCCTACGATTACCTCGATAATCCAGGAGCGCGACAGACCGAATCATACACTCTTTCCCCATATATCTCTATTATATCTGCTGGCAAGTCTGCTATTCCAACCCACCGCTTCCCTTTTGGGCCATTTGTCTCTCTTTTTCCGATTTTTACCATCTCGAGGGTGCTAACGTGGTTGTTTCTCTGATTCACTCGTTCACCTATTCATTCGTTACCAACAGCTCTGGCGAGCGTACATTCATTTATTCATCCACTCTTTCGATTTTATCCTCACCATAAGTCTCTCCCTAACATAACATCGATATTACCAGCAAACTCAGCCCTACCGTCAACATATTGCGCCATATTCAACCTAAAATTTGAGACGACGCCCCGAAATAAATCGATAAAATGTTATTCAACGCAGTATCTTCCCTCGCTATTATGGCCCTAGCTGGCCAGGCCATTGCCGAGCCTATGCGCCAGCCCTACAAGTTGCAACAGTTCGCTCGCATGTCAGATAGAAGTATCTTTGGTCTTAACCGTCGAGGAAATGATGGATATTCCCCTGAACAGGAGTTCTGTCAATCTGGTAAAACTTGCGCCGAAGCATGCGGTAAAGGATATGAACAATGTCCTTCTAAAGATGGTGTTTCACACTGCTATAACAAAACCGCAAAGCAAACTTGCTGTCCTGGCATGACTGGAGGTTAGATTTAATGTGAAGACAAACTTACAAAGCTGGACTAACGTATTTGTAGAATCTTGCGACGATGGCTATTTCTGTTCTTCAGACGATAAAGGTGCCACATGGTGCTGCCCCGACAGCATGACGCTTAAGCAGTGCGCTATCGCCTATAATCTTCCCGGCTCTCTTATCTCGGAATCGGCTCCCTCAACAACCAAGACTTCTGCCACTAAGGCTACTACTTCGGTTAAGAACGCCCAAAGTACAACCACTTCCCATGAATCCTCCACCACACAGCCCGCAAGTGCTCCTGCTCCTGCTCCTGCAACCGCCGCCCCAGCACCAGCAGCCACATCTACTTCGTCGTCGTCGTCGGCGCCCGCACCAACGGCCCCTGTCAATGGCCTTGTCGAAGCAGGCAGCGATAATGTTCGCGCCCCATTAGGTGGTATGGCTGCCTTGGTAGCAGCAGCATTTGTCGCCCTTCTCTAGATGTTTTCGCGATGAGCCGATGACGGAGAGGAGAGACGATATATCGGCAACAGTAAGCGACATGATGGGATGAGCTACGACGACCGAAAATTAATTTCTTTTACGCCCACCTAATATTTACATTCGCCGACTAAATTATACTGGCTGTCATTTCACTACATTGTCGATACCCTTTGGCACCCTGCAAAATTGCCGTTCGGACCCTAGAATTTTTGTCGGCATAAGTTCACTTCGTTGAGCTGTTGGGGTTTAAGGAGTTGGTTGGGTTTTTTGTTACATTCTCTATTGTTGACCAATTTGCATAGAGTATGGGGCTCGGGTAGTCATTTCGAGGCTTGGTTGCCCTCGGACCGCGAACGCGGTAATAGGTACATACATACATACCCAGGTATATAAAAGGTTGTTCTTGGAGATGTGGCTAAGTTGGCTGGGCTAATGGGTGTGAGGTTGGACACTGGACATACCCTATTTTACGTACCTAGGGCCTTTGCATGCCTAAGATAATATTCTATTCTTGAGGGGAGACCCTGCAAAATGATAATAGTATCTCAAATTTACGCATCTAGCAATTAATGGCAGTGGAAGTGTAGCCTACTTAGGTACCTAGGTAGGCGGAAAAGTACCTAGAATAGAGGGGTAATGACTGCCATATACTTCGGCGACGCCCTAAAGTTCGCTATAAGAGAGACCCTTAGCGATCTACATAACTAAACTTCAGTGGACCAACTTAGTCATCGCACCTAAAATGCCAGATATTTAAGTATGCTCCGTCTACGAAGCGAACGGCGCAGAGGAAGAGAAGGACAATAAAATAAAAATTCAAGAATTATAGGAAAGAAAAACAAAACAAAACAAGCGATATTAGAAGATCTGCTTTTCTTATGATGATATGGCATTCCATATCATGGCTTCATTTCATATTACACCCTCGTATACTCAATCTCCAATTCCCCTCAGACTTTTTAAAATGATCTTTCCTTTCTCCTAAATTCGCACCTGGTGCACTTTAGGTTACGAGACAAGTCTGTTTGCCAACCGACTGAGCTACTCGGGGGGGTTGGAAATTACTACTTTATTATGCATTTTTACATTCGCTTTAGTGGCTGTTGAGTGTTCTTGCCAACTTCTGCCCGTCCCACCTGCCTTCTGTCGGCGTTGGCAAGCGACTTTCTAATAGGGAAGGAACGGCATGTGGTGATAATTAAGCTTAATTTTACCTCCTAGGGCGGGCCCTCCGGGTACATCAGCCACCTAGGTAGGCTCTCCTAATTCCCCTAACACTGCATTGTTTCACCACGTGTGCACCTAACAAATGCACCGCAACGGGGGTAAATAAGCAGTACATATAGTCAATCAACGAATCCTTGAGAAAATGACCGTGCGCGTTTAACAAAAATTTCACTAAGTAGACTAGCCAAGTACCATAAAGCATAGCCCCCCTATTAAGGCAGAAAAAGTCTATGTACAAATGGCACTACCAAAATATAACGATGCCCCTTTTATCCCTCGATGCCCGTTCTATAATAATTGGCATAATGCTGTCGGATTCTTATGCGCATAAGTAGGCGTCTTATATTCCACCGTCGTAATCCATATCCTCTACATCCTCTCCATCTTGTATAGGGAGGATGCCATCTGTAGGTTCGCCTGCGACGGGCTTACCGCTCTCATACGTGATACGTTTCCAGCCGCACGGCTCTGAGCCACCCTTGACCCATTCCATAGTGGGGAAATAGTGTTCATTTTTCTTCATCGTAATGACCCACGGTTGGTTGTCGAACGTCATGGCTTTGATTCGGAAATCTGAGAGTATATTAGCTAAGCCGCGAGTTTAGGGAATAGGAAGGGTATGCTTACATGTATTATCCGGAATCTTAACCACGTTCTCTAGGAAGGTCTTGAGATCTGGCGTGGGTTTGCCGTTTACGTGAGTAATGAAGTTGGTCGGGGCAAGGCCATACTGATAGGACGGCGAGCCTCTACTTCTGGCAGAAACGTAGACTTCGCTAGGAAGCTTACTGATCTGTTGCCTAACAGCAAGATGAGGTACGTGAAGCACTGCTCCACAAAATGAAATAGCATGGTCAGTCTCGACATTGTCTGCTGGGGATGTGGGGACCTGAAGGTTCATTTCCCCGCTCTCTCGGACGATGATAGCTTCTAAGATTTCATGTGAGTACATGACATCTAGCTCCGATACACGCGTAATGATCTTGCCGTTTAGAGTCAAGATAATGTCGCCCTCACGTAAAACAGTAGGGCGGTTATCTCGCTCAAAGGTGCACTTGGAAACCATGAAAAGTTGATGCGTGTGCTTGTTGGCTTCAAACACCTTATTTATCCAATCCTCAGAAACTCCCATCACTCGTGCTTGTGACATTGCAATAGCTCTAAATTCCACGGGCAGCATTCGAAGTTTTGGATCTTGACCCTGCTGAATCTGCGAGACGACAGGTAGTAGGGTTGGGGTGGCAAGACCAAGATGATATTCCTCATCCCTTGAGCCAGAGGATCGCTCCCCAAGGTAGGTGAGCCATAGAGCTTGGACAGTACCCTCCTTATCAACGAGGACTCCACTTCCGCATTGTCCACTGAGATTGGTATCAACGGTTATTGCATCAACATTGGTAGCTCGATATCTAGGGGCACCGGAATTAGCAGGAATGGCGACTGTAGTCATTTCTGTAACTGTAGTGGCAGCGTGGACGATCCGCCCACTTCGGTTATATCCTATAAATGTTGTCGAGGCTCCTTGTGTGATATTATCCGTGCCAAGTCTAGCACTCAACACCGGCGCATCAACAAGGGCAGGGTCGTATTTTACAATTGCGTAGTTCTGTAAGGGATGCATAAAAACAACTTTGCCTTCGACAATAATTGAATCTGCAATCGTGATCCAGATATCGCACAGATCATAAGGGATGACGGCCCTGGAGATAATCACCAAGCCCTTCTCAGCGTCGATTACCAAACCCATGCCCCATTTTCGGTTTCGGGGGAATCCATCTAGCTTAAGTGGCATTGTGCAACTAACACGCACAAAACTGCGGACTAGATCGGCCACAGCAGGATGGGAAGTGTGCTCTAGCTGGATAAAAGCGCCCTTGCGACGAATAGGGGGTACTGGGGGTAGAGCGTCAGCAATATCATCAAAGTCCCATAATCCCGTCACATCATTTCGCACCGCCAACCGCATCTTAGCCGACCAGTGCCGATCAACGTTAATGATCGTGGTGTTCAAAGTATGAAGATCTCGAAGGTGTTTGTACGTAACGACGACACGCTTCTTGTCCGGAATCCCCTTGACAACGTCAATAAACGATTGTAGATTGGGTGTCTTCTTTTGGTCGACACTCTGGATCATCCAACCGTTATCGGCACTATCGAAACGAAATGAACCTGTCGATTCACAAACAAACACACCGCCGCCATTGGTAGCTACGCCATAGAGGCGTGCTTGCTGGTAGGATAGATTGTGCACACTGGCTCCCGAGACGGTCACAAAACGGTCCGGTGTAATTGCGTGGAGGTCTCCGACTTCGATGTCGATATCAATGTCCTCGCCACCTCGTTGGAGACTCAAATGGACAGTCTTACCAACATTTGAATCTAATATGTCGTCGAGTCGAATGAATTGGGTGAGCATCTCACCATTCACCTTCAAAAGTACGTCTCCTTCTTCGATTTTCTTATGAGACGGACCTTCAGGAAGGACAATTTCGGCAACAAGCATATTTGTCTCCTTAGGAAATGCTTCGCGAATTGCCTTTTCCCAATTTGGCGTTAGACCAAGTCGGCGACACTCGTCAAAAGGTTTCATAATGAATTGACACTGTATAGTGCCTCGTTCGACCGGTTTGCCTTCTTGTATGCAACGGAGAGCTCTCAAAGGTCGGTCGAGGGGCAGGAAATAATCCGTGGATGCGCCATCAGATCTACCACCGGCTTGTAAGGCTATGGCAAATCCATCAATATTGACGACAGGACTGCCGGAACTTCCTCCACTGGCTGCAGCATTTGCCTGGTAATAATTGGTGTTAAAATCGCTGTAACCTTCACCATACTCAGGGGCGTTCCTATCCAATCGACTGATCACACCAGAGAGAATACTCAATTTCTCACCAGCGTCGTTTCCGACCACTCTAATTTCAACACCAACTAAATGAAAAGAATTAGCAGGTTAGGATCTCCAAAAACATTGATTATTTCAATTGTTGTAACATACCTTTTGCGAGGTCCGGGCGAATGGGTAAGGCTGCTACTGGCATGTATTTAATAGCCTTAGGGTCGAAACGCAAAATACCGAAATCGTGGACGGGATCTCGATAGACAGGGTAGGCGTCAACTTCTTCGTGATTGTCAAACACGACATAACCCCAGAAAGGACCAGAGCCAACGACATGCCGATTGGTTAGGATATAACTATAAAATGGACGCATTTGTTAGAAGAAAATCTACAAAAATAACATAAGGCTATATTACCCCTTCTCAGCATCAACAACAAATCCAGTCGCTTCACTGGCACAAGCACTATCCGTGTCGAAAGAACATGTCTGGCAGAAGCGAATAGAAACCACATTTCGAACTACGTTCTCAATAGTGGCTTGCCATTCCGCCGTATCAGTGACTGCCGGAGGAGGGAACGATATAGTTAACTCTTCGTCAGCTGCCATGTCGTTCTCTATGAAGACAGGCAACTCGGTGTCTGGTGTATTCTCGCTTGGGGACATTCTGCCGTTAGCAGGTCGTAATTGTTTATGTGGGCGATCGTGTTCGTTGGGTGGAAAAGGAGCCTTGCGCTTAGAGCGCGAGGTTGGACTTGTTCCGTTCATAGTTGCGGCGGTCGACGGAAGGGGGCAAGGTGACTGGGTGGTGATCTGGCGAATGAGACGCGTATTGATACTAATTCGGATGATAGACGGGGATGCACTCCGTGGCAACGGATACGGCGATAACCCTGGCGACGAACGAACAAACCGAGTGAAGCCTGACTCAGCGATGCGCAAAGGCAATAGGTGCCTCATTCAGCGCCAATCCTCTCTCCCTTAGTTTGCCTTAAGACACACATCTATTTGACACATAGACAAGTGTTTTGTCTCGTCAAGACGGTGATGAGTTGGAATCACGGCGGATCGAACGAGATGGGACGGAAAAAGTCGAGAGGAGAGGGAGGAGAATCGTGTCGCGGACAGGACGGTGTTACTAAGTGATCGGATACGGTATGTATATGGTATATATCTGTTCCCTTCGGAATCCGGCAGAGATGTTTTATAATGTCGTTAGAATTGAGGAAATTGAAATTCGAATCAACCTTGGAAGTCAGTATTGAGGACGAGAATGAGAAAGATTGATCAAAATAAAAGAAATATGGTTTGCGAATCTCGACCGAGGGAAGTTTCTACCTATCTAGCTCTTCCCAATCGGTTAGTTGGAGGCTCCTAAGATATTGCGTATTGGATGGAGACGTTATGCACGTAGGTTTCTTCACAGCCCTCCGGGTAGCTTCTTACCTGCAAATTAACAGATTAGGTACCTAGGTAGTTTTGCTAGCGGCGAATTAGGTAGCGAATAGCAATCCAAGACAGCCCAGGGTCTAATAAGGATTCGTTATCTTAGCGTCGGGGTACACATTCATCCAGCTAATCAGAATAGAGAATCCTTAGTGGAGACCCAGTGCGTAGGTAACTTTTTCACGTGCTGTGCCTGGCCATGTAACTTTGAACTTAACCTCTATCAACTCTTACATGTGAAGGAATAGAGTCTCTTATTATGTAGATATATCATCTCTTCTCTATGGAAAATACCATACCTTTTTTTCTAGAATATTATTTTTTATAGGGGCCTGTTGTTGTTTAAACCAAGTATAGAGAACAAGGTGAAAGAGACTCGCCATCTAAATATTAAGCGCCGAGGGCATCTTCCCCTCTCTGCCTTGTCGGTTTAAGACATCTTAGCAAGCACCAGCAGATGACAAGTATAAAATATATATGACCTGTCGTTAACTACCTTCCCCTCAATAAGTTACCCCTCCAACCCCCCAGATTGTTGCCACATCTTTATCACATCTCATCACATCTCATTACCATTGTCTGCCTAGCTGTAGGGCTGAGAGGTTGGGAAATTTTGTGAATAATGTCCGAAGCCTTTTGCTTTTTACGCGGAGTACCGGCACCTACCCATATTCCAATGGACATCCAGATTTGGGAACACATGGATGACTGTCCATCTACGAAATGATTACAACAAAATATGATATATCATCAACGGTACATGTGATTCAACTACTTAACAGGCGGTGTGTAGCTATGCTTGAACAGAACGGCTGTATGCTTCGTTATCGAGTTTGCCCTCTGAGTAGAAGGGTAGGTAAACCTGTAGAGAAGAGAAAGTTTGGGATAAACATGGACAGCATTTAGGGTATGCCAGCAAGTAGATCAGCTAACAGGACTTGACAATCGTCTATAAAGTCCATGTCCCTCCCGCTTGCACTCATCCTCACCGGTGAAGACTTCCCTTCTCAACCCTACGTGCTCCTCCCAATTCACATCCCACATCCAGCCACCATTTCCATACATCCATCTAAAGCAGTTGAGAAAGAGGTACGTTGAACTACCCCTGTGCCCCGCGTATTGTACTTGCCATTCAACGCCCCTCCATTTTTACGTCGTCAGCCACCCAGGTACCCAGAGGGCCAGGAAACCGCATCTTGAAGTTTCCGTTTACCAGCAGTAACATACCAGCTTGGTAGTTTCCCATACTTTCTACCACAAACACCCCCACTTCCCATTCATCCAATTCACACATATTCACCTAAACCCTTATCTCCCCAGACGCTTCGTTCCTTTCTTCCTTTTTTCTACACGGACCAACTTCACAAGACAATCAGCCTCGGGTCAAAAACCAAGCCATTCTTATTCTTGAGTACTCCTTAACACATCCCACGCATAGACACGATGTCGAGCGGAAAAGCCTGGAGCGAGAAGGAGAAGGTACGTATATTATTATTCCCATATCATATCTTCCCATACCAATATCCCTAATAAAATCATGATGCTGATAGAATATACCTCTTTCTAGTTTGACTTCCTCCTACAGATTGTGGACCGCCTTCTCGGTAAGAACGGAAGCGTCCCCTACAAGGATATCAATCTTCCCGGCCGTACCATTAAGAGTATGACCCACACCATGGGCAAGCTCCGTGCCCAGGCTGCTGCATTCCGCCAGGGCGGAGGTGACGTCGAGGACCCGGACCAGGACACTGTCGCTGCTCCTGCTACTCCCAAGGGCCGCGGTAAGGGTGCTGCTGCTGCCGCCACCCCTCCCACCACTGGTACGTCAACACCTCCCATATTTAATCTTCCTACAACACCGTTCCCGAATATTTTATAATAATGTACCTAACCATAACTCCATACACAGGCTCAACTCCTCGCCGAGGTACTCGCAAGCGACCCCAGAAGGTGGCTTACTTCGACTCCACTAGTGATGATGGTGAGTGGTCCCCTATTCAATTTGGCGCTGATTAATTTAAATATACTAATCATCCTTGTACATAATAGACGAAGAAGTCAAGACCCCGGTGAAGAAGGCTCGCACGTCCTCAGACAAGGAAGAGATGCCGACCCCCAAGCGCGTCAAGGGAGAAGACAGTACGCTATCCTACCCACCTATCATTCCCTGTCTTCAACTACTAACGGCCTTCACTTTACAGAGAAGGCAGCCGTCAACGCCACCCAAAACTCCTACCCTTCTCCTCAGGACGTTGAAGATGACCCCGCCCACATTAAGACCGAGGCTGGTCTCCAAGACGACGAGGCCTGATTTCTTTTTCCTCTGACTTATTGCGTTGGCCTGCTATTTGAGACTTCATTCAACAAAAATACCCCCCATCTACACCAGTTTGTTTAATATCGTCTCTTTGCGGCTCAGGCGCATTTACTTGCGATGCGTTTTTCTATTCTAGGGCTATAACGCACAAGGGAGGCTATCTGGTTATGACGCGGATCTCATATTCATCAGGGATCTGGGTTACATACGGGTTGCCCTTTGGGCATGGGTTACTGCAGTAGCAATAGCAAGGCTGGTTTACCACTTACTCTTGCGCCCCAGGGCTCTAGGTACTACTGCAAAAATTGCGATGAATAAATGCTTATAAAACTTATAAAATTTCCATATAAATGGGTTTTCTATTTCTCCTAGTGCCTTCCATCATCAGTACCTAAGTATGACTTAAGTACCTGGGTACCTACCACCATGTGTTATCCTCACCACAGAATCCCATCCTCCAGGATGGTTTTTAACACCCTTCAATTCGCCCCCAGTTAAATATTATCCTATGTAAAATTGATTAAAGTTTAGCACAAGCAATCTCATGATGTTCTAACTGGGAGTTCTTTACTCAATGCAGTCTTAATTCATCGGGTATGGTCAATTTAATCAATGGTAGGGGCTTGAGTAACGGCACCATTCCCTATGATACAGCAACCACATAGCACATCCCATCAAAAGCGCCCGGAAGGTATAATACGATGATGGCAGATATGTACGCCATAGTTACCCTCCATCTCTCCGTATTGGTCAATCTTCCTAAATATTTACAAAGCTATTGGGTATCGCATATCCGCGTAGAAATCAGCACCTCTCAAAGACCCTGTACAAGCCCTTGAGGCTTGCTAGCTCAAGTACACCACCTTTCATGAATGATTTCGTTGCCACTAATCTCGCCTTGAATGCCGGGAAGAATGTGTGTTCTATTACGCGGCGAATTTGAGATCTCCTTGTCCTGATCTCATCTGGGATATCTTCCTCTGTCTCGTCACTTCCCGGGAGAGTCGGAAGCTGTTCGGGGACGTAGAATGTCGCCAATTCCTTTAGGAAAGTTTCGAAACACAATTTCTCGTCCATCCAGTTCACGCGGGGGCCAAGGCGGAGTAGGAATCGTGGGAGTTTCGCCATCGAAGGTGTGTAACCTTTAAGGAGAAGCGGGATACTCAATAACTCGCCAGCCGGTGTGATCTCGAAGCTGAAGTATTCAATCAGCATTTCTCTTCTTTCGATTAACTGCTCCGCCACCGCTTCCACAACTTCGTCTACTTCAAAATCATTATCGCTCGTGGCAGTAGATTTTTCCTGCTCGGCTGCGATCTTCAGCACTTCGCGTAAATCAAGTGCAGGTTGAAACTTGATAGTACCGAAATTACCAAAGTCAGTGAGCCCCACTTGGTAAAAATACTCAAAGCATGCGCGACCGTAATCGATGAGAAACAGTTTGACGCCTCCCTGAATGGCGGCTAATCGCCGTTTCTCATCCACAATGCCCACGAAGGTATGATTAGCGAAAATTTCAGTGAGTTCGTGATGCATATCATCCCTGACTTCAGAGCGGAGCTCGCGAACACTAGTAAGCCGACAGAGAATCGGCTCACGGTCTGTCGTTTCATAGACCGGCTCTTGGCCAGCATCAGTCGTGTCATTGCTCGATGTTCCTGGGGCAGTCGGGAACATGCTGGTAATTTTGCGCAATGAAGCGTCTGTCCTAACTAAGTAATTTTCATTAGGCCTCGTCTTTTTTCGGACGCTGCCGGGGGTTCTCGCGGCAGGGCTGCTAACATCTTTCAGAATCGGAGCATCAGAAAGCATAGATCCTGGAAGTAACGTCTGCGTCATGAATGTGCGACTTGTATCTACTGCCGCCAACTTGTCACGAATATTTTCGCAGATGCATTGGATAATTTCATCCTCGTTCAGGAAATTAACCTCTCGCTTCGTCGGGTGGACGTTGACGTCAACTCGTTGGGGGTCGACCTCGAGGTTGAGATAAACGAATGGGTGTCCATTTTTGGGAAGAAATGCGGAGTATGTCTGCTCCACGGCCTTTTTGATGTTTGAAGATTCCACACTACGATGGTTAATAAAGAGGAGGAGAGTCGTCTTCTTAATGTGGTAGTTCGCATTTGTGGCCCAACCCGAAGCTTTAAATCCCCAGCGTTGGTCAGAGGCGGTAAATTCTATTAACTCACTTGCAACGGCACCGCCATGTATTTGACGTATGCGGTCTATCGTGGATGCTTGCGACGGCACAGTGATTGAGGTACCTGAGTCACCGTGCTTTTTGCAAGAGAAGGAGACACCGGCGCAATGAATGGCATAACGTCCGACCATATCAATGATCTTGTTGTACTCATCGGAGGGCGACCTAAAGGCCTTGCGCCGTGTTGGGACATTGTAGAACAAGTCTTCTACTGAGATTTGTGTACCAATTCGCCCGGCGGTAGGTTTAGGTTCGGCCGATTGGCCAGGTTTTGCAGGAGACAGCTTACCACCATCATAATGTGCGCGGAATGAATAATCCGAGTTCTTCGTCCTCGTAGTCACCGTAAGATGAGCTATGTGGCTAATACTGGCAAGGGCTTCACCTCGGAAGCCATAGGTACTGATATTGCTTAGGTCCTCAAACTTCTTGAGTTTAGAAGTGGTGAACCTTTCACAGAGGATCGGTAGATCTTCCTTCTATTAAGATAATGAGAAGCTAAGTTCAACAAGGATATAATGTGAGGCAAGACTTACGTCAATTCCATGACCATTATCAGTGATCTGTAATAATTTTAAGCCGCCCTCTTTGACAACGACGTCTAGAGAGGTGGATCCCGCATCAACAGCGTTCTCAATTAATTCCTTTAAAGCATGTACTGGAGCTACGATAATCTCGCCGGCGGCGATCTTATTTACAACATCTGGGTCCAGCGCCTAGATACAGAGAATCAATGATTAGTTTTATTGTATCGAATTAAATAGGAAATGAACTAGCCTTAATTCGGTGAGGAGCGCCCTCATCTATTGAGGACGGGGCTTTTCGTTTGGTGCCCCTCGGTTCATCAATATCCATCGCATCAACCATCGTAGCGATTTTACTGAGGCCGCTAATTCAATCGGTATAATCAAGGATCCTCTTTAGGATATGTCATAGAGGGTATTCCCATGTCGCCTTGAGAGGTCAAGTTAGGATTTCGCGACGTGTATATTTTGGTGGAGATGCCTGAAGGTTGAAATAAGATTGGTTAATCCCCGTATTCGTTACTGCCGTATGGAGGAAAAAAGATCACGAATGTTAGTTTAAAGGAAAGAACTATCCTATCGGGTTATTCCTTGAAAGTACCTAAGGTTTACGAAGGAGCTAACGTTGAAGGTTCAAAATGCCAATCGGCAGGTACTGTAGGTAGGTGACAGGTAAGGCAAGAACGAGGATCAACAGTCCAATCAAAACATGCATGGTATCTCGATAAGGAGAAAACACTGTAAAACCGCACCGTGTTTGTCTTGCGCTGGGGCTTCTGTCCTTGAAATTAGCGATGCTGGGAGGAATTTACTTGATTGCTATTGGCTCTTTTCCAAAAATTGGCCTACTTGACAACCAAATATCTTCCCAACACACGCCGTAAGTGCTATAAATCGTACCTATCAGGCAGCATATTAACATAACCGTTTTGTGTGTGATTTATAAGTTCACAAAATGAAATTGTAGTCTTACCTATTTGTATTAAATGTCACCTACCTATATGATATTTAAAGTTATATCATAATTTTCTAGAATGCCAAATAAAGATAAATTAGGTATGTAGCTTCTTATTCACTGATTCTTTTGATGTAGGCGAAACCTTTATCTACTTGATAGCTACTAAAAATACAAGAAGAATACCTAGGTACCTAGAAATTTTTGAAAAAGAGCTAGCTATAGCCAAGAACAAATATAAAACAATTATTTATAGTTAATCCCCAGTTACTGCGACAAGCCTATAGATAGCAATCATTGCTATGACTTAACAGTCCTTGTTAGAATTAGCTTACTCGCAAATTGTATTGAGTCTAAAAATCCCTAGTGGGTGCACCTACAAAAGTACCTAGGTATTATACAGTTAGGATGGGGGTTGTGGATTACCTACCTAGGTACCTAGGTAGGCACCAACATAGTTCTAATGATACCTAGGAATAAGAACATATAGCAGGCCGCAAACCGATGATACCGCAAGTGCGCCGACGGGGATTCACTAACTCCGAGTATTAAATACGCTAATTCGCCTATACAAGTCCTCTGCCTTACTAGGTGCCTTTTTGATCTAGGTATTTTAAAACCCACCACGACTGAGGTCCATTGACTATGGTCAATATATCTACGATGCCACTTTCTTCTTGGTAAGCTCTGTTATTTCCCCAGAATCCCATATAATCAACCTTGAAAACTTCCGGTCATTAGGGAGCCCCACAGCGGCCGCGGTAATGGTGAATGAATGGATTCGCGTGAACTTCAAGTAAATTCTGATGCCTCTCGTGAAGAAAATGGGGACGCTAGTAGGCGAATACAACCAATAGGGGCTCTCGCAACACTATCAAAAAGCGGATCTAGAACATCAAAGAATCTGCCAAATTTACTAACTACCAACCGAGGGTGAAAATAATGGCAGGTTCCACGAAGCGAAATTGCACTTGAGATTCTATCTATTTCAAAATAAGCGTGCAGAAACCTCACACAGGCTTTCGTATCTCAGTGGTAGAGAGCAGGATTGCAGTTATTAGCAGCTATCCCGAGGTCGCGTGTTCGATCCACGCCGAAAGCTTTTGCTATATGTTTTGGTTATTGACTTATGTTTATGATGACTTTATTTTTCGCTATTATATCCATGAGAGTATTTTTAATGTTGGTAATTATAATATATAAAATGTATATGTTCACTTAGAGATGACAAACTGCATGTTTAATGCGGATAACCTTATGGTGCGTTACCTCCATGCTACTAAGGAAATAATAATAGTTGAATACGAAATAAAAACAATACTTCGTTCTGTATTGGCTTACATAAACCTTCTAGGTGCTCAGTATGTAATTAAAATGAAAGAAACAACGTTTTTATAGATAAGGCGCTCTCTTATAGTAGGGATTACCTTCATATCGAAGTACCTCGGCCTCGCGTTTAGGGGAGATTTTCTTTGCCTAGAAGTAATTTTACTTGATCCTCTTCACTATTCTGAAAATTTGCGGCGAAGTCGCTGAGTCGATAGAACTGCTACTTATCTCACGAGATCACACACCTATATACCCAGGTAGGTAGCGATGTCGCCAACGGCGCGAAGTGATATTCCGATATAAGTAATATTTGAAATTTGACAGCTTGGGACCCGGCCGATTCTAGCTCATTAGGTGGGAAAATTCGTGCGAAAGGTCCCTGTCACAGTGGCATTGGCTAACGTTGAACCACATATAGCCATCTTGCGGATGAACTGTCACTCGATAGGTAAGCTAGGTCTTGTGCCGTGAGAATTTGTATAGAATCAATCGAAGAATAGGACCTTGAGAGGAACGTTGAAATGAGATTACGTCGGCGTTACTTAATCAGGTCTAGGTACCGACGATATTCCTTCTAAACTGGAAAGCCGAGACCATAGGTAATGAAGAATCGTCGAGAAGCTGAGCCTTTTTCGGGGTTTGTGAGTGTAGAAAAACCTGGGTAAGACAAGATGTAATCTCGGTTACAAAGGTGCAAAAAGATAGTGGCTTGAGTTAGGCTGATATCGTGTACCTAACTGGTAAGAATGACAGTGCCCAACTTAAGGACCAATATAGAAAAATTGTCTCGCTGAGATGAACCTCAAATACCTAGGTATGGACAATGACAAAGCGACCTAATCGTTATTATAATCTTGAATATACGTATGTTAGTTACATGCCGGTAAATTCTGCTTGCTTTTACGTTATCTTCCTGGGGTTTTAATTTACTGGGGTACTCTTAAATGTTGTTTAGAACCCTGGAATATGCGCTACACGGACTAAATGCAGCAAAAGTTATAAATGAGAAAAAAGACATTACGAAGGAGATGAGAGAGATTTTCAAGATGGTAGTAATATCATTGTAATATATACTATTCCCCTTCTCTACCTAGGTAAATTTCAAGGGCACATGCAATATCTTCATTTGGACTAGGAAGGATAATTCCGGCTTCACGACCCAACAGCATAGTGGTTGCGGCGAGTGTAGTTGGTTGGGGTGTGCGAGTGATCGCTTCCGCGATGACCAGGGCATCATCTATCAGACTGGGGGTTTCCAAAAGGCGAGAAGAAGAGAGAGCCAGTCGGGACTTTTTATTCCTTCCCTCTCTCTCGTTAGCGTCGGTTTATTAGACACTACCACCCTACCCGTGCGCGATGTGCATCCGTGAGCTCGTACGGTACCGCACTTCCTGTAACACTGCGCGCGCTGCAACGGCTCGGACAATTTTACCCACTGACTTACCCCTGCAGACCGCACCACATACATAAGATAATCTCACGTATGTACGTAGGTAGTAATAGCCCATAGGCAAGTAGATAGGTAATCTCAACTGCGTCGCTCCAAAAAAGAAAAAAAGAACTTGAACGAAGAATAACACACAGACATCAGCACCCTCTCGAGCCCTGGCAGCCTTGGGTTGGGTCATTTAAATGACTAGGTTGCTAGCGAGCCAACCACGGCATTGAATCGCCATCTTCATCAAGGTTAAGCTTGCTAGCACTGCCATGGTTCCTGGCACGGGGTGGTACGTGCGCCGACTTTCTTGTTTATCTTGCGGTGTGCTTCGGCTGGGGGAGGTGATGCAAGATGCAAGTTTGCAAGGGCCGTCACGGTAACTGTATGTATGTACGTCTGTAGGCCCTGAGATCGGAGCTAAGTAGATCGAGGCCCTTAGCAAGGAACATCCAGGTCAGCAGTGTAAGAAAAAGAGGGGAAAAGAGAATAGATGGGAAGCATCCGAGCAACACTAGCAGTTCGACATCGAGCATTGGTTCGTTTTCCCGTATGTGTGCGTGTGTGCATGTAATGTGTAGTCCCCTCGTCCTGCGGAATTTATTTGGCGTCTGTGTGGAGGAGGAGGCGTGTGACTGATGATTGTGTTCTACTTAATGGTGCCTTGTTGATGTGTACTGTCGTAATGCCCGGAAATGAAACGAGCTTTCCCGGTACGAAACATTATATTATAGACCTCGATGTCATATCAAACCACCACAAGGATTCAAGCAACTGACCCAGCACTGACCTCTTAGTGGTTACCGCTTATGCCAAACCTGACAACATAATTGTAGATTTAAGAGGTAAACGCCAAAGAAAAATATCATGAAAGAGAGACGGGGGTCAACGGGTATGACGGGCCGAATCCTAAGGATTAGTTGAGGCGGATTATATGCTCGCTTCCGGGTTGTATTGACAAGTCTGGATGGATCTGATGGATGTATGGGATCCGATCAGCCTGGTTCCCAAACGAGAATTTCAGAGGGTCGCGGTAAACATTGCTGTTTCTTGTTTCTCGCGCTTGTTTCATTTTCTCGACCCATTTTCCCTTTTGTCCTGTCAGAAATGTTTCGTTTCATTGATATATCCATCACAAATTCTGGGATTCTGCCTTTTTGCTTTGCTCTCCTCCCCCACACTTGTTTGGTCTGTCTGACTAACTAACCTACACGTTCTTGTGTATTCCCCTTATTCTCCTCGCTATTTTCAACCTGTACAGGAATCTTTTTTTGAGGCTAGTATCTTATTACACGATCTCGCTCCTTAAAGCCTCCCCGTCGCTTTCCTTAGCCGATACTGCTGGCGTGATACGAGAGCAAACAGAGATCAAAAGTCGGAAAAAATATACACAAGATTGGAAGAATGGCAACAAAGAATTACCAATTCGAAAGACCCCGCCCGTCTGTCTGGTACCACGGATTTTGCCATCCAACAGTCGGGCATGGCTAAGCTGGATAGTTCTGGCTTTATCACCGGACCACCGGCCCTCCTTTTTCACGTCACAAAAACACCAACCCGAAATTCGACTTAATATATAGTACATGAAGACGCAGAAGAAACCCCGAACGAACGACTCCTCTCATTATGATTCTGCGCTTTTCCTTTCTCCCCTCGCGCTGCCGCCTCCCGACGTCACACGAGCTCTCGGTCTGTGGCGAAACAAGAGCCGCAAACATCGCGCCTGAAAAACACGGCAATCCTACTTGAAATAGGACAATATAATCTAACCAATAGGAAAGATGTCGATAAATTCAGGGATAAATCCGAAGTCTGGACTTCTGGGCCGAGAAACAAGATCGACATTAGAGTCGTGTTTATTAAAACAACAGAGAAGCAGAAGCCGTGAGGGGACGGGATTATAATATGTAGATGGAAAGATGCATTATGTTGTACATGGTATCTCCTGCGCGACTGAAAACGATGGATGCGCAATGTGGGTATAGTTTACAATTCGAGTGCGAATGAGGTGTAGTATTGGATATTAACCTTGCGAATAGGTGTCGAGAGCAAGTGGCCAGTATGTGAGGATCGAACTACCCGAAAGGATACGGATGTCCACGCATCCCGGGTGTCAATCGAGCCACTACCGCCCTCGTCGAGACGGGTCAGGCTTTTCTATTAATCCACCGATATCAACGCGACCGGATCGGTCGTCCCTCTGCCAACCGGACGCTTCTCCTGGGGGACCGGACTGACTCTGACCACGAATAGGTGGTAATTGATATTCTACTTGCTGTGGAGGCCTGGCCATGGACAACTCGCTTCTCGGAATATGGCGCGAAGGACCGGCGGGTGGTTCAATTCGTGGGGGGCCAGGAGCAGAAAAAGTTGGAATATTCGGATTCATGCCAGGAGCAAGACCCGAAGTAATAGGTGTGGGTGCTTGGCGCGGTGTATAGATAGACTCACGAGGTGGTTCTCCAAACCGCGGCCGTCCGGGGTTGAACGAAGTCGAAACTGGTGTCGTCAATTGAGCATACGGTTGAGGTTGGAATGAATATGAAAATTCTCTAGCGTGAGGAGAAGGTGAGGGATGGGGGAATTGCTGGGCAGCCGGGGCTAAAAGCAACACAACGAAGTATATCGAATCCTCCTTTGCTAGTCCGACGCGTATCGGGTATGGTCGAAACTGTCCATCCGCGCCGACAAAGGTAAAGAAGTCCTGTCGGTCCAACTGGAATCTCCCTATTGATTCCCGACTAAACGACAATGATCGTATGACTCTTTCTGCCTCTTGCTTCTCGAAAATTGGCGGAAGATAATTCGGTTCCTTTCGGCCCTGCTCATCTTGCAACGATCTCTGGAGTGCCATGACTCTATCGCGCTCGTTTGGACTTATGGCATCTAACAACCGCTGGCCGTGGAGCGCTCGAGAACCCACCGCCTCGGCAAAAGTACCCGAGGCACTTACGATTTCTAAATCTGTTGTAAGAAATGCGACTAATTCGGGTGCGCGGGAGGGTATGGATAAGGGAGCGGGAAAGATGTTCGCATCTGTAGCGGATCCGCGTTCGAGGAATCTAGGAGCCACCGGGTCGCTTGGTTGCGATTTTAGCACTCTATAGGAATGACTTCTTCGAAGGGGGTCTTCGTACGAGGTGGAAACGGCGCTAATCGGCGAGTAAAGCGAGACTGGTCTTCGCATTGTCGGATCGGCTGGATGAGGGAACCTCCCAGTTTCAAATCGAGGCTGATTGTCATCGCGTAATCGAGGTCGGCCGCGCTTTTTATGCTGGACATCGACGCATGAATCTTCTTTGCCGTTACTCAAACACCTTGAACAGGGTCTCTGGGCTATTTAAAACAAATTGTCAGCTTCTATACCACAATCCCGATATGTAGGCGCATATAAGAGGTTCGGTTTCTCGCGAATCCAAGTTGGATCTCAGGCAATATCCTTCACGATCGTTGACAAATCCACCCAGCTAAAATTGCGAGGCACTGAGTCGGGGCAGAATTAAGGGGTTTCATAGTCAGAACCGATCCTCCCACAAGTTACATGCTTATGGCAGCTTCGGTCTCGTGCTGAGCTTTGGTTATACGACTCTCGACGCCCATGTGAAGTCAAATACCTGCGTTCGCGTAGTTCTGCATATGGTTTCGCCTATTTCTTCAACGTTCCACTCGGAAAGTCGCTGCTAGATCCTTGAAGCCCCTTTAAAAGGGGGTCCAGATATCAAGCAGTCTGACCGCTTTCGACGACACCATGTCCGTTGGGAACCGAAGCAATTGGTTTTCCAAAGCAAGTTACTATGAGACTAGAACTCTTTTTTACCCATAACCGCAGTTTGATAGTAAAGGATCACCTATTGTTCACACTCTGCTGACGGAAAGACGAGCCCCTGACTGATGAAGAATGCCATGGTGGTAGAAATCATTCTCAACAGTTTCTCGCTGTAGCCGCTATTTTGAGCACGTGGCTCGCAACGGAAAATAACGATAAATCGGAATTCGATACGTACCATCACATCTAAGAGGAGTTAGCAAACCAGGAACGATTTGGGGAAGGACGTAAGATTTTAGTAGTACCTAAGATGCGCTCTTTTGCAAGGCACGCAAGCCGAAGCTACGTGACCCTTCGTTTTCCTTTGAGACTTGGGAGAGGTAAAAGGCGGGTTTTCGGCGACTTGTTGATTGCTGGACATTGAGTAAGGTGATGGTCCTAGGCTAGGTCCAACTACAGGTGGAAGCGGATACTGAGGCTGGGGAACCATCGGACCTTGCTGCTGGTAGGGGATGGGCCTCCCCATCGATTCCTCCGGGCGGTGGTATGAATATGGCATTCTTTCCGGACCCTCTGAGGGAAATGGCCTGGTAGTACTGGTTGTGGGGGGTAGTAAGGATGGTTGTGGGGGTGCTGCTGCTCGATACTCGCCTCCCGGAACCGTTGAGCTTGGACGGTACGCATCATGACTAGTGGGCTGGTAGCCTCCCTGACCTCGATCACCGACCTCCGGGTTTGGCTTGGGCGGGAGTGGTGGTGGAGACCCTGACATGGGCGGAGAGGGATACGCCCTTGTGCTGCGAAGAGCACAATCCGTCTCTGCTCTGGCCCAGGACAGGTCTAGAGCGAAGTTCGCCAGATTCGATATTCCTCGGCGGTGGCCGAGCGGAAGATTCGACTGTTCAGTTCGATAGATGAGGGTTTGCATGGATGCAGCCTAAGAAGAATATACGATAGGACCGTATGCCCCTAACGATATTTTTTCTTCTTCCAAACGGCAGCCTAGCACCCTCTTCGAGAGTTGGACAACACCGTTCAGATATGGGGTTTGCGATCCTCGAGGAATAGCATGCCCAGGCTGTCTTGCAAGTTCGGGAGTGTGCTCAACGTGATTTAGTGTTTAAACAGCGCGGGCAAGTAAGCAACGCTTTTATTCTTCAAATCTGCGAGCAGTACCTAGCTTTGAAGACTCCGAGGATTAGAAGAGTAGTTTTCGATTTCTCTCCGGATCTCTTTCCTTTTTTTTTCGTCCTCCTCGGTTCCGGAAAGGGTCTTTATTGCTGGAACGTTATATTGGCCAAGACACGCCGAAAAAGACCAGTTAAGAATGGCGACTCCAATCCTGACTTGATGGCGAAGAATTCAAAGACAGCGTTAGACAAGCAGAATCGTCTGTGATACTAACCCAGTCAAGGTTAGGGAATCCAGTGATACGGCGCGCGGCGGAGTTGGTGGAAACCTGGGAGATGGGATGACGGGGAGCTGCAGCACAAGACACACGACCTCTCTCCTTGTAGCACCGTTAGATGGCCTTTTGGGATCTTGGGAGGCCTGGGAAGCAATGTGCCGGCGGTAGCTGGGTCGGGTAGAGCTTGATGATGCCGAGTTTTCGACTTAAGATGGAGAAGCTCGACAACTTTTGGGTCTGGTTAAGGTCGTGGGAGGCTTTTGTGCGACTTTAATATTAGAGATTGGGACAATTTGGGTACGAACCAGGGTACAAGCTCTTTTGGGGCGCCATACGAAAGTACAAGGCCAGTTACTGTACACGCGCCAGGTCTGCTTGGCAGTTTTTCGTTGACAAGCACTGAGAGTGCGCTGGCACGGGCGCTGATGGGCTAGGCAATGCTGGGGTTCTATGACAGGGTGTGGGCATGGGGAAAGACAGAGGGTAGTAGAGAGGCACTTAAGAGAGATCCCTGGAGCATGGTCGATGTGACGAGGCGATATGCAAGAGGCTAATAATAAGATATATGTTGTCTAAGGAACAACAATGGCTACGAGAGCGAGCAAGGCATGCGTTACAGACAAGAACAGACAGGAGTGTGTACTAGTCACTATAGGTACTGTACATGTTACTAGGTAGCGTAGCCGGCTAATAAATGTGCTGAGAGTAAGGATGAGGATGGGTAGTAGTGCTAGATAGATTGTGGACCACCTTTGACTAGGTGGCCATGATGGTAAATCCTAGCTCATGCCCAGGGTCCCTTGGGCGCTGCGGACCTGTCAGGGTGCACCCCTGGCCGCAACGGGGAAGCATTGGCTGCTAATCATTGACCAGGGATTTCAAGGGTAGCGGAGAGAGTTTCTACCAGCCCAGTCCAGCCAAGCCAGCAACGGTGATGAAGGAAATCCCCTATGTTCAAGTCTAGTACATAGTAATATCCCACAATATACGTAGTAGTAGTACACTATACACTACATTTTTTAAGATGATGATTATTTCTTTCTCTCTTGTAACTCCCCTGTCTATCTTTTCATTTTCTCGTTTTCTTTAGTTATTCTATTTCTCCTCCCCTGCCGATCTGGGAATTCCCCGCGTGAGTGCTATGATGTGACTCTGTCTGAGCGCTCTGAGATTGCTAAGAAATGCGCAACGGAAATAATGAGACAGACTTCCAAAACATGACCTTTTAATTGGCCAGGGTTTATCGAGATTCGAGGGGACTAGGAGACGAAGGGGTAGGTCTGTAGTAGAGAGTAGAGTACGTAGAGGGGGGAGAGGGGCGTGTATTGTTCAACGGCTTTTAGGAGGGGGGTGCGTGTCTGATTGCCGGTCCATGGCCTACCAGGCCGACCTACACGCTACTGTCTCTAACCTCACACGGTAACCCAAGTAGGTAATTAAGAGAAACGAACACTACTTTTCTAAGAGGGGTGGGAGCGGGATGCAAGACAAGCAGGTTAAGAAAATGCCCGGCGATGCGGTCTTGCGTAGTAGCTATGTGAGTTGGCATGCACGTAACTTTCAATACACTGCAAGGCACGCTAGTGGTTCTATTTAGAGGTCGTTGTCGAGTTGATGTTGATGTTGATGTAAATAAGACGAGGACGTTTAGCCCACTACAGTAGGTACATCATAGAGGCACGTAGGTAAATGTAGGTACCTAGGCCGCTAGGCCAGGTTCTGAAGGTCAATGGTTGAGGACCCACGTATGGGGGAAATGGAAGGAGGGAGAAGAAAAAAAAAAAAGGAATAAAAATAAAATAAAATAAAAAATAAAAAAATAAATACTGACCGAATCGGCTTCCGGCGTCAAATGGGGAGCCAACTATTGGCCAAAAGAGTATTTTCATTGGAGGATACAGCAATCGAAATGCCTAAAATTCAGGCCTCAGCTCAATTTAATAGATTGACATTCTTACACGTGCATTATATGAGTATGATGTAAAGAAATAATAAGATCAGCGAAATATTCGAGACCAGTTTTTTACTGGAAAACACCAAGGAAGTTTATTAGGCTTAGATCCCTCCCGCTAAGTAAGATACGGTCTGTGGCTTTACAAATTAGTGCTGTATTGAACCACCTAAGCCTGCTAAGTATGGTATTACCTAGGCACTAAACACCCCCCATGAGGCTCTACTTTTAGATGAGTTGATCACTGTTCCCCGGTAAGAAGCCATAACGTAAACAGGTGGTATCCCGAGATTTTAGTACAAGACTGCCACCAACTAGTAAACTTGGCCTTCGTGGAGCTTTGCCGGGGAAGTAGAGGAAAAGCCAGGTTTGTAGATATAGTCTAACCTTGGGTTTTGCAGCGACAACTTCTCTATCGGTGCGCTGAAAAATGCCTACTCTCCGAATAGAAGGCAGGACAGCTATAGGTTAAAAGGAAATAACAGCGGTAAGATTTACGGCGCAAAAATTGCCTAGGTCAGGTATTGACAATATAACGTGTTCTCGTTCCGTATGGAGAATCGTGACTACGGATTAGGTATTACATTTTTCAATGGCGGATAAATCTACGACCGCTGAATTAAAACAACAACCACGAGGATTATAAAGTTGTAGCATGGCAAACATGGGTTTGAATGATAGGGAGGCTTGAGCGGAACCGGACTTTGGAGGGACTTGGCCAACATCCCTTAGCCGGCGGCAGTTTCTTAGCGGCGGCTCAACGATCATCGTCACATCTAAGGTGGGCGAATCTAATTGAGGATGTGATGAAGTCAAAAATTTTGATTGAAATTCATTTCACCTCGTATTGTAAGCACATTTCTTCTAGATAATCAACTGGCAACCGACATGGGCAAATCTTGCAGGTACTACATACCCATTTCTGGGTTTCGATCATTTCTGCACGGGGTAGGCCAACCTAGGCGTGGCCTAAGACAAGGATTGGTCAAGAGAGACAAGGACTCCTTGCCGAGTTCATGCATCAGTATTAGAGAGATGATGTATTGATGTATTAGAAAAAGTTTGTACATATATGGATATCCAAATATGTATACATAATACTATGCTGCTCCATATATATTCTTAGTCTTGCATATTCGTCTTATTATTGTATAAATTGCCTGTCTAGCATAGTAGAAGAGGGCATAAGGTGAGATATGGTTTGCTTTTTCCTACATACTTACACATAAGTAAGTACCTTCGTGTATACATAGCGCGAGGATTGAAAATCTCCTATCGTTTATATCGTATGGCACTGCTCATCTGTTTAGACAGGTCATATTAGTATTTACTCTAGACTTATTCAACCTTCTAGATCACTCAACTTTTGAACCCCCTGCCCAGCCATGACGAACATCAAAGACAAGGATAAGAAAAAGACTATCGATCATGATACATAATGGTGCGATGCGATGCGAGGATCGACAGTCACATCGTCCAAGCTTTCAATGCCTTATTCGTGAGATGTCAACATCACGCCTCATTTCCCCAGAAGAACTTTGCGTGAAGAGCTTACTTACCCAGGTAGATATTCAAATTAAAATATAGCGGTCCTGAAGAAGGATTCGAGACCTGCGGTGATCGGCGTGGGGTTATGTGCTAGGTCACATCAATTTTAGGATTAGTTTCTTCCTGTACCTAGGCTTGATGACATGTGCATGCTAGATTAGAACCGGGTAAGCGTCTTCAGGCATAGTCCAGAAAGGGTAAAAACCCATTGGCCCTATCGGCGACTAGGTACTTACATAGCAAGTAAGGTAGATGTAGTAGTTTATCTGCGGGTGGCTCAGTGTTTACTATCCAGGTAGCCAGCTAATAGGAAATAGAGATGGCTTATTTTTTTTTTCTCTCCCCTTTTCCCCAAACCCGTTCCGCGTCGCGTAATCCGAGAACAGCTTGGTGTCTGCGCCCCCGTAATATTCAACAACGCGCTTCATCTAGTCTCCCAATAAAAAATCCAAGAGATCAACTTAGTGCAGGAGCCTCGTCCCCAAGCCTCTAGTTCTGTACATAATCAATACATCATATTTCTAAAGTTACCAGATACGACGGTGTCATCCCGCTAAACAATAACTATTGCGGCAGTTCCCTACCATGTAACGCATAACACATGGCAATTATCATACCATGCTGCTTATTATATTATTCCCTACGTATATAGTAGATTAATATGGGTAGTATCCAGCTTGGACTCTTTCCACCTACTACTAAGTATATCCGTCTACGCACTGATGGTTGTTATCTCACCTGCATCCCGAGGTAGGGCTGCTAATGTAATACATATTATCCGCGTACCAGACGGGGTTCGTGGCTGGAAATGCGGCTGCTGGGGTCTATGTCTGCCATGTGGTCATACAACGGTCCCTTATATTGTGGCTTGTCTAACAGGCCTGCCCCGTCAGCTCTTGTTCGCTGTTCAGGCGGTAGGTTAATAAACCATAAATTGCACGCTTACCGCGTTTTTAATAGGTTTGGGTGCGTCACCAACCAGTCAGATTTGTCTGTCACGCTATCTGGCTTTCTCGCTCTC